AGCCTTAAGGAGTTCCGGTGTAATGTTGTCTACGCCGGGTGCTTTTCCAGGTTTAAGGAATTAGATGAGCCTATAGATCTCTTCAGTTGCTACTGGGGGCCATTCGGCGCCAATATCACTCGGCCTGCAGATGTTGATTTGATGTATATAAAGATAGAAAGTAAGCCTCCCAAATCCCAACTGGTATAGTATAATCAATTTCAATCGGGGAGTCTTGCCAACTTTTCGCGACTATTTTCCAAAAGGTGGCTGAGTCTTTCCTTTGAGAGGCCTCTAATAAACGTTGCCACTCCCCCCTTTGGGCCTGAAGCTTTTTCTTTTTAATCAGATCTTTATATTTACGTTTGGCTTCGAACCATTCCGCGGGAAGCAAGGGTAAGTTCGCTGATTTGTAATTCCTGTACTTATCCAGCAAAGAACGCTTTGTAGCAATACATTCCTGATCAAACCAGGGTTTGGATTTGTTGGGGAATATAGGTTGGCGCGATGTCTTTTTTTGAATCAGGTGGGGTTGCAAAAGTGAGATCAGATCCTGGAACAAGATTATTCTAGATTCAGAACATGGTGGGTTTAAGAGATTATCTCTTCTCATGAGGAATATGTCCGAGTATAGCCTTTCAGATGTTTCGGCATTCAGCTTTTCGGACCATCTAATACGTGAGTATCTCAACTCCATGTTGGAGGACCTGGGGGCTTCAAGTTTATCGTTGCAAAATAAGTCTTTTCTTGCATCCAGGAGGAGGCAGAGCGGTAAATGATCACTATCAACCCTCTCCTCCACTTTGCACTCAAGGGCTCTATTTAGGAGATTAAATGATATCATAACATAGTCGATAGTGGAAGCTCCTGCATTTGATATGAAAGTGAATTCCCCACAGGTCTCCCCATTCTTGCGCCCATTTAGTATGACCAGGTCCAGCTTGTTAGAAAGACGCAATAGGCACAGACCTGCATAATTACATCCCTTGTCTTTTGAGAGTCTGGTGGGTATAAGGTGGTTTTCTTCCACGATGGGTGGCGAGTCGTGGAAGTGTGCATATAGTGCTTCGTCAGACTGGCCAATTCTGGCATTAAGATCACCAGCCACTAGCACTGAAGCTGCAGGGGTTTGAGTCATCAAACCATCAATGTATGTTTCCAGCCCATGCCAGGTGTTTTTAATCTGCTGCTTGCCTCTTTGGGGGGGAAGATATACATTAATCAGTAGCAGGGTGAAGAATCTACTTTTCACTAGTAAGGCCATAGCCAGGTGTTTCAGTGTCTCTAGCTTTACTAAGGACGCCCTCAACCTTGTAGATATTAAAATGCCTAGGCCACCCTTGACTCTCCCCCCTTTAGTGCTTGGGGATCCTGTGAGGGACATTGAGGAAAAGCCGTTAACTTCTAGGTCTCCTGTGAGCCATGTCTCCTGTAAAAATACTATATCATAGCCTTGGATAAATTTAACAAAGGATGGGTCAGCTGCCTTTTTTTGCCATCCTGCGATATTCCATGATAAAAAGCTAAGGTTGGCTTTACCAAAATCCACTCCTTGTCAATTATCTTCCAAGGTACTGTTGGAGTTTACCATTCTGCGTGGCAGCCGTCTGTCGTCCTTACATGGAGAGCTGCCCAGGTGTTCTATGGTGTCAGATGGTAAATGTAGAGTGCTCACATTGGTAGACACTGGGCCTTTGCTATACAAGGCCTCCTCCTGGGGGTATTCTACCTGGTTGTAGCCTAATTCCGCTTCATCTAAGTATCTCATTTTGGACCAAAAGCCTGGTGAGGTTTCCTTGGGCATGTTTTTCCTTATAGGGAGCGATGCATTGTTCTCCTTTGTAAGTTGTACTTTCTTGATTGCAGGTAGATTAATCTCTGCCTTTATCTGAAGGTTACGTGGTCGATGAGCCGCTGAATCGAGTTCTTGTGAGATGATCATTTTGGAAGGGCTCTTGCTCTTTCTTTGGACGTCCACCTTAGTTTCCTTATATAAGTCTTTCCCAGCCAGCTTGTTTCTTAACGTTTCTAATCTTTCTAGGATTTCAGCTTGTATTAAAGGTGGGAATGTCCAGAATTGACTAATTAAGGTATTTTCTTCAAAGGAGAAGTTGTGTGTGGGGGTGCCCAGTTCGTGAGGCGACTGGTGGTTATTTTGATATTCAGCTTTATTGTTTTCCACCACCTTTGAATAGATGTCTTTCTTATTTAATTTGATGAGGTGCGAGGGGGGGCCGGGCACTTCGAATAGGCGAGTCACTGTCAGGCCCACCCTATGCAGCTTTTCCTTATTAATTAATATTTGTTTTGCGGTCGAGTCATCTTTAAATGTCAGCATCACTCGATTATACTTATTGTCATTTGGGAGAAAATCTACATTGATAACGTTACCTTGTAATAGGAGGCCTCTGAGTACTAAGTCATTTTTTTTAAATATATACGTTCTTTGTTGGACCAGTGAATGTAATTCTGTACGGTTGTACATAGGGCAAATAACCAATCTGCTTCTGTTGAGGATCAGCGTTTGATTGTTCTGAGTTATCTTGTTGCGAATGGGGGTGTTAGTCACCACAGTAGCAGAGGAGGTTTGCCGGTCTTTATCTATTTGTTCGTTCCGATCTTTCGTTGGTTGAGGGCTAGGGGATTGTGATGCACTTGTCACTTTGGGTTGCTGGATAGTGCTCTGTTTTGGGGTCACGGGTTTAGTATTCTTTGTATTTGATTCCTTTATTGTGGGATTCTCCAGGAGCTTGAATAACTTAGAAAAATTCAATTCCTTAGTTTGTGTATGACTCTTAGTCCGCCTTCCCACTTTTATGTTTTTAGACTTCTTCTTGTGAAGTGGGTGTATTCTTTGGTGGCGATGCTTCTTTTTAGGTGAGGAGTGTGTGACTCGACTGTTGGTAGACATGGGAGTGGCTCTCTCTGGGACCTTCTCTGAGATACTGGGCTCTGTTGGAATTTCAGCCGCTGGAGTGGGGGTGTGTGAGATTGCTCCCTTCCTGATGAGCTCTGTCAGGCTTACTAGCAAACCCACACATTCCATAAGAAAGTTCCTGATTGGTCCTAATTCTTTACTTATGTGCATTTGGCATTCTTTCATCATTTCATTGAAAAGCCCAATCAGGATACAGGTATTGCTATCTGTGTCCCAGCAGGCTCCTTTTAGCTGACTTGGATTTTCCTCTGTTCTCGTGAAGTAACCAATGGTATAAGGGGATTCAGAGATTACCGCTTTAAGCTAACAACAACAACAGGCAGTGTGGGGTAACTACCTCACCACCTCAGTTACCCCTGAGGAAGGTGTTACCCATTCCTGATCCCCTCTCTCCCCTCCATACCTCTTGCCCAGGGGAGCTGCCTCCTCATGTCCAGACTAACTTCTTGTTGTTGTTTAGTCGTTTAGTCGTGTCCGACTCTTCGTGACCCCATGGACCAGAGCACACCAGGCACTTCTGTCTTCCACTGCTTCCCGCAGCTTGGTCAAACTCATGCTGGTAGCTTCAAGAACACTGTCCAACCATCTCGTCCTCTGTCATCCCCTTCTCCTTGTGCCCTCCATCTTTCCCAACATCAGGGTCTTTTCCAGGGAGTCTTCTCTTCTCATGAGGTGGCCAAAGTATTGGAGCCTCAGCTTCACGATCTGTCCTTCCAGTGAGCACTCAGGGCTGATTTCCTTCAGAATGGATACGTTTGATCTTCTTGCAGTCCATGGGACTCTCAAGAGTCTCCTCCAGCACCATAATTCAAAAGCATCAATTCTTCTGTGATCAGCCTTCTTTATGGTCCAGCTCTCACTTCCATACATCACTAGTGGGAAAACCATAGCTTTAACTATATGGACCTTTGTTGGCAAGGTGATGTCTCCCCTAAAGCTGTAATCCTCCACCCACTTACCTAAGGGTAAGTGCCACCAAATTCAATGTAACTTACTTCTCAGTAGGCATACATACACTTGCACTACAAGATACCATTTAGGGGCAGTCACCACCTTCCCCCAATCCATTTTATATAGTCCACATGTGATTCTTAATCGTAATACAACTGTGGCCAGCTCACTGGTTTTAAAACTGAAAATTAAGTGGCCCACGAAGTAAGTTTCTGTTCATGAAAGCTTCTTCTTAGTAATGTCTTCTGAAACTTTGCAGCTGGTTAAGGACCTGATTCAGAAACATACTCTTCAGAAAATCCACCCACCTAGCAAACCATTTAATTAATACATTATTTCAGTGTATTTACCATTCCCAAACAGGCATGCCCCCTACCCCCAAATCACCGCTCCGTTCAGCCATGAATTCTATAGTACTTGTAGGGTGACTCACATCAGATCATATACTATGATACGTGGTTTCAGAAACCAGGCTTTGGGGAAACAGACATTGAGCATTCTGAATGAACTAAGGAGACAGTGTCATCTTGCTCAGCTAGTTAAGTCTATACACTTACCTGGGGATTAGTATAATTGAACTCAGTGGGATTTATTTCTGACTGTGCTGTATAAAAGCTTTAGCAAACCAGGTCTATCTGAACCAGCAACCTATTACAGAGTACAACTCCACATGCTTCAATGAAACAATTGTCAACAGTAGATCAAAATGACAAAATTCTCTATCTGCTGTCAGTCATTCACAACTTTCAACATTTTAAAGTTTAAAATTGGGCATCATTTCAGATTTGGGATAGTGGTAGAGGTTTTCAGTAAGAGGTGCAAGATTAAGCAAGGTCCAAATCGCGACTCTTGGAACTGCAGGATATGGGTATGTACTTATTGCATGCATCCCCTTCTTCATGAGGGTCTTTTAGTTTTGACAAGGCTATTCTGGAGCCATTGCATCTTAAACTTGTCACTGTTATGGCACAGCAGCTTTTTAAAAATAAAAATTTGGAGCTACTCCAACATTGCTCTGGCTTTTATAATAACTCATAGTGAAGACAGATTAGTGAGAAAACTGCAGGTGAGGCAATTAGTGGTGTATGGCAAATGTAATTTATCACGTGATGTTATTCATCACACTGATGGCATGAAGGCTACTAGGTACAGTATACAGTACTGTATTGACAAAGCAGATGTCCAGCAGAGGGCAGTGGTATGTAAGTGTAAAGCTATTTATTAGCTGGTGCCTTGCTTCATTCATAATAAGTAATATATAGTAGTACTGTTGCATTGAATTTCTTTAATAAGAACTGAAGGCAGCTTTGCACATGTATTTAACATGTTGATGTTAATTTTAAAAGATGTGTAATGCTTGCAGATGTAGAAGAAGAAGAAGAAGAGTTTGGATTTGATATCCCGCTTTATCACTACCCGAAGGAGTCTCAAAGCGGCTAACATTCTCCTTTCCCTTCCTCCCCCACAACAAACACTCTGTGAGGTGAGTGGGGCTGAGAGACTTCAAAGAAGTGTGACTAGCCCAAGGTCACCCAGCAGCTGCATGTGGAGGAGCGGAGACGCGAACCCGGTTCACCAGATTACGAGTCTATTGCTCTTAACCACTACACCACACTGGCTCTCAACTGGATAGACAACTGTATAGACAAATGTATAGACAACTGGATGTTCAATCAAAGCCATTCTTAGAAGAAGATGCTAATGAATATTTTGGATTGTGATACAGACTGTTATAAAGTGTTTGAGGAACTATAAAACTCAATGCATGGTGAAACAGAAAAGCCTGTGCTAACCTCAGAGAACATTGGTTTCCTCACTCACTCAGGTTACTACTAGAACTTGTGTCATCAAAAATAGTTAGGAGAACTCCTCTGAGGCCAATCCACAGAAAGTATCTTTTTCTCAAGCTAGCCGGTAAGTGATATGTGGCTTTATGGCTAAACCTGCCAAGTGGCTTTTTCAGATCAACTTTTCAGATATAAGTTTGCAGGGCTACAAGGCAATCTTCTTTTCAGTGCGGCTATATAGCTGGTGAAATAAGCAGCAGGAAAGTAAGCAACAACTCAAGATCTACAAGGTTTCAGTCCTAAACACATGGTAAGTTTGAGTGAAGTAAGTCCGACTGAATTTGCAGACATGCAGTTCTAAATAAACAGGAATGAAATCAGGATACCTGCAATGAACGTGGATGGAAAGTTTTTGTAGATTTTCCCCCCCCTAATCCTCCTTTACATTTACTATTGAAAACATGGTACTCCTGTATCACGTTCTGCAAGAAGAGTAATCTGGCATCCAGTGCCAATTTTGTGCTGGCAGATGCTTGTTTGATTTCTTTTCTATGAGTGCCTAGTGGGAAACATGGATCACAAATACAACTGCGTGTGTTGAAACATTGCATTCGAAATATATTAGGATCAACGTAGAAGAGATACAAAACAGCTACGGTAAATATGTAAAATATGGGGGGGGGTCCCTTAAAGATGATTTAGGTGGTAAAGGGAGAACCACTAGCCTTACTTCATTTCCTAGCCTTGTGTAACTTCCCTCTACCCAGGGGAGATGACTTTGTGGAGGCGATTCCTGCTTGTAGGCTAGCACGCTCAGGCCGGTATTATAGTGTAACCCACGCTCAAAACAATTGCGCCCTCCAAGTGTGACCAGATGGTGCAAAATTAGATGAACTCTTTCCATTTTTTGTGATTGCACAGGGGAGGGAAATTTTGGCAGGCGTGGAGGGGGGGTGAAAAGAAAGCATGCTCCATTAATAATAATAATAATAAATTGTATTTATACCCCGCCCTCCCCGGCCAAAGCCGGGCTCAGGGCGGCTAACACCAGTTGTGGAACCAGAAAGCATTTTCCATTGTGGAACCATAATAGAAATCCTAATGGGTCCAGGTGCGAATTGAAGCAACTGGACAAGGTTGCTGGAAGCATCCAGATTTCCACACCTCAGATTTTTCCTGAGAAATAATAATGATGATGATGATAATAATAATAATAATAAACAACAACAAAATAACAATAATATAATATAATAATAATAATTCATAATAATTTAGAATAATAATAAACTTATTATTATCATCATCATCATCATCATCAACAGCCGTTCTTTGCAATCCTGTGGACTCCAAAGGAAGCCCCTCACGACGACCGAGCCGAGCTGGGCCCTAGGCCGCCTCCTCCCTCGGAGCCCCCGCGGCCTTTCCTCTCCTCCTCCTCCTGCTCGGAGGTTTCCCTCAGGGAAGGCGGCCAACTGTCAGCAGAGGGAGCTGCAGGCCAGCCGGCGCCATCTCCGGCTTCTCTCCCGCAGCTCCGGGCTTGGACAGCAGGGAGAGGAAGGAAGAGGCCTGCCTGGGCTGCCGGCCCTCCTCGCCGCGCTCGGCCTCAGCCCGGCTCAACGGCCACGGATTCGGCCGCTGCGACGAAGCCTCTCCCGGGACCAACTCTCTCTCTCTCTCTCTCTCTCGGCTCGCGGGGGTGGGTGCCTCTCCTATACTGGGGGGTGGGTTGGGGTAGGGGTTTCATCCTTAATGGAGTTTTTAAAATATATTTTTCTCCACAAAAGCTGGAGCCCGGTTCTCTTCCTGGGTGTAAAATAAACGGCATTGTGGTGAAATCTCCGTTGCGTCTAGGGCCAACTGTCAGAAACTTCCATCGGCTTGGATTGATTGATTGATTGATTGATTGATTGATTGACTGACTGACTGACTGACTTACAAATGTTTTGTTTCCAACATCTTGTCTCCGCACAGGCTGCGCCCTCGTGGAATGTAACGTGTGAACGCCCGCAAATCAGCTGGGGTTAAGGGTTTAGCATCTTCCCGGGACAAGATCGAAAGGTAAAGAGTCTCCCGCAGCCACTCCTCTTCCTGTTCACACGCAGCCCTACCGGGGGGGGGGGGATATGTGTAGAAGGGAGGGTTGGCTTCACACCTGCTGCCCCTGTTTCTGACCTCCTGGGTGCTTGTTCAGAAGATCAAATGAATGCGTGGAGCTTTGGAGAAGGGAAAGCAGGCGCATCCCCCCCCCCCCAAAAAAATCCATTCACTGTTCATCCAAAAAGGTTGACATTAACTTTTTTCTGGTAGGCCAGTGAATAGATGAAAAATGGGAACCCAGCAAAGGCAAGAATTTCTTAATCCCAGCACCTCTGGGTGCCTTGTGTTTATTGTGGGATAGGTACACTCATACATTCTTATTTATTTATTTATTGCAGCATCCACACAACACCATTGACATCTAAATGCCAGTCAATGCATTCATCCCTCTCTTAAACTGGATGTACCCTTTCCAGCATCTTTTGATAAGTAAATAATAATAATAATAATAATAATAATAAAAGCAACAATCCTGTTGCCAATGTTCCATTTCAGGCACGGGGTGGGGACTATATTCACACTAAAAAAATAATACAGTAGTTTAAAAGTGGTGGAATGATCCTTATCGCTCAGTGTCATCAAAGTTTTAAGAGCTATCTATGTGTTTACTTACCATCCATGTCACTGCAGGAATGCTCCCTTTACAAGAAGTGATCCTGTCTATGCTTATCTACCCTTGCATTTTGGTAGTTCTGGCCTGTTTTTGGTGTAGCTGCACATTGTTCTTAACAGCACAATCCTAAGCTTGTTCAGAAGCACCTTTCTGTTAAATGCGGTTTCCTGCCAGGTAAAGTGATACAGCATTGAAGCTAAAGCAAGAAGTCTTGAATTTCCACCCTCCTTGATAAGCCCTTGAAGCTGACCCTGTGTAGGTGAAGTGCAGGATTTGGCAAAAAGCATCTAAGTGTCTTGACCAGCTGACAGGTTTTCTATGAAAGCTTTTAGTTGATACTAAGCATACTGCTTGACAATGGCTGGTGTTGCATAAATGTTAACTAGCAAAAGACAACAGAATAACATGCACCAGAGGAGATGTTGTGCAGCAAGGGGCCAAAGGCCAGACCTTCAGCCTCCTGAGGATTGTCAGCTTACCTGTATAATTCCTTTTGAACTGCTTGCTTCCTATAATAACTGGTGCTGGTTAACGTCCTGATGCGTCAGGTTAAACATGAAAAGCAAGTTACCCAAGATGACTGTAGATATTTAGCTATACTTTCAGTAAGTACTGAGTACTGACTAAACCAGAATGTGCTCTCCCCCCCCCCACTTCCAGGTCACATGATGCTAATTCCCAACAATATTAACTGCTAGTTTGATACTCCAACATGTACCACGTTGTGTTGTTAGAGCTACCACAGAGGCCTCCCAGGGACATGCAAGCCCCGAGGTAATGAAGTGAGTTCTACTTTAATAATGCATTGCATTGATTTTTTTTCCAGTGTATTAGTCTTTTAGTTTTATGGTTGTTATCTTGGATTTTTTTTTCCAGTTTGATTTTTCTTTGTCTCCATTTCAAATTTGAAAAGAGCCAGGGAAATAATACAGTCTGGTGGCGCTTTTTTTTCTTCCTTAATAGGTTGTTGCCAATGCCTTTAATGTGTGGCAGAGGGGAAACTTTCAAAGGAACGAAGGTAATAAAGTCAAGTAGAAAGGAAATATGTAACTATCTTTGTTTACATAAAATGGGATGATACTTTATGTACCTTTAGATTAAAAAGTGGGGTTGCGGCACCTTGAGTAGATCAGGGTAGATCAAATGGATAATTTGTAGCAGCTCGGTAATGAGTTCTAAGTTCCAGTTTTTCCATATGCCCTGTTTATTAAGCATTCATTCTGATTTGTTTGCAGATGACTTTGTGTCAAAGCAAGCATTGTCCCACAATTTCCAGTACATCCCCCCCCAATCACTTTCCATATTGCAAAAAGTCTGGTTTATGGGGAAAGGGCGTTTGTTGCACAAGATTTCGCAATCAACCCATGGAGGACATGGAATGGAGATTAGCCTCTTGGTGTGTGTAATTCTTAGCTAACGCTGTAAAATCTCAAGAGAATGATACAGTCCCATGCTATATCCTTCTCTTCTGCTAAACACACTGTGCTGCAAATCAACCTTGTACCAGCAGCCCCCCTTTGTTTTCCCACCCCTTCATATGGTTCTATATGTGCTAATTACAGTGGTACCTCGCAAGACGAATGCCTCGCAAGACAAAAAACTCGCTAGACGAAAGGGTTTTTTGAGCTGCTTCGCAAGACGATTTTCCCTATGGGCTTGCTTCGCAAGATGGAAACGTCTTGCAAGTTTGTTTCCTTTTTCTTAACACCGTTAATACAGTTGCGACTTGACTTCGAGGAGCAACTCATAGAACGCAGTGTGGTAGCCTTTTTTGAGGTTTTTAAAGACTTTGGTGATTTTTGAAGCTTTTCCAAAACTTTCCCGACACCGTGCTTCGCAAGACGAAAAAAATCGCAAGACGACAAAACTCACGGAACGAATTAATTTCGTCTTGCGAGGCACCACTGTATTACACTTAAGAGACAAGACTCAAATGTATTCAAAGTTTTGTAATAATATTTTTCCTCCATAGTATTTCGTGAATTTTAGAGGGTACCAGCAACATGACATACTGCTGTTACCTTCCAAAGCACCTTCATATTTTATTAAATAAATTCTTGAACTCTGGAGATTTAGATGAAAATCCTAGCTTTAATTTGCAGTACAAATTAGTCACATAGGATGCAGATAACTCTATAAATTTTACTCGTTAAAGCCCTTGAACCACTCTATACAGTACTTAACAGTTAGTCTGGCAAAAGGTTGGGTCACAGATAAGGGATTTGTATCCATATCTGTAGTTGCAAGCATGGGATCAGTGACTGCCAGTTATTCCGTATTACTTAACAAACAATATAAGAATATGGTGCTTAGTTTTAATTTCTTTTGTTCTGTAGTACGTATTCACATCACAAATGTTCTACCGTTTTTCTTTTCTTTTTTCTTCTTCTTTGCTTTAGGATTAATTGTTTTAATAATAAAAACAATTAATCAAAGCGTTATTTAGACAGCATGAAGACATATACAAGAAGGCTGTAAATGAGAAGAAACTGAAACATTCCAAAACAACTTTACAAACCCCATCCAAGTCATATTGACTGCATCAAATATTGCCTCCCAATTTAATGCTTAAAACTAGGGTAACAGTAGCAAGTCAACTGGACTATGAGCCATGCAAGAGTATAGTAGCTGCTGTTTACTTCAACAGGGCTTGTACTGGAGAATTTCCAGATGGATTGATCCCTCTGTTATTAGCTTATGAAAAGTCTTGGGGGCAAGGAAGGAAATGAAAAATACAATCAGTAAACTGCTGTACCCAGGCAAATATGAAGCTTCTCCCACCGCACCCCCATGTCATTAGTGTTAAGTAATGACATAAAATGGAATTTACGCAATATGCAATGTAGCAAATTTTATTAAGGAAAACCATTATAAACAGTTCAACACTTGTTTTTCCTTCTGTTACTCTAATGCAGTTGTTTGTTTATTTATAGTAATACATCCCATATATGAATGTATCATGCTTTCAGAGGTGGAGAAATGTTAAATTACAGTTTTGCTGTAGTGGACACTTTAGCAGGTACAACTATATTACTGTTTTTACAGTTCTCCGACTGTCTTATTATAGAAAAGTAATGGCACTTAAGAAACTGCACCCTGAGATCCAGTATAGAAAAGTGGCCCATTTCAACTGGCATAAGAATACTCAAATACTGAGTGGGTTAACATCTATATTTTAAATTTTCTTTCTTGCTTTGGAGTTTGCCTTTCATATGTGTCCAAATAGAATAATTAGCTGGATTTGTCTTTTAAATTGATGTATGAATGCTGGATGTATTTTATTTTCTTTGAATTTGGCAGGCCCTCCTGTGAGGTTGGAAACAAATTGTTGTACCCAATCATCCATCTGGATGTGGGAGCTTTGAAGGGGAAGAGAGAATATTCAGAACTGGTAAATGGATTTGCATGGGGTTCAGAACTGAGCCAACTTCTGAAATAATATCCCTCAACTTGAATAGATGGCTCTTCAGCAGCCTCCACATGCTTTTAATATCTCCCCAGTCGCGGATAGGAGATTGTGTCTAAATGGAACACCCTGGATTTGGCATCTCCTGGAAGAGTGTGTCGGGAATGCGTGGGAGTATTGGAGTGTTGTCATAGGCCTGATCTCCATTGTCTGCTTTCTGTTTGCTGCACTACCGTGAGTTTAAAATCTTTAAGTACTTCTCAGATTCATACATGAGTAATCTTGCCCGAAGCTCTTCTCAGAAGCTGCCTCTCTCTCTCTCTCTCTCTCTGTCTCTCTCTTTTTTAGGTTCATTCTTTGATGCATTTCTGTCCCTATCTGCATCGAATAAATAGGATATGCCAGAGCAGCATGTTTCTCCTGTTTAAAGCAATATTTGATGGTTGACAAATTAGCTTGCTACACTCTACTGTTGTGGTGACTTACGCTAATCTTTGCTATTTGAAGCAAATAAAAACACGTCACCCTCTTCTCCTTTGATCTCTGCATCATTAAAACGTGTGCATTTCACACACTTAAATGGAGAGGGCAGAGTACATTATTATTATTATTATTATTATTATTATTATTATTATGAAATAATAATTAGTAATAATAATTTGTTTTTTATACCTTGTCCATCTGGCTGGGTCTCCCCAGCCACTCTGGGTGGACCCCAACAGAATAATAATAATAGTAAAGCAATAAAACATAAAACATTTAAAACTTCCCTAAACAGGGCTGCCTTCAGATGTCTTCTAAAAGTCAGATAGTTGTTTATTTCCTTGGCATCTGATGGGAGGGCATTCCACAGAGCGGGTGCAACTAGCAAGAAGGCCCTCTGCCTGGTTCCTGTAATCTCACAGTGAGGGAACTTGCCAGAAGGCCCTCGGAGCTGGACCTCAGTGTCCGGTCTGAACAACGGGAGGTGGAGACGCTCCTTCAGGTATACTGGGCCGAGGCAGTATTGTGTCCATTCTGTTGTTTGGTTCAAATGACAAGCTGCCACACCTGTGTTGCTTCCCCCACCACGACTGCAAGGAGACTGACCCACATGTGGTGGGGGTAAAGAGTAGAGCTAGGAGTGTGTAACATAGTATTCTGTTCAAGATGCTGTTGGAGTATAACTTTCATCCTTTCTGGCAACCATTGAGTGCAGAGGAAGAAGTGCTGCTTCCCCCTTTCCACCAGCCTGCACCTGTATGCAGTTCCGCATCACCTGTGGTTCCAGGCAGGAACTTAAATACAATGTTGTGCTGCAGTTTGTTTCCCCAGTACATACATCACTTGCAGTAACGAAGTATAACAATCTAGCTGGTTGAACCTGAAGAGGTCACAAAAGAGCTTTAAGTCACCTACTGTGATAGTCTTCTCTTGGAAAAGAGCAACCAACTTTCCCCCTGGTATCGTGATGTAACCCAGGGGTAGGAAATGCCCTCCAGGTTTTTGGGACTGCAACTCCTGTCCTCCCTGAACAGTCGCCACGCTGGCCAGGACTGATGGGAGTTTGGGCATAAAGCATAGAGTCTTGGGTTTGGAAGACTAGGTTCAAAAAAGATTTTATTCAGTGATGAATTCGCTTTCTCAATTCCTCACTTGTACAACAGGAATACCAGAGACCATCACCACAGGTTTATCGGGAGGGAAAATGGGAGGTTTGTAAAGCACTTCGCTCAGCAAAATATTGTGAAAATGGATACAGCCATTATCACATAGCAAGAAAGAGAGGAGAAGAAGAATGTGTTTTGCTCATTGATATCACTGGAGCTTACTTCTGAGTAGATATTTAGCACTGCAGCTCCCCTATTCTTCCTCCTGCTTTCTGCCAATGTTCTCTCTAACCTACAGAGCGTTGAAATCGTTCAAAGCAATCCGTATCCCATTTGAGATCAATGGCAAAATTCCCATTGATTCTTTTCCTGGATTGCCCCCATTGTACCACTTATTGCTTCTCTTTCAATTGCTGGTTAGTCTCTGTGCATTCATTTCAAGTATGTAGGTTGGCAATAGCAGGAACAGAGCATGGAATTCTCCCAGCAGGGAGGAAATGGCTGAAGTTAAGTGGGATTCATTTTGAAGTCTGTTATCTTGGGGAAGCCTGTAACTTATTGAACCAACTGTCTGGAAATTTGTGCCGAATAAAACCTGTGTTGCAAAGCCTTTGAGCCGCTTGGGTTTTGCTCAAAAGGGGCGTCGTCATTAAAAATGTCACTTTTTGTAGAGTGGGATTTTTTTTTTATGGGTCACTTTGGTAATGAGCTCCATGAACAGTTTAACAATTCAAAGACTTGAATAAAGCTCTCAAGTCTGTTATGAAAGCTTTGTGTGACCCTAGCCATTTTTAAGTGTGAATGTGCACTTTTTCAGGATTACTGAGCTTGACAACTGAAGCATTATAAAAGCTGTTGCTCATAGCTCCATCTTGTCTTTATTTCTGTGCTGTTAGTATGTATGATGCGTTTGTGTATTTTTTCATTAGGACTGATTAGCAAAGTGTAAGAACTATTACTGTGCTATTCATTTTATGTATTACAGTCATACCTCGTAATAAATATGCTTCAGGTTGAGTGTTTTTGGGTTGCACTCTGCTGCGACCCGGAAGTAACGGAGCGCATTACTTCCAGGTTTCGCCGCTTGCGCATGCTCAGACGGTCAAAATGACGCACACACATGTGCGGAAGCGGTGAGACGTGCTGTCGCGTCTTACGTTCTGTTCGGGATGCGAACAGGGCTCCAGAATGGATCCCATTCGCATCCCAAGGTACCACTGTATTTATTCATTAAAATTTCCAACCCCACACTTCTTGAGCTTGTGAACTCGTAATGATTAGCAGCTCAGAAATAATCAGAGCCATATTAGAACATAATATGATAAACACTTATAACTGTTTTGAACATGGGGGCTGCCCATCTTCAGCAGTTTGCACTTATTTTTAGATTTAATTTGTGTAAAATGCAGCACATCCTTTGGATTTCTTTTCCTCCCCCAGTCAACTGTATGTTGCCTATCGGAATGGAAAAGTGGATCAAGCACTTTCATTGGGCTTTCTGCTATGCTGGATTGCTGGAGACCTCACCAGTTTTATTGGGTGCTACTTGACAAATCAACTTCCAATACAGGTAAGTTGTCTGAGTTTTAAATATCTGGCTTGCTAGAGACCTGAGGCCAATTTTGCCTGTTTTTTTTTTTTTTTAATTTTACCAACTCAACAGGAGTCATTAACCATGAAAAAGACACCCCCCCCCCCAATTTTCACTCGGTGTTTCTTTTAAGCCAGTGCTCTATTAATGCTCCCTCTCTTTGTACTCCATAGCACGCACTCTCTTCCCTCTCTCCCTGCACCACCACAGATATATTTGAACCCCTTTGTTAACCTTTCCTTCCTCTTCTCTTTATGCCTCATTGTGTACCCTCTTCTATTTCTCTCTTCACTCCCATCCGGTTGCCAATGAGAGAACAAAATGCTGGGTTTGCTGGGCCTTTGGCCTGGTTCAGCAGGCCTCCTCTTATATTCTTATCTCTGTCTTTGTCTCACTTCTCACACACAGATCTCTTTGAAGTTCATCTCTGTAGCAACCCTCCCTTTCTCTCTACAACCCACAGAGTACTCTCCAACCTCCTGGCCTCCTATCCTTGTTCCTCGCTTCCTGCCACTTTTCTCACCTCCGCTCTTCTTCAGCATAAGAGGTTTTTGCTCTCCCTTCACCTCACACTCTCTCCATTAAGAGATTGGGCCACATGGTGTAGTGGGGCTGGTTGGCTGCAACAGGCTGGGAAGTTGGCACCAAGTCTGCCATAGATTTCTGAATACGCAGAAGGAAAGGAGCAATGTGGACATAGTGACATAGTCAATCCTTGCTCCACATTTCATAGCCTTCCTTTGGCCTTAATTCCCCCCCCCCCCATAGAGGTGGAAAAGGACCACAAACAACAGAAGTTTGGAATTCTTTTTTATTGCCTGTTACCTTGATTTGCATAAAAGATAAAAATGGGATATAAGTAAAGGTGCTATTTTGCCTACTTTGGATGTTTTGCACTAAAGTATGCATCGTTCTTTTCATCTTTTTCAGATAATCACAGCCATCTTTTACGTTAACATGGACATTATTATGATATCCCAGTTTGCCTATTATAAGCTAAAAAATCAGAAGGCGACAAAATGTGAGTCTGTTGATTGGAGACTGCAGCTGGATGTAATTTGCTGCTGCTTTTAAAAACAAATTCTTAACACTTAGAAACTGCTTTAACCCTGGGTGTGTTTTTAAATAGCATGCTTGCACTAGATGGCTTAGACTCTAGATGCCTTAAACACTAAATGTTCTTGCAATTAGGATGCACCTACTTCTAGAAAAAGTTGCATTACTGAATTATGATAGTCACACACATTCTCCTCCTGGCACTAAACAAGGGAAGAAGAACTTGGGACCATCGTTTGAAACTCCCATTGTTCTAGGTGCGTTTTGTGACAGGGAATTTCATTAGTGTGAGCAGTTTCTGAGCTCTGGGTGCAGTCCTGCGCCTAAGATTTCAGATTAAAACTGCACAGTGGAAGGAAAGGGGGACGTTTTTCTGCCTCCCCACTTCCAGCCACTCTCTGGAGAAGACTGGAGAAGAGATCTTCTTAAGAATATTAGAAGGGCAGGCAGGGGAAGCACGGCTTTATTTTTTGCACTCTTAAGATGAGGACTAAACCATGTGAAAAATGAACATAATATTTTAGCTGCAGTTCATTCATTTTCAGCTTTGTAGTCTTGTTATAGAAAAGTCTGTCTGGACATTCTGTTGTCGCTCCCATAAGCTACGTTTAAGGTGCCATTTAGCTTTCATATGTCAGTTTCTAATACTGCTTGGGACTCATTTACAGTGGTGCCCCGCAAGACGAATGCCTCGCAAGACGGAAAACCCGCTAGACGAAAGGGTTTTCCGTTTTTGAGTTGCTTCACAGGACGAATTTCCCTATGGGCTTGCTTCGCAAGACGAAAATGTCTTGCGAGTCTTGAGATTTTTTTTTCGCTTTCCCCCCCCTTTATCTAAGCCGCTAAGCCTTTAATAGCCTTTTAGCAGCTAATCCGCTAAGCCTTTAAGCCTTTAATAGCCGCTAAACCGCTAATAGCGCTAATCCGTTAAGCCGCTAATAGGGTTGCTTCGCAAGACGAAAAAACCGCTAGACGAAGACACTCGCGGAACGGATTAATTTCGTCTTGCGAGGCACCACTGTATTTTAAATAGATATCCTGGATAACGACTGGATAGTAAACAGGTTGCTAAATCAATCCTGAAAATATGCCCAGGTTTAGGCTACAATCCTAAACCCCCCTACTGAGTAAAATACCATTGAACTCAGTAAGGCTTACTTCAGAGCAGACTGACATAGGATTGCACTGTCCTGCATTCATCTGTGTTCCATGGTTTACTACTTTTAGCATGATAGAGTTACCCTTAGACATTCCTGTGCAGCAGAACAAGTTACTTGTATAATTTGCTAATAATGCTTAGCTGCTTTTCGTAGACAAGCCTTTGTGCTTTATGGGATCCACTCCAGAGGGCCCCAAGCTTGGGAGGAAGTTTTGAGGGAGGGTCTGGCATTTGAAAGGAAGGGGGGGGGGTTGTTTGGTTTTTTAAAAAAACCACGCTATTGCCACCAGTTCAGATGCTGGCCTGAAACTATTGGTATCACATATTATGTCTCTGTATATCACAAACAAATGTTAGATTTCTTTAAAAGCAATAATGAAGTACTTAGTTGGCCCTGATTTTCATTTGCTTTTCAAGGTGGCATAAACTTGAAAAACTGTTGTGTCATCTGGGTCTTGATGTGCATCATACTCGGTTTGATTTTACCTGGTCCGTTACTGCTGCGGAACCAAGTCCAGAATACTCTTTCAGGAACAAGTGAGGTACAACTTTTTAATGTTTCTATTTTATTACTTTGCTTGTGCTGTTCTTGATACCGATAGTAGTGTGGTATAGAATTTCCAAGTAGTTAAAACCCCAATGCTAACTAGCAGACTCAGTTTAATACCACTTTTCCCCATTTATTTAAATGATTTCTTAATTAATTGCATTGACTGCTGTGCATAGGTTAGGAGGCAATGCTGCCTTTTGTGTTTAAACTTCTGTCAATCTCGAAATTATTATTTCTCTGTGTGTGTGTGTGTGTTTTGTTATCTTCAGAAGTCTCATGGCATGATTGAGATGTCAGGATTTGTGTGTGGCTACATATCGTGTCTCTTTTATTTGGGATCTAGAATTCCCCAGCTGTATAAAAATGTAAGTATTTTATTACTTATTTCTAAAGACAGTGCACGCCACATGCAACATTTATTGATCAAGTTGGGGGTCAGCTGCAGAGATTGGGAGCACTGGATCGTTCGGCATTTGAGGCTAATTTGAATAAATTCCTATAATTTCACTAAAGGTGACAAAGATTTAATAGGTTGCCTATTAGGCTTACGATGCTGTATCTATAAAGGTAAAGGGACCCCTGACCATTAGGTCCAGTTGTGGCTGGCTCTGGGGTTGCTGCGCTCATCTCGCTTTATTGGCCGAGGGAGCCGGCGTACAGCTTCCGGGTCATGTGGCCAGCATGACTAAGCCGCTTCTGGCGAACCAGAGCAGCGCACAGAAACGCCGTTTACCTTCCCGCTGGAGCAGTACCTATTTATCTACTTGCACTTTGATGTGCTTTCGAACTGCTAGGTGGGCAGGAGCAGGGACCAAGCAACAGGAGCTCACCCCATCACGGGGATTCGAACCGCTGACCTTCTGATCTGCAAGTCCTAGGCTCTGTGGTTTAACCCACAGTGGCCTGTAAATTTAGGAAAGTATTTAGTAGTAGAAAGCCTGCTTTGCATGCCAAGGTCCTAGATTCAATTCTTGACATCTCCTGGTAGGGCTGGGGGGAATCCCTTTGTGGAATCCCGGAGAGCTGATCCCAGTCACTGTAGACAGTATGGAGCTAGATGAACCAATAGTAGAAAGTTGTCCCTGTGTTCCTTTCTTTTTCTTAAAAGGTTGCCAATGAGAAAGACACGTGGAGGCCAAGATGGTTATCACAGGATTCCTAATTTATTTCTGGTCATGCGTGTAAAAAAGAAAAAAGTATGTGTGCTTTTGCTATAACACTGCTTTTACATTTATTTTTTTTAGTTCCAAAGAAGATCCACAGAAGGCACCTCTTACCTGCTTTTTGCTTTAGCCATGATGGGAAACTGTACCTATGGTCTAAGCATTGTCTTAAAGATGCCTACAACACAGGATCTCGTAAATCTTTATTTCTGGCATCATCTCCCCTGGCTTATTGGGAGCTTTGGGGTTTTGTTTTTAGATATTTTTGTATCCTTTTCAGATGAAAATGACTGGTATTGCTGCAGCCTCTTGGTAAATAGCATCTTGCAGGCATATGATGAATTAATAGCTTTTAGGTGAAAAGGCCTTCGGGGCTGTAGTAAGGAAACAGTATTCAGTAGGGTACCCTGTCATCAAATCCTTGCCCGGTTGGCACAAGTTTACCAAGCTTAGCTTCAGGTAGGTAGCTGTGTTGGTCTGACACAGTTGAAATAAATTAATAAAATTAAAAAATTGTCCAGCAGCACCTTAGAGACCAACTAAGTTTGTTCTGGGTATAAGCTTTCATGTATCTGAAGAAGTGTGCATGCACATGAAAGCTTATACCCAGAACAAACTTAGATGGTCTCTAAGGTGCTACTGGATATTTTAAAAACATTTTTATTTATTTAGCTGTTATATCATAGCACACACATTTGTTCAGTTTGCTCAGTTGAGAACACATCTTTGAATGCGTTCAGCCTATATTTGTTGTTATATGGGATTCAAAAAGGTATATCACATCCATCTGTCCATATACTGTATGATTATACTTGAAAGTGTGGCTTTGAAAAACTGTCAGAAGGAAGAAGAATGTTTAAGTCTGCAATCTTATGTACACACTTCCCTGGGAGATAAGCTCTACTGAACACAGTTGAAATTTAGTTCTGAGTAAACATGCATACGATTGAGCCCTACGTCTGCAACCCTGTATACACACCAAGTCCCATTCCATAGGATTGGGCTGTAAAATACATACAATTTTATATAGCATGTAGCACACTTACCATAAGGTTTTGTGGTTACAAGTTGATTAATAAGTAATTGATGACAACCTTAAATCACGGGTCTCTAGCATAATTTGCATCAGGAAGCATTCATTAAATAAATGCTGCACCTTATTGGCTTTGCCTGTGCTGTTTGTTTCTGGTTTTGGTTTGGCAAATTGCACTCTGTCCCAGATAAAAGCTTATGGTTAGTCTGTAAAGCCATCTGCTAAATGACACAAAATGCTCCAGAATGAGAGGAGGGGGGAGGAATCTCTTCACCAAATTGTAGAAATGTGGTTGGCTTCACATTTCATATATGTGCTTCATGCCCACTCTAATATAGAAAGGAATTGTTTCATATAAGCCTTAATGTTGTTAAAGAAGGGCATTTTTTAAACAGCTGGCATTATCTATCAGAATACTTGTTCAGATTAAAGCGCCAGACTGGACTGTCAAGTCTTTAAACCCAGAAAAAGAACATTTTATTCCACCCCACTTTATTCGTTTGCTAGGGTAATAATACGTATGTCTAACAATCCACTCCATAACACAGTTCAGTGACATTACTCCACTTCAGTGGGTTATATTGACTTTAATCCAATGGGTTTCACTTAACCTGAGTGAGCTGCACCTTGAGCTTTAAATGTTGCATTACAGCCATCTCCTATCCACTAAAGGTAAAAGGTAAAGGACCCCTGACAGTTAAGTCCAGTCATGAACGACTCTGGGGTTGCGGCACTCATCTTGCTTTACTGACCGAGGGAGCCGACGTTTGTCTGCAGACAGTTTTTCCGGGTCATGTGGCCAGCATGACTAAGCCGCTTCTGGCGAAACTAGAGCAGCGCACGGAAATGCCGTTTACCTTTCCGCTAGAGCAGTACCTATTTATCTACTTGCACTTTGACGTGCTTTCGAACTGCTAGGTTGGCAGGAGCAGGGACCGAGCAATGGGAGCTCAGCCCGTCGCGGGGATTCGAACCTCCAACCTTCCGATCAGCAAGCCCTAGGCTCTGTGGTTTAGACCACAGCACCACCCGCGTCCCTTCTCCTATCCACTAGATAACAATAAACTGCTAGCATAATTACCAAAAGGTTAATTAACCAAAGGCGGTTGGGAGGCTAGGTTTTCATTTTTGATAAGTTAAAGCAGACTTGATAACATGGCTATGGCAGATCAGCCAATATTGTGTTTAAGTGTGCCCTGTCAGGAGAATAATAGAAGTGCCAAAGGGGGTGGAAGCCACTCAGTATTGGTGTAGAAAAAGCTGCATGTGCCCTGTGATACACTTAGTGCATTGTTCTGTGAATATGCACAGCACCGGGAGAACCAAGACAAATTGTGACAATGCACAAGAACTGAGGTCACATAGGCCCCTCTCTTTTAATTCGTACTTTAATTGAAACGAATCCTAGTTAACAGGCTTGAAGCAGTCCATAATTCCCACTGTAGTACAAAAACAGTGTTGCCTGCTGCTGTGGTCTTTTTGCCTATTGGCAGCCTTCTGGAATGTATGGCTTCTAGCCATAGTTTGAACAAAAAGCATTTTATTCCCCCAACGGTGAAAACCATGTCCGGGTCTATTTGGCTTTAGCTGGAAACATAACACTGGGAGGATTTCTCTCTCAAAAATCTGCCTCTGACCTCTGTGCCCATTTTCTAACGTTGTTTCACGGCACTGAACCTAAAAGGACTTGAAAATCACTAGCCACAAAGTTCTCCACGAGCAAAATGGCGCACAATTCCCTGGTCACAAATATCTGCGCAGATTATTCTGTTGTGTGTCCTGTGTGAAGTCTGAATTGAATCTTAATGATGGATGATATCCAATTGTGGTCATCTGTTAGTAGGATGACTTTAAAGGGGGGTTGGTCAAATTCATAGTAGGGACGCGGGTGGCGCTGTGGGTAAAACCTCAGCGCCTAGGACTTGCCAATCGTATGGTCGGCGGTTCGAATCCCCGCGGCGGGGTGAGCTCCCGTCGTTCGGTCCCAGCTCCTGCCCACCTAGCAGTTCAAAAGCACTTCTAATTGCAAGTAGATAAATAGGTACCGCTTTATAGCGGGAAGGTAAATGGCGTTTCTGTGTGCTGCGCTGGTGCAGGCTCGCCAGAGCAGCTTCGTCACGCTGGCCACGTGACCCGGAAGTGTCTCCGGACAGCGCTGGCCCCCGGCCTCTTAAGAGATGGGCGCGCAACCCCAGAGTCGGTCACGACTGGCCCGTACCGGCAGGGGTACCTTTACCTTTACCTTTAGTCAAATTCATGGAAATTAAGGATATTGGTGGCTACAGTTCTCATGGCCATATTTTGTCCAGTAACGGAGGCAGTTTGCCTCCGAATACCAGTTGATTGCTGGGGTTTATAAGTAGGAGAGTTCTTCTGTGCTCATGTCTTGCTTGTGGGTTTCCACTCTGCATCTGGTTGACTACTGTGGGAACAGAATGTTAGACTCGATGGGCCTTTCAGGGCGCTTCTAATGTCCTTCTGGCTGCTTAATTTAAACATTCACTTTTGTTGCTCATAACTCGAAAGCGATCGCTGTATAAATTGTCTTTCTGTCTCAAGTGACTAATAATTTCCCTGACTTTAATACCCAGATAACTGCACAGTTTATTTTGTATCGCAAGCGGAAGGAGAGAAGACCCAGCTTGGTGGCCTTGGAAGTTGAACCTCTGCTCATAAATGAAGATTCCTAACCTCCATATTTTTGCAGCATTTCATTCTGAAGTCTGGAAGGCTTTTCTTAAGGGGTGATGCTCATTAAAGACTCAACATACCATCAGGTGCTTACGCTTGGACAAATACAATATCACAAAGGAGGGGGAAAGCCAAAGTTAAAGTTCCAGCATATTGTCTGCGCTTCGGTTACTGGACTTCAAGAAGAGCTAACTCTTAAGGGGATTGTCCATCCCAGGAATAAAGTCATTTCCCCCCCAATATTAAATCCATAGTTGCAAATATTTTATTTACTTTTTAACTACTTGGTTCATTCCTGCAATCTAGATCTGCATTTCTTTTCTATGTGATGGTGTGATTCTAGTGATATTCTAGTGATATCCTGGCTTTAGTCATTGTGGTTGCCCATTGTGCTGTTGAGGCCGTCAGTTCTTGTTTACGGAACTAGAAACAGTGAGAGTGTTAAAAGCAACAGAGATGCTTGAGTTTTTCCTTGGAAAAGTAAGTACAAAGCCTGTATTATTTAAGATGTTGACTACTCTTGAGAGTTTTGGGAGAAGTGGTAGTTCAAGAGTTATCAATGTGGCATCCACAAGTGCAGATGCAAATGTGCCTTGGAGACTGCAGGTTCCCCAAAGCTCCCTGTTGAAATTTGACCTGAAAGAAGCATTTTGTTGCAGCAAATAGAATAGTTCGTGGTGTGTGCCCATGACAATTTCTCTGGTTTGCTCTTGGTCCCACAGTGTAGAACTCGATGGAGTACCAGTCATTCTCAGTCTAAAACATATTACAGTGGTACCTCTGGTTACGTACTTAATTCATTCTGGAGGTCCCTTCTTAACCTGAAGCACCACTTTAGCTAATGGGGCCTCCTGCTGATGGGGCTTCATCCTGAAGCAAAGTTCTTAACCCAAGGTACTGTTTCTGGGTTAGCAGAATAACCTGAAGCGTATGTAACCTGAAGCGTATGTAACCTGAAGCGTATGTAACCCGAGGTACCACTGTTGTTGTTGTTGTTGTTGTTGTTGTTGTTCTTCTTCTTCTTCTTCTTCTTCTTCTTCTTCTTCTTCTTCTTCGGCAATCACTCATAGCTGAGTAAGATTGTCTTCCATGAATGTGTTCTTAACAGTGTGTCCATAAGTGACTGTGGAGGCCAGTTCTGGATCTGCACATCCTTCCACAGTGGGAACGTAGGTTTCTGGGTGGGAGTTGATCACAGTGAGGATTTGCCAAACATGCCTTCTTTGCTTGCTTCTCCCTTTCGTCCTGAGTTTGTGCTTCTTCAAAGTCCATGATGTCTTTGGTTAAGGCTGTTCTCCAATTGGAGCGCTCGCAGGCCAATGATTCCCAGTTGTCAGTGTTTATATTGCATTTTTAAAGATTTGCCTTGAGAGCATATTTAAACCACTTTTGTTGTCCACTAGCATTACCATTTGGAATACTAAGGTTCTCAAACTGTGAGATGGGCCACCTTAAGGACACAGTACAGTAGAACAGGCACAATCTGATGCCTAGCCTTGATTAAAAATATGAACATGAAGAAACAGACAAACAAAAGTTCATAAAATTAAAAAATTGTGATGTTCAGATCCCCCTCTCCATATATGCAAAATAACTACAGCCCAACCTCCCCAAAAGAGGAAACAACTCTTCCTGCAGCCAACCCAAAAAGTTATTGCCTGTGAATCACATGATTCCCATGTAGTAACCAAGTGAGTCTAAGACATCAGAGCACATCTTTTCATCTCACATGGTTCGTGGGATTTTAAAACTTGGAATATTCCTTTCCCTGTCCAGTTTTTAAGTCAAAAGAGAGTATTTATTGTATATATCCCTCTCCACTTGTACTTCAGGTACAGCACCAGTGGGCTGCATTCTCCATGGGTGCTGCATCTGTGGATCAGGTCCATGTGTTTACTGTATACATATTTTACTATGTGCAATGTTTCTTAATTGTTCCACTGTATGGGGGGCGGGGGCACCAAAGTTTATATGGATTTTCTAGCTAGAACTGTAAATAAACTATCTGATTTTCCGGGGTGGGGGAGTACAGTACAGTCTAACTTGGAGACAGATGTTGTTTCGGTCATTGCTATTTTTCTAGAAAAAGAGGTGCCAGAACTCACCATGAAAACCTCCCTTAATCTCTTACAATGGCAATGGTGCCCAAATGAGAGGTGCTAGTACTGAGTTTCCTCAAGTTCCGGCTGAAAAAAAAAAGCCCTGGTTTCGGTTGATCTGGGCTATACAATTAAGGCAGTGGGTTAACTTTTTGAACCAGATCTTCTAAGGCATTTATTCACAGAACCACATGGATTGTGATCTGACCATTTGCCTCAGGCAATTCAACTAATTCAGTGTATTGTAGAAATCCTTTCAGACTTAGGGTATATTGAATGATGGTACCTTCCTATTGTCTCAGTTCCATACTTCCGTAGTGTGAAGTGTCCAGATTTAGTTGCCCCATTTCAAGACACATTCCACAGAGCAGAAGGAGATGGAGAAGAGGACAAAGAGGAGAAGCTGAAGGTTTTAGGATACAGGCGTACCTTAGACCCCAAACGCCTTGGTACTCAGAACGCCACAAACTCAGAAGTGAGTGTTCCGGTTTGCTAACGTTCTTTGGAACCTGAACGTCCAACAGGGCTTCCATGGCTTCTGATTGGCTGCAGGAGCTTCCTGCAGCCAATCAGAAGCCGCACTTTGGTTTCCAAACATTTTGGAATTTGAACGGACTTCTGGAACGGATTCTGATTGACTTCCAAAATACGACTGTACTTTCCTTATAAAGAAACGCTAAAGAGATTGTGGAGGCTCAGTTTTGAGAGAGTGTGTGTGTGTGTGTGTGTGTGTGTGACACAATATAGTTTTATCACATTATAAGCAACATGGCGAGAGTGGAAAGAAGGAATCTTAGAAAAACTATTGGTATCAGGTTTTTGGTGTGATCCCACTTCTCAGACATCCCTCCCTTCATTCCTCACCATTGGCCATGCCGCCTGGGACTGATGGTAACTGGATTCCCAACAACTTCGTGGGAGATCCCTGAACTAGAGCATGACAAAGACAAGCTCTAATAATAGGATTTCATTACTATGCTTATCTGGAAATGAGCCTACGAGGTGCGGGAGCGGAACAATGTAGTCAGATAACGAGGGTTTGGGGTGACATCTTTTAATTTAGCTTTTAATTTCCTTATAATGCAGGATTTACACTGCAGCCCGTGGCAGCTCCTTGCAGTATCACGGTGAACCTGGGATGCTATGATAATTGGTAACTATTACATCTGATGTATCATAATGACTTGGCATATCACATTGCTAGGTCTTGTGTTAATTTTCCTGGTCCACCAAATGTTGACAAATGTCAGAGTAAACTTGTGTTCCCTGTGGATTTCATTTTTCTTTTGTAGATTTCTAAAAGCATAATAACTGTCATGAAATCTGGCAGCCGGGCACTGGGATATTTTTAAGTCTCTGGTTTCAGGCAAAATTCCTAGAACGGATCAGATTCCATTATCTGAAACTGACTCTAAAGCAAGAGACCTCATTACTAGGAAAGAAAGAAAAAAAAGACTGTTGTGCGAAGCCTATGAATTCTGGTTCATGAGTATTTCCAACCAATTCTTTTGACATTTAGTGTAACGCTGAGTTTCTGTTGAACAAGAAAAGGTAACTGTAGCTATCTGCATGGAGCGTTCACGGTGATGCAGATTGTTCATGAATAATAATTTTGAGCACAAATTCTTGCTCCAGAGATGCTGTCTTCATGCATGGTTCCAGCAAATTAAGAACCCCACATATTATGATCCAAGAATGCATAGGGATCTTATGTTTCAGATCTCTGATCTTAGCATGCTTGGGTCCACACGAATCAGCTGTGTTGCTGTTGGGCCTCTGCACCTAAAACTAACACAGGTGAGCTGTACGACCTGCCTATCAAACATTAAAGGATGCTAACCCGCAAACAGGTCGTGGGCCATCAACCACCCTGACTTGGACAGGTTTTTTTTACTGTTTACAGCTAAAGATAGCTGCTGCTGTTTTTATCTATTATTAATTTTTTGTTCAGGTACCTAACAGCAATAAAATATTGACACAGTTGTTATTTGTTTGTTTGTTTGTTGCAGTTTTTTTTATTTTTTACCCTGCTCTTTTGGTTGGGGGCGGGAGCATCCTGAGTGGGTTACAAAGATCAGTGGTAAGACGATCCTTGCCTCCAAGCTTACAATCTAACAGTGCAGTAGGAGAGCGGCCAGGGGCGGGGAATTGCATCTGGCAACGCATGAGACCCTTTGGTTTCAAGGGACGCGGGTGGTGCTGTGGTCTAAACCACTGCGCCTCTGGGCTTACCGATTGGAAGGTCGGCGGTTCAAATCCCCGCAATGGAGAGAGCCTCCATTGCTCTGTTCCAGCTCGTGCCAACCTAGCAGTTTGAAAGCACGCCAGTGCAAGTAGATAAATAGGTACTGCTGTGGCGGGAAGGTAAACAGTGTTTCTGTGTGCTCTGGCTTCCGTCATGGTGTTCCGTTGCACCAGAAGCGATTTAGTCATGCTGGCCACATGACCCGGAAAGCTGTCTATGGACAAACGCCGGCTTCCTTGGCCTGAAAGTGAGATGAGCGCTGCAACCCCATAGTCACCTTTGACTGGACTTAACCGTCCAGGGGTCCTTTACCTTTTACCTTTACCTTTACCTTTACCTTACCCTTTGGTTTCAGATAGTACATGGGTAGACGAGTCTAAAAAGCCTGGGACAAAAATTTTCATGGCCCTCTAGCGGCTATGGTGGCTCATTTACCAGAAGTAATGTATTTAGCATTAACTCTGGAAGTGTAAACTCGATTCTGCAGCCGCCTAGAGCAAAATATGCCATATTTCCCTGTGTATAAGACTAGGGTTTTTCCCTAAAAATTAATGTTTAAAATTTGGGGGCATCTTAGACATGGGAGCCATCTCCCCCCATTTTCTTAAATCGGAGTCCCCAAAAATAGGGGGCATGTTATACATGGGGGCATCTTATAGACGGAAAAATACAGTACAGTGGTACCTTGGGTTATAGACGCTTCAGGTTACATACGCTTCAGGTTACAGACTCCGCTAACCCAGAAATAATACCTCGGGATAAGAACTTTACCTCAGGGTGACAACAGAAATTGCGCAGTGGCGGCGTGGCTACAGCAGGAGGCCCCATTATCTAAAGTGGTATCTCAGGTTAAGAACAGTTTCAGGTTAAGAACGGACTGCCAGAACGAATTAAGTTCTTAACCCGAGGTACCACTGTACATACATTTGTGCCCAGGGCTTTTTAGACTCGTCTACCCATGTACTAATGGGACGCAGGTGGCGCTGTGGGTTAAACCACAGAGCCTAGGACTTGCCGATCAGAAGGTCGGCGGTTCGAATCCCCATGACGGGGTGAGCTCCCATTGCTCGGTCCCTGCTCCTGCCCACCTAGCAGTTCGAAAGCATGTCAAAGTGCAAGTAGAAAAATAGGTACTGCTCCGGCGGGAAGGTAAAACGGCGTTTCCATGTGCTGCTCTGGTTCGCTAGAAGCGGCTTAGTCATGCTGGCCACATGACCAGACAAATGCTGCAGACAAACGCTGGCTCCCTCGGCCTATAGAGTGAGATGAGCGCACAACCCCAGAGTCGGTCACGACTGGAACTAATGGTCAGGGGTACCTTTACCTTTTTACTCATGTACTATCTGAAACCAAAGGGGTGCATGGGTTGCCAGGTGTGAAGTATATTGGCATTATTTTCAGCTCTCCTACCCCACTATAAAATAATAATAATAATAATAATAATAATAATAATAATAATTTTTTATTTGTACCCCGCCCATCTGGCTGGGTTTCCCCAGCCACTCTGGGCGGCTTCCAACAAAGATGAAAAATACACTAAAATGTCACATATTAAAAACTTCCCTGAACAGGGCTGCCTTCAGATGTCTTCTGAATGTCAGGTAGTTGTTTATCGCTTTGACATCTGATGGGAGGGCGTTCCACAGGGCGGGCGCCACTACCGAGAAGGCCCTCTGCCTGGTTCCCTGTAACTTGGCCTCTCGCAGTGAGGGAACCGCCAGAAGGCCCTCGGAACTGGACCTCAGCGTCCGGGCAGAGCGATGGGGGTGGAGACGCTCCTTCAGATATACTGGACCGAGGCCGTTTAGGGCTTTAAAGGTCAGCACCAACACTTTGAATTGTGCTCAGAAACGTACTGGGAGCCAATGTAGGTCTTTCAAGACCGGTGTTATATGGTCTCTGCGGCCGCTCCCAGTCACCAGTCTAGCTGCCGCATTCTGGATTAGTTGTAGTTTCCGGGTCACCTTCAAAGGTAGCCCCACGTAGAGCGCATTGCAGTAGTCCAAGCGGGAGATAACCAGAGCATGCACCACTCTGGCGAGACAGTCTGCAGGCAGATAGGGTCTCAGCCTACGTACCAGATGGAGCTGGTAAACAGCTGCCCTGGATACAGATTTGACCTGTGCCTCCATGGACAGCTGTGAGTCCAAAATGACTCCCAGGCTGCGCACCTGGTCCTTCAGGGGCACAGTTACCCCATTCAGGACCAGGGAATCCTCCACACCTGCCCGCCTCCTGTCCCCCAAAACAGTACTTCTGTCTTGTCAGGATTCAACCTCAATCTGTTAGCCGCCATCCATCCTCCAACCGCCTCCAGACACTCACACAGGACCTTCACCGCCTTCACTGGTTCTGATTTAAAGAGAGGTAGAGCTGGGTATCATCCGCATACTGATGAACACCCAGCCCAAACCTCCTGATGATCTCTCCCAGTGGCTGCATGTAAATGTTGAAAAGCATGGGGAGAGGACAGAACCCTGAGGCACCCCACAAGTGAGAGCCCAGGGGTCTGAACACTCATCCCCACCACCACTTTCTGAACACGGCCCAGGAGGAAGGAGCGGAACCACTGTATGACAGTGCCCCCAGCTCCTAGCCCCTCAAGACGGTCCAGAAGGATGTTATGGTCGATGGTATCAAACGCCGCTGAGAGATCCAGCAGAACTAGGAAACAGCTCTCACCTTTGTCCCTAGCCCGCCGGAGATCATCAACCAGTGCGACCAAGGCAGTTTCAGTCCCATGATGAGGCCTGAATCCCGACTGGAAGGGATCCAAATGGTCCGCTTCTTCCAGGCGTGCCTGGAGTTGTTCAGCAACCACTCGCTCAATCACCTTGCCCAAGAATGGAGGATTTGAGACTGGGCGATAATTGACCATCGTGGCCGCATCTAAAGATGGTTTTTTAAGAAGCGGTTTAATAACCGCCTCTTTCAGTGGGTCTGGGAAGGCTCCCTCACGGAGGGAAGCATTCACCACCCCACGAAGCCCATCGCCCAGTCCTTCCCGGCTAGCTTTTATAAGCCAGGATGGGCAAGGATCCAGGAGACAGGTGGTTGGCTTCACTCGTCCAAGCAGCCTGTCCACATCCTCGGAGGTAACAGGTTGGAATTGATCCCACGCAACTTGACTAGACAGGACTCTAGCACTCTCCCGCTCTGGCCCTGCTCCCACGGTGGAGTCTACTTCTTCCCGAATCTGAGCGATTTTATCTGCACAAAACTTTGCAAAATCATTGCAGGAGATCATGTGGCCCGTACTGGGCCCAGATGTCGCAGGTGGTTCTGCTAAATTGTGAACCACCTGAAAAAGTCTCCTGCTGCTGTTTTCTGCAGATGCAATAGAGGCGGCGAAGAAAGTCTTCTTCGCCGTCGCTATCGCCACTTGGTAGGCTCGACGTTGAGCTCTAACCTGTGTCCGGTCAGATTTGGAATGAGTTATCCGCCACCGGCGCTCTAGCCATCTCAACAATTGTTTCATTGCCCTCAGATCCGTGGAAAACCACGGGGCTGTCCGGGCTCCATGCAATCGGAGAGGGCGCTTCGGAGCCAAACAGTCAATAGCCCTGGTTAACTCCATATTCCAGCGGGCCACCAGGGAATCAGCTGAAAGGCCATCAACATGGGATAAAGCATCCCCTACCACTCTCTGGAGACCATTTGGATCCATTAAGTGGCGGGGGCGGACCATCCAAATTGGTCCCACCTCCCTGCAGAAGGGATGGGTCGCAGAGAAGTCCAGTTGCACCAGGAAGTGATCTGACCATGGCACGACACAAGGGGGCGGGGAGGATGGAGAGGGAGGAGGAATAAAGCAAGCTCATGCATCAGTTCTTATAGTGACCTGCTTGGATGTAACAGTTGAGGCAGCCAGATGGAAAAGATAATTTCAATAGGCACCTTGGCTTGAAGGTGGGCACCATTTGCTGTTCCATCACAGGTAGCAAAATGTGTTTGACTGACCTTGGGAGGAGTGCCTATTAACTCTTTGCCAATGCCTCCAGCTAGAAACATGAGGAAACAACATATGGTTTGGCCCTCTCTGGTGTTATATCAAAAGGAAAACACACATACAATCAGATGTTTTAAGATTCTTCTTTCATTTTCCGCCCCCACCCTCATAATTTCTGAAATAACATTTTTATTTTAAAAAATAATATGCAACCAGTAGTGGAAATAAACAACAGATTTTCATCTCTTGCTTGCTCTTTTCAACAACTGTCAGTAAATCAATATTTTAAGGTCCTCCACATTCCATTAGATTTACAAAAGGCAAGATCTCCATTTAAAGTAGCGGGGAAATGTAGGTTTTCTGGGTTATCGGCAAATCTCGCCTCTGACATATTGAAAAGACCTCGGTACGCTACTGAGGCAGGCTTGTTGAAGTTTTGGCAGATGAACTTTGCAGGGATGCTTTCAAAATTGCTGTGTCTAACCTGAACCTTTCAAGTTGGTTCAGTAAAGATGTGCACCCCCAGGGATATTCCCAAACACCTTGCACTGGTGTAATCCTGCTGAACCTAATTGAACTAAATCAGTGTAAGCAGCCTGTTCAGTGAGAATTTTTGCTGCTTATTCACTTAGCAGGCTTACCAATGTAACAGGCCATGTGTTTTTTTCTCTTCTTTTGTACTCCCGGGACTTTGTTAATAAGGAGCTTATGATAACTGCAAGATCATTTATTTTCACAGGAACTCGTCAGACAGTCTCTCTGGTCCCTACTTAGACGTTTTCTAACGTTGCTTACCAATTTCTTAGTGACTAGTAAATTTGTAAGCAGTCTTGCAGCGGTCCACAGGCGAGGCATCAAACAAATTCCCTTCTGTTTAGCCCATATTCTGACATGATCCTAGTTCTAGTGTCCAGGGAATGGAAAGAGACGCTGCAAATCTCAGCAACAGTGAGTGCTGTTTGATGGCGCTCTAATCTGAATCCAGTTAGATGCTATGATGAGACATCTGGGGCACCATCAGTGGGCCAGTTAAATAGGGACAGCGCGAGAAGGATTCACTTTTCATAAATGTTCTCAGCAGCATGAAACAGCACCCCACTTTTTAAGTAATATTTTCAGGCCTGCATTAAAAGATGAAAATGTTGTACAGAATGACGACAACAAGTCATCTAAGTGTCTGGATCCTCCATATGGACAATCTGCTTTCTTACTCAATTAACTTCACTTGTCGTTAGTGACATCACATGGCCAAATCTGAATGGCTACATAGCACCGTGATGTCATCATATATATACAGTGGTACCTCAGGTTAAGTACTTAATTTGTTCCGGAGGTCCGTTCTTAACCTGAAACTGTTCTTAACCTGAAGCACCACTTTAGCTAATGGGGCCTCCTGCTGCCGCTGCGCCGCCACTGCACGATTTCTGTTCTCATCCTGAAGCAAAGTTCTTAACCTGAGGTAATATTTCTGGGTTAGCGGAGTCTGTAACCTGAAGTGTATGTAACCTGAAGCGTATGTAACCCGAGGTACCACTGTATATATACTGCTGATTGGCTGGGATAACTCTATGAAGGAGAAAGAAACCCCAAGCTAAGTAAAAATGACACCCAAACTAAGAAAATAAAGTTGGAACAGTAATCAATAGGCTTGAAGCAAAGTGGTGAAATATATTTTCTGACACCACTTCAGGAATCAGGTGGTGTAACAGATAATACGTATTTAATGCAACATAGCTTAGTCAGTAAATTTACTACACTTCTATCTGTTTGTCTTCTGGGGGTGTCGGAGCCATTTACGTACAAGACAGTAGCCAAACAGTAGAAGAAACTTCTTAACAGGAAGTTCAGTTTGACAAATGCTTTGGGGGGCTGGTGTCCTGTCCTTCGTTGAGGGTCTTCAGACAGAGGCTGGACCAGAATCTGCTCTAGCTCTGTCATCAAGCTCAGAGCTAGACTAGTTGGCTCTACCTCCCATCTCTGATTCTAGATGCATCCTCCTATCAAAGGCAAACCCAATAATAACCAGCAATTGAAAATGAGTCTCGTATAGCCCATATAGGATGTTCTCTTGACCACTGTGTCCATACAGTTAAAAGGACCTTAGTTGTGTTATAGGAATTCTAAGGTCTTATATATATATAAATTAAATGTTCATAAATGTACAAGGTAAACACATACATAAGTATATAAACCACATGTCTGAAATAGTATGGGAGAGCAACCCTGAAGCCATTTTGACTCTTTCAGTCTCTCAGTGACCTCAAATATTCCTCTGCAGTGAGGAAGCTTCCCCATTGTCTCTTTACTCACAAATCCTGTCTTAAGGGCATATTTGTGCATGAATAGGATGAGCCTGGATTCAGGAACTAAGTATTTAGCATCTCAAACGGAATGGCCAGGCTGCCCAGGTAAAGCAATCAGTGACCATTACCAGGTATCCTGACAAGCAGGATTTCTGTTGGAGACCACCTCCTTCTGTGATGTAAGTATGATGTTTTTTGGGGTGGTCTTGAGCTACAGAGTGGGCAGTTTCAAATGTCTATAAGGGCTTGCACACCATTGTTCTGGGTTCCTCCTCCCTCCTGTGTGTGGTGAGTGAGGGCCCTGTTGCAACAGTTTAATAAAGATCAGGCTTACTAGCTGCTTTGCTTGTCAATATACTCTGGTTGGCCTCTGTTATTTTCGCCTTCCAATAGGGAAACTACTTAAGGACTCTATACGGGCTGTTGGGTACCCCAGAAGGGAAAAGAAGCAAATCTTCGTGGTGTGTCTAAGCTAGAAAATAAGACGCTGCCTTATTAGATGGTTGGTCCATCTAGTTTGGTATTATCTCCTTTGCCTGGTTAGGGGTTCATCAGGTTTCAAATAGCAGTCTTTCTGAGCCTCACCTGTAGATGCCAGCAACTGAACCTGGGACCTTCCTCATGCTTTGTGTTCTACCACTTATTGACAGCCTTTACCCTATCACTGTGGACAGCCAAACTATGCCTAAGCTTCCTTGAACTACACCAGGCATAGGCAAACTCCGGCCCTCCAGATGTTTGAGACTACAATTCCCATCACCCCTAGCTAACAGGACCAGTGGTCAGGGATGATGGGAATTGTAGTCCCAAACATCTGGAGGGCCAGAGTTTGCCTATGCCTGAACTACACTGATAAAAGGCCAGATTAGTCGATATACAGATTTCCCCAGGCAACTAATACCAGTGGAGAAATTACTTCGGTTCCATCCCAGAGCTACTTCAAGCACCATTAGGACACTTGCAGCGGGCAGATTGCTGGTTTTGTGCACGGCACGTTGATTTCTCATATGTAGTTGAGCATTGTGATTTTCAAGCTCCTCTTTCCACCAGATGTCATTTCGAATATGCTTGCAGAAAAGTTCTTGCATCCAACTTTGAATTGCCTTTTCAAAAAGGTTGCCCGTTCTGCGGAAAGTTTACCTCTCTTCCTGCAGTTGATCTTCCCGAATGGCAGTGTTTGCATATGTTCTGTTTGTGTGTTCCCTTCCCCACCTAGAAAGCAAATAAAGTTCTGAAAACGCCTCTCGTAGTTTCGCTATCTTTGTCCATATGTTTGACTGCTTCTGCAGAAATCATCTGATGTGTTGTTTGAGCATCAGCACAGAATCTGACTTCCAAGCTTGCAATACATAGAGTTTTCAGCTCTCTACTTTGTGGTTAGACAGTCTCTGGCTTTTCACCATTTCCCTGGGTAGTTATTTCTTAGATGCCTGTCATCATTTTGAGTCTGCTGGGGTTAGAGTTACTGACATTGAGACTATGCAGTCCTAGGCTTGTAAATTCCTCTTCACATGCCTCTGGACAAGAGGACTAGGGATCGAATACTCTTTATTATTCCTTTGCAACCTATAAACCAGGACTATCCCAAACCCTTGTTAGTGCAGATCCCGCAAATTATCCTGTCTGTCCACAGAACTGTCTACAGAGAACTGATAATGACAGTATGTGTGATTCTGATTTACAAATTTGATTGGCTAGGATGCTGACAGAGGGTGGTATCCAAGAGGCATCAGATGATCAGAGATTAATCTCCAGGTCAGGGTTTGTCACCTGCTAGGGAATCACTGTCAGCGAGAGATCATTTGGAACAAGATGGGGAAGTGCAAAGGGAGAGGCAAGCTTGAAGCCAGAATCTATTAATATTATTGTTAATTAAATTTATATACCGCCCTTCCCCCAAACATCACCGGGTGGTTCACAATATAAAAATAAAAACAAAACAAAAACAAAACAATAACCCCCCTCCCACAAAAACATTTAAAAATACCAGAATGTTTAATCAGCCAAAGGCCTGGTTACAAAGAAACCTTTTTGTCTGGTGCCTGAAGATATGTAATGAAGGAGGCAGCCAAACCTCTCTGGAGAGAGCATTTCACCAACAGGGGGCCACCACAGAGAAGGCCCATCCTTGTGTTGCTATGCTCTGGACCTCTTGTGGAGGAGGCACATGAAGAAGGGCCTCAGATTATGATCTCAGGGCCCAGGTCAGTTCATATGGGGAGAGGCAGTCGGTCCTTGAGGTATTATGGTCCTGAGTCATACGTTATAGGGGAGGAATAGATGGACAAACTAGCTATGAATCTGCACACAGACCAAGAAGCAACTATGCAAGCAAAAGTGTTTTTCCTGTATGCTTGGGATCCAGCTCCTAGTTTCCAGAAGTGTCTCACTGACACACACACAAACACTCCAAGCTGACTTCTCAGATTACCACCAGTAGGGCATCGTCTTACTTGTTTGGATTGATGGTGCTGCATTAAAACCTGCTAGACAATACTTGGGATAAAACACAACTTCTGTTGGCCAAATGAAACAAGCATGATAGGAAGCTCAGTGTCTTAATTTTGGTGGCAGCACCAACATGGAACTACTAAACTGCATTCCTCCTCAGTGCACACACACACACACACACACACACACACACACACTTGAGACTGACTCTTTTTTAAAAACAACAACCCACAAACCTGTGATTTCAACAATTATAATTGCAGAAAGTTCATAAGCCGTAACATTTTATTAAGATACAAAGACCGACTGATGTTTGCAAAAGAAAACCATTAACCACTAGATGGAGCACTTGTGATTCTGAAATGAAATATCAGGCCTTAAAGAGCTTAAAGCTGTTTAGAAAAGGGAGGGGGAGCTATTCTGCCTATCAATCTCCAGCTGCATTAACAAGAGGGACCCCATATGCCTTGAAGACTATTCTTTCTGTTCCCTGCCTTGGTACATTTTTCTACCTCCCCTTGGGCCAGGTCAGCTGTGCCGTGCCACACACATTGGGAAGTTGATGCCTACCTGTGGTATATTTTTTCCAGCTAGCCACATCTTAATGTTAAACGATTGACTGATATTATTCACTCCTTGACGATTCGCTACTAGCTGTGTGCACAGCTGATCACATAATCATAACAAGTCCTACCACCACCACCACCACCCAGGATGCAATAAACAAGCCAGGGTGGAAATAGACATTACCCTTGACATGACCTCCACCAAGAGGTCTCTCTCCATCCCTGCCCATGCCTGCATCTGGCTACAATGCTTCTGATGGAGAGGAGCAGCATTCCAGGGTCTGCCTGTGAAGATCCCTCTACCTTCTGGGCACAGCTCCAGAGAAACCATCACCCAGTCCACTCCACTCTGCAGCACCTCTTTAAAAACGGGCATTGAGGAGGTGATGGCCTGTAAAACGCTCCATTCTTTGGATGTCTTTTTGAACCACTTACTTATTTGTGGTACGGTTATGGGGTGTTTCATTTTTGCTGTTGTTTTGTTGTTTTGTTTTTTTAAATAGACTTGATGTTTAAAATGTCGTTTTCACTTTGTTTAGCCTGGCCTTGTCCCTTAAGCCACTCGGTCAACTTTGTGAGCACGCTGGTGGGGAGGGACTGTTTCCACTTAGAAAAGCACACAAATGAATGAATCTTCAGAATAATGAATGGGATTAGACAGATTCACAGAAGACAAGGCTGCCAATGTCTACTAGCCACTGTCAGAGACATTATGCCTCTGAATACTAGTTGCTGAGAATCACAGATGGGCAGACTCATGTTGTGCTTATGTTCATCTTGCAGGCTTCCAACGGGTATCCGGTCAGCCACTGTGGGAACAGGATGGTAGGCCTGATCCAATAAACTCATTTTACATTCTTCTGTGGCATCATTAAACTGTACATTTCCTTGCCTGTGCTCCACATCTTTGATTGGTTGTAGAGGTGAGATGCACAATGTGACAACAGTGGTAAGAAGGCCAATCTTCTGGAGATTCTCAACACAAGGTTGCCATTTTCCTGTTAGCAACTGAATAAGGCTCACTGTTTCATTATCTGCATCCTTTGAAATAATGATAAGATACCCAACCAAACAAAAAAAGGGGGGCTGATTTAACAGTTTCTTCATTTCTTACTTGAGGTGTGTGGAGTAGAAACTCTCAGTTCACATTTAACAGACTACCTGATTGGCCACAGTCAACCGATACAGACTGAAAGTTCAAAATCTGTGGAAAAAGTCAACAAAACCAAAATCGATCATACCAAATAGTTCAGGCACTCCCTGTACAGTGTTCCTCAGAAAGACACACATCGTTTAATTTACAATAGAAGTAATTAACCCTTGTCAATTACAGTGTAATTACTCAGTGACTTGAGTGTCTAATTGACACTGATAATTAACTTTTCACACCATTAGGTGAAATGTGATTTAGTTTTTCCTGCACGGTGTTGAATAAGTCATTTGAATCAAAGTGGACACACAGATCAGCCCATAACATGTGATCACCTTATGTGTTTAATTACTAGAGTGTAGTAACTGAAGGAGTATAAATATTATGACACATGATTCATCTTTTTAAATTTTAATTTGTGTGGTGGGTAATGAGTCAACAATGGTCACTGACTGCAGGATCAGAGCCCCACAACCATATCTGTTTATGGTTTCCCTCACTCAAGCATTATTTCATTAAAAGCTTAGATCTTTGAAGTATTGTTTCATTTAGGAAATTCCAGACTTCTCTCTCTCAGCTGATTTTGCTTCATTGTGGAAGGAGGCACCTTCTGTTTCAGCCTTTAAATGCCTGCAGAATGCTTTTCTATTCTGCCATGCTTAGACTACATTCAAACAGCAGTTTATTTCACTTTCTCGATGTTTCCCTAACTGTTAATTTCCACATGATGACTATTGGAGCGTTCACACGATGTAAAAACCATTTTTGGAAATATAATGGAATATACTGCAAATTCAGTGCTCCTTTCCATGTTATTTGCTTCTGGAAAACAATCTGCTTGCAAATAACACAGAAATAAGCACTAAACTTGCTCAAATATAACATGCAAGTTAACAGTAAGGGAAATAGAAATAGCTTCTGTGCGACTACAGCCTTATGCAGGCAATTAAGAATACATATTTCCATTATAGTTATTTGATAGTCCATGATTTTGGTTTTTATGTGTTTTTATTCTATATGGATATTCTTCTAAATTGCTTTGATTTTTTAAAATGATATAGCATTGTATAAACAATTGTATAAAATTAAAATAAAGGAAAGGAAAGGGCACAAGGACTCTTGAATACTTAGCTCTTCAGTGCATGAATCTGTCGGTTTGAGTTCTCTCTGTTTCTCATTTTTTTCAATCTTAAATTCAGTTTTCCACATTACTGCAGCAATCTGCAGTATTTTTTAAAATCCTTATTAAAATTCATCAGCATTTTAGTGCAAATTTCTCCGAAGAAACACATTTTTTTAATGCAGTTTTGGCTAATGTGTATATTTTTGTAACCAGTCCCCCCTGAATATAATGTTGGAAGCCTCCCAGAGTGGCTGGGGCAACCCATTCAGAGGGGTGGGGTATAAATAGTAACATTATTATTATGGAATGGGATGTCCCTATTTTCATTGGAGAAATGTTGGAGGGTATAGGTGACGGGACCAAGAGAAGGGCCTGCCCCAAAGATCTTAAAACCTGGACAGATTTGTACGAGGGAATAAGGTCTTTCAGATAGCTTGGACCTAAGCCATGTGGGACTTTATAGGTCATAACCAGTGCTTCAAATTGTGCCCGGAAACAGATTGGCCTGGTTATGACCTATAGAGTCCTACACATCCAAAGCTATTCTGAACACACAGAGCTAGTCCCATAGCTTTCCAGATTGCTACCTTTCCTGTCGTTACTTAGTTAGAAAGGTAGGCATTGCTAGATACAGGAACATGTTTACTATTCTATAGTGATGTGTCAAACTGTTCAAGCCCAACTAATACTACACTGTTACACAAAGGAGATTGAGGAGTATCATAGTTTCAATCAGCATTAGGGTTACATTAGGGTTGCGCACCCAATTTGTCCAAGGTACATTGTTTAATATAAGAGCTTGGTCGTGTAAATGATCACATCGGTAATCTACTGGAAATTGTTACCAGTTTTCACATAGTACGTTATAAGCAGCTATCTGTGGAATGTACACCAGTAACAAGATGATTGATCTCAGCTAGAAGTATTTCTGCAGCAAGGGAAATAACACTGGATCAGTAACTCAAAATAATAAGGGAAGTTCCTATTATCAGTATTAGTACATAGGTGAGAGTAATCAAATATACCTCCATTATCTTTCTAAGTTCTTTCAATGCACGGATACGCTAAGTCACTGCTGATAAAATCCAGAATGAGATATAATATCACATCATGAAACTATAGTTTGTTTATTAGATCTATTGCTAAGCCACATTTTACAGTAGGTATCTATGAGTCCAAATTTACAGATACTCCTAAAGTTAGGGTGGTTTCTCAGTAGAAAGCTTTTTGGGGCAATCTGAGGTTGAGTGGTTCCTGCTTACTCTCTTGAAATATTCTGCTAAATTGCCCTTTTTGTTGTTGCTTCATTTTTCTTTTGGTCTAGTTTATTTTGTATTTATAACTAGGCATCTCACTGATTCTAACATCGTTTTAACTGATTTTAATATTGCATTTTTCTTTTGTTGATTTATTTATTTATAAAAAGTATTTCTGTATCGCCAGCTCATACAATACAACATGATAGATAAAGTACAAAACACCATAAAACCAGTACAAAATGATCATTAACTTGACTGGCTGATGGGGGCAGGGAAACTAAACAGTTGCATACATGGACTTAGACCGGATTTATACTGGGGGGGATGGACAGGACACCCACCTGTCATCAACATCTGACTCTAGCAGATTTGGAATGAAATGTTTTAAATTATTTTCTTTTGAACCTAAGTGCTCAGAAAAATCTGTCAAAATCTTTCTACAGTTTCTACTTTTAGTCAAGTATTTTTATTTATTTACCTGATGGGGGGGCAGTTGCCCCCCTGTCCCCTGGCTATGCCCATGGTTGCATAGGACTAACTACATAAAAAGGTCTTTGAGAGGCATCTGACAATCAAATGTGACGGTGGCTGCCAAATCACTGCTGGAACAGTAGTTCACAGTGTGGGATGTTAAATGTTGTAACCCAATTAGTAATAACAATACGGTGGTACCTCGGGTTACATATGCTTCAGGTTACAGACTCTTCAGGTTACAGACTCTGCTAACCCAGAAATAGTACCTCGGGTTAAGAACTTTGCTTCAGGATGAGAACAGAAATCGTGTTCCAGCGGCACAGTGGCAGCAGGAGGCCCCATTAGCTAAAGTGGTGCTCCAGGTTAAGAACAGTTTCAGGTTAAGAACGGACCTCTGGAACAAATTAAGTACTTAACCCGAGGTACCACTATATATTATTACTTTTTCTATTAGTTTACTCAAGTACAGGAAAACCTTATCCTGACACTGAGCAACATGACTTCTTTAATTTAAATAACTGATATCTAAGCAGCTCACAAAGATGCAATACAAAAAATAAAAATCGGTTCAAACTATAAAACCAAACCACAGTATTTAGTAGGTGCTGGAAGTTCAACAGGGAGGGAGCCTGCCTGACCTCAACTGGAGTCCCATAAAATGGGGACTACAATACTAAAGACTTAGCCCTAATGATTGCACTCAAAGGCTTCATATAGACGTTAAATATCTGACAGGGACCTCGCAGCCAGAGGATGGAGCAATAGGCACCGCAGTATTTTTCTTTTACTTCTTCGCACTTGCCATAATTAGAGGTGTTTTGATCTTTAAAAGTCATCTGTAAAAGAAACGATATAGTTGAATGCTATACTTTCCCCCCCTTGTGCAGGTCTTAGATTGTTGGGTTCTCTCCCCCACCCACATCCCTGAAAAGGATATCCTTAAGATATAGAAATAATATCTGAGATGACCTGCCAGTTTTCTGAACTGCTGTAATGGTTATACTGTAAAGAAACTCTTGACAATGATGAATAACCGTTGAAACTTCAGAATAGCAGGCTTTGTTTATTTTGCCATCTTGTTGCATTTATGTCAGGTTTTTCACTTGGGGCTACACTTATTCTTTGAAAGCTGAACTGGTTCTCTGTCATTTAACATTCTCTTCCCCCTTCCCTCCTCTTCCCTCCCTCCCACCCTACCTTACTTTTCTGAGGCATTACATGGAAAAATGATGGCTTAAGATGTTGCAATTTGGACTTTCACATTGATTATCTGCTGCTTCAAACCTTTGAAAAAGCTGGGGCTAGGCCCCACGGCAGGGCTTCTCTCCACGAGAAGAGGGCTCTGTACGTGTGCATTTCTGGACTGGAAATTTCAAGCACTCCTGTTCTGCGCTGCTAGGCTGAATATGTTTCTGCTTGATGGTTGCTACCCTCCAACCACTGAGAACTTTTTGGTTCTTTTGGCCGCGTGTACACAGTTGTCAAATGTGTCCTCAGCCTGCTACCTGTTCCATGGGGTGAGCCCTGAAACAAAAGCAGAAAACCAACCACAGAAACAGAGTGGCACCCTTATTTGGGGGAGAATAGGAAAGTCTCATTCATAAGCGAAATGTCAGTGATTCAAGACAACCCTACATACAACCATACAATAAAAAAGTATTAAAAGGTTAAAACCAGAAATCAGAAAACCGAAATAAGATATGAAACAAACAAATAAATATGCACAGAACCACCACCACCCACATTCAGTGAACGTGTGAGGGATTAGTGGGATTGTGTCTAATTGTCTCGCCCTTGATAATAAACAACTACCGGTATCTGACTTTTAGAAGACACCTGAAGGCAACCCTGTTCAGGGAAGTTTTTAATGTTTGATGTTTTATCGTGTTTTTAATATTCTGTTGGGAGCCGCCCAGAGTGGCTGGGGAAACCCAGCCAGATGGGCAGGGTATAAATAAATTATTATTATTATTATTATTATTATTATTATTATTATTATAGTGCTTGGCCATGCCCCTTCAGTCACGCATTCAACATTCATGTGAAATCCTGCTCCCATCTCTTCAGCTTCGCTATCGAATCCGGAACATTGCTTAGCTGAGATTCCCAATGGCATGGAGGAGCTCTACTCATATACATCACAGCAATTTGAGCCTGAGCATAGAAGGCCCCTTTCACACTAATGCTGTACATAGGGCATTCAACCAATCTGTGCTGTCAGAGCCAGGATTTCTACCTGCTCAATGGGACTTTCCTGCCTCTCCTTCCTCCACGTTCTCCCCAGAGGGTTGGCGGAACCCTTACAACAGATTTAGGGGTCTGTGGGAACGGAAATGCATTGTGCAACTGGAAATCCTTGTGCTGATGGGACACACTCAATGCTCCTTTGGAAACAAACAACGCAGGGTCTTTGGGTGTGTAGCCAGCAAGTGTGTTAGCATGGAGGTGTGGCCAGTGAGCAAGACTTGCTCCTTTCCTGACGTGTTCCCTGAATACCTGCTTGACGTAGTTTCTCAGTCTACCAAGGCTCAGAAAAAAGGCACCCACTGGAAACTAAATTAACCTTACTTTAAGAAATGAATGAATGAAAAGCCTGCCTAGCTTTCTCAGGAGGTTCTTGTTTAACGTCCCCTCCCTCCCTTTTTCAAAAGGAAGACAATTTCACCTCATTTAATTTGGCCAAAGAAAAGGAAAAACAAGTACAATGAAATGGTCTGAAGATGCAGATTAAGTTTGGTGGGTTGAAGTGTGCTGAGATGCAAGGAGGTCAGTTTTTGAATTGCAATTGGCTCTGAGGCAACAACTTTCCCTCACCCGCATTGAGCAAACAAAACAGCATTGTGTGTGGAGATGAGGAGCCAAATGGCCTGGCCATGGGAATAAACCCAGAGGGCGAATGGCATGGCAACTTAAAATAACACAACACTGTATTTGAGTTCCAGACCAAAGGACTAATAGCTCCTTCTGATAAAGCTGTGGTAATTAATACCTCTGTGGTTTATTACAGGACCTCTATTCTTGCTCTGCGCTATTGAAGGGTGTAAGACGTGACCCTGGGTGGTTTGTGGAACAGTTTGATTTCTGGTGTCTGAGGAAGAGAAGATCCAGTAAGCCTGGAAAAAAGAGAGTTTCCAAGAAAAAGCATGATTTGGCCTGTCACCTTCAAACCCAAAGGTAAAAATCCCCTGGCAGGACGAATATCATATGGAATTTATATTTGGGCTGCTGCATTCTTACAGAGCTCAAACACAGGTACGCTACACAATCAATACAGCACATGGCAATTGGCAAGTGCGGCGGTGTTGTGTAAATGCTACAAAGAGATAATCTAGTGCTGTGGGCAAGTGGCTGTAGCCAAGCTACCTCTTCATTGCATTTAATCCTTTTAACTGCAGAAGGACAACAGCATCTTTCTAGGTTTTTTATGACCCTGGATTAAGTGGCACTATTATTTTCAATATGGCCTTTTCATTTTGCCGCAGCGTCTTCCCCCTTCTCTTCCACACTATCCTCAGTCCTCAGGACTGCAGATTTTATAAATCTGGAATGTGCAACAAAGGAACTTTGTTGGGTCTGGTAAATTTAGAAACTCCCCTTCACTAAGCGTTATTGAAGGCACAATTTCCTATCTAAAACAACTCACAAAGAATGATGTGCAGCTTCAGAGCAGCGGCCATACTGCCAGTAAAATCATTGAAATCTAGCATAACCTGTCCAAACACAACTCAGATCAGGTATAAAACATGCTGGAACAGTTGTCCAACTTTTAAAAAGTCATTTTCTGGTAATGAAAAGTTGTAAGCGTTGGCAGCAGGCGAGCTTCTCTAGGGAAGACAGTGATTGTGTTAGGCACCCATGACTGAGAAGGCCACCCTCCTGGGTACGTCTCTGCACATAACAGGTGATATCTGATGGTAATCCTACTCAGAGTAAACCCTTTGAGACCAATGACTTACTGGGATATTACCCAATAAGTTTAATTACTTGACCTACAGCTAATGCCACAACAGCCATTTAGTGGCCAAAGTCCTATTGGAACAAGGAAGTATTTGCCTGCTGGTGAAAGAAAAGCAGAGAGGAAGCCAGTCTACCCCAGATGGAAGGGAGTGCCACAAGTGGGAGCAGCCACCAAGGAGGCCCTCTGCCATGTCCCCATCACATGTGTCTGTGAAGGTGGTGGGACTGAGAGAAAAGCCTCCCCAGAAGAGCTCAAAACATGGGCAGGCTCATATAGAGAAGATACAATCCTTCAAATAGCCTGGATCCAAGCTACATAGGGCTGTGTTGGTCATAACTGTGCCTGGAAACAGTTAATCTGCCAGCTCATCCCACACCTGATACCAAGTGTGCCCACCCAACTCTGCCCTCCTGGCATTAATTATTTGCCTAAATTTGTAGCTCTAAGCTCTGAGAGGGCATGCCATAATTTGGTCTGGTGCTCATAAAAACCAAGTTGCAAAACTTTCAAAATGCCAATAATAATAATAATAAACACAAGTGTCTAAATCTGAGGGCTCCTGTTAAACTTGAGGTCCAACCCTCCTGCCCTCACCCTGGGCACTGGCACCCTCCACTCAGAGGGCTAATGATGGCTTCTCTTACCAATGAACCCTTTAAGCTTCACTAGAACTTCAAAAGAAACCTTGACAGGATCACAATTGAAAATTGAAAATATTCCGCTATATCCTGGGCAAAGTACAATTCTCCTTTTGTATTGTTTATCACTCTTCCTTTTCTTGTTTTTCTTTACCTTATTCTTAAAAGTTTTCATTCACTGCTAATTCTAGAAGCTAATGTACTGCTAATTTATTTAGTAAAGGTCAACCCTATTTTCCTGTTATATCCCATTTTTGTTGTTTTGCTATTTCTGTTTTGTTTTCTAATAGTACATCAGAATAACTGATAAGGTCAGGTAAGTTGCCCAAGCCTATGTCTAATTAATAGTAATATTTATATTTTAAAGGATCAATACCAGCGCTTGACCTCAATGTACAATTTAAGCTATTACTACATCACTAAATATGAAATGAACTATAATACATTTGAGAGGCAAACCACTTATATCGAACCCAGTTAATACTGATGACGATCTTTTATTATACCAAATGAAAGTGGTGTGGTTCAATTTAAATACAACAAATAAATGAAAGGGTGCATTGAAAGATTTTTCCATAGTTAATTTACTGAGGAGGAGGCTAACCTGGGCCTTCAATATGCATTATCCTTCCCAAGGAAGAAAAACAAACGTTTCCATGTGATAGACCATACAACCTGGACTGACGAAAATAGCTCACTAATGTATTCCAAATATAGCGCTTACAGTATAGAGAAGAAACTATAAATTTTGGTGGGAGAATAAAAGCAGACTACAAAGCACAATGAAGGAATTTAATTTCAGTTATAAGATGCCAGCCGGTATGTTTATCACAAACACTGTTAGCTGACTGAATGCAGTACTCAAAAGCTATTTACTCAAGGGTGTGAGGTAACTTTTTGACTCATGGATTTCCCCTTCCTCCAACACACACTAACGTAAAAAGAAAATGTGTGGTTATATTGACTGGACTATGTTTAAAGGTAAAGGTAATGGGACCCCTGACCATTAGGTCCAGTTGTGGCCGACTCTGGGGTTGCGGCACTCATCTCGCTTTATTGGCCGAGGGAGCCGGCGTACAACTTCCGGGTCATGTGGCCAGCATGACTAAGCCGCTTCTGGCGAACCAGAGCAGTGCACGGAAACGTCGTTTACCTTCCCGCCAGAGCGGTACCTATTTATCTACTTGCACTTTGACGTGCTTTCAAACGGCTAGGTGGGCAGGAGCAGGGACCAAACAACGGGAGCACACCCTGTCGCGGGGATTCGAACCGCCAACCTTCTGATCGGCAAGTCTTAGGCTCAGTGGTTTAACCCACAGCGCCACCCGTGTACCTGGACTATGTTTACTCAAGAGTAGATTTTCATCAACAGGAAATAAGAGAGTTAGACCCACTGAATCTAATGGACCCAAGTTATTCATGTCCACTAATTTCAAAGGGTCTATTTTGAGTATGAAGAATATTGGATACAGCCCTTACAATGAACTGGTAAAAATCAGAATGACTTCACTATCGACTTCATAAAATCATAGAACTGTAGCTTTGGAAGGGACCATGAGGGTCATTTAGTCCAACCCCCTGCAATGCAGGAATCTTACACCCAACATGCTCTACTAACTGAACTATCTGGCACACTTTGATTGGTTAATTCATTGTCTGTTGGGTTAACAATTCTCATTCCGTCGATTCCTACACTACTGCGATTGTGTTCAGAGTCATTACAAGGAAAAGCCACTCCATCTAGCAACTCTGGTTCCAAAGGAAGGTCTCCAAGGAAAGAGAGAGAACGTCCTAGAAACTGGGTCCAAGTTCTTAAGAAATATCATTGTATTGTTCATTTTGGCAGCTGTTTAGGACATTCCTGAATAGCTGGGAATTGACTTGAGGCTCATTCGCAACACACTGCCACAACTTATGACATTTGATTCCTGATGGCAGTGTGCCAGAGTTGGACGCACTGGTTGGTTACCTCTGTTCCTTTCATTTCACAGCACTCATAAACACTGGTTTTTTCCTGCCCACGGTGCAACGACTTCTTCAATATTTATATGAAAGGGTCTCCAATGAAAAGAGTTCATATGCGCCTTACATGGAGGACAAAATTAAGTATTTTGAGGGACTGTAGCCAGTGTGTGCTGGTCCTAGAGCGGGATGACTATTGTTGAACAAGATCTTCTGAGATTCCCACTTCTTTTAGGAACCCACAATTACCTTGTCAGGCTCCACTTCCATAGAATGAATGCAATGGCAATGTATTGTACCATTAATCATTTATCGGAATCATGGATCATTTCAGACAATCCTTCACTATGGGGATCCCACTGCATGGTTGCTTCAGAAATAGCTGCTGTGGGGTGGAGGGAATGTTAGTCACCGCTAGTGTGATAGATCTGATACAATGAAGAGTAGTGAGCAAAAGCTACCAACCTTGCAGACCTGGGTTTCAATCTGCATGAAATGAATGAGTGAGTGAAGGAGCTCAGAATTATTGCATATCCTTCTCAGGAGAAATACTGCACTAAGTCAATAGACCCACTGTAATCAACAGACTTAAGGCATGGCAAGCTTAAGTGCAATGGGCTGGATTCAGCTAAGTTGTGCTAACAGATGCCAGTGTAATGAATCCTAAGTAACCCAACAAGACTTTCTCCCTTCTGCTCCTCCACATGATCCCCGTGTCCTCCCCAGATCTCCTTGAGAGGGTTGGAAGAAGTCCTAGACCATGGTGAGGTTGGGAGAAGAGGGAATATCTGCAAGAAAAGCTTGCCCTGACAGAACAAACATCTTAGCGTGACGTCAGATTCTACCCATTGGTTGCAATGGGTTTACTCTATGACTCGATCAGAGATGTCCCATCTTTTAACATGTAAGATTGCCTTTAGAAATAATTGGCCTGACTATAACAATAACATTTGTGGTGAGCATAAACATTGTAATGAAACCTTGGTACGAATAAGAAACCAAAGAACCGATTGTTGAGAAATGATCTAAATAACAATTGACAAAGAAAGTAATTTAATCTCTCCCTTTCTCTCTGCCGCCCTCTCTCTAATGCGCTAAAGGTTTGTCATCAATAACATACTCCTAATTAACTGTAAGTTTAAAAGTTTTTTCCCCTACCACATGGGTAAGCAATCTCTCGGAGTAATATAAGGGTTGTCAATTATTCTTTTATGTTCAAAACCCCCTATATTGTACTGTAGGTCAATGAGAAGCCACAAAAGGTGAAAATTGTTCAATACTCATGGCCTAAGGTCTGCAGAAATTTCCATAATATAAAAATGGAATCTGCTGGGACAAGAATGCTAAAATACAACCCTACTCCAGGCGATTGGTGTTATGTTGCTTAGTGTGCCATAAACATTTCTAATGAACCTTTTTTTCAGAGGTGGGTTTTAAAAAAACAAACACACACAGTGTTTGTAATTAAAGCATTATCTCTGCAATAGTACTTCAGCCATAAAATTAGGCAGATTTATCAGAGAATGCAGTTTCATGGGGAAAGCATATGACCTTCGGGGGGGAAATATTGGGCATTTACATAGAATGTATTCCTTCCATTAAATGAACAAAGGGCACCATTTTAAGTTTCAGACTGGAAAGTGTGGGAGGTACTTTCACAACATGCTTCAAAGGCCTAATCTTCAAGAGAAACTCCCTCCCTTAACACGCGTGTATTTAATGGAATTAGTCATGGTTGCATTTTTTATTTGCTGGTTTGTTTGTTTACAAATCTGTGCCCTGCTCTTCAGCCCTGAAGGGTTCTCAGAGTGGCCAACACAGCAATCAATTTAAAACAGCCCATCATTGATATTAAAGCAGCAGAGCATTAACAAACAAGCTAGGAAGATTTTTTTAAGCACATTATCAACAGCAGCTAAAAGGCCTTGACAAAAATAAAAGGGGTAGTCACATGGTGCTTAAAGGATAGCATAATCAGGGCTAGGTGAGCATCCTTTGGTAGGGCATTACAATAATGTAAAAATACATTATTATGGATTGTGAACAGCCTCACTACAGATGGTGGGGTAACCTGTGAAATACTGATGAGTCCTCCACCTCCTTCAGGAATGTTGATATGTCTGAAACACAGGCACAAGAGAAGTGTTGCCCTAGCCTCCCTAAATTCCCCCCTTATGCTATTTATTATTTAATCTATGAAGCCTGTATTTGAATGCATTGGCCACTCTTGTTTTCTTACATTTCTACCCTGCCTTTCTTTCATCATGGAACCCAAGGCAGCATACATGTGGTTTTGAGGCAGTCATCCATCCAAATACTGACCACAACCAAACACTGCTAAATTTTGTCATGCACCTTGAGACCATAACCAGGGACTATCCAATATTCTTTATTAGGTAGGGTAACCTAGTTTGTTTTCATCATTCATTCAGCCACTCATTCATCAGAGATAGCATGATATTCAGTTGAAGATGATGAGCAATTGGAGGAATTACCCTTAGTTATATTTGTAACGTAGTTTTTGAGACAGCATCGTAAAAAGCAGAGACATCACCTTGCCAGCAAAGGTCTGTATAGTTAAAGCTATGGTTTTCCCAGTAGTGATGTATGGAAGTGAGAGCTGGACCATAAAGAAGGCTGATCGCCGAAGAATTTATGCTTTTGAATTATGGTGCTGGAGGAGACTCTTGAGAGTCCCATGGACTGCAAGAAGATCAAACCTATCCATTCTTAAGGAAATCAGCCCTGAGGGCTCACTGGAAGGACAGATCCTGAAGCTGAGGCGCCAATACTTGGGCCACCTCATGAGAAGAGAAGACTCCCTTGAAAAGATCCTGATGCTGGGAAAGATGGAGGGCACAAGGAGAAGGGGACGGCAGAGGACGAGATGGTTGGACAGTGTTCTTGAAGCTACTAACATAAGTTTTAACCAAACTGTGGGAGGCAGTGGAAGACAGGAATGCCTGGCGTGCTCTGGTCCATGGGGTCAGGAAGAGTCGGACACGACTAAACGACTAAACAAACAAGTCTTTGAGAGCCACTGGATGGGAGAACAATGAGAAGGACAACTTCCACTGATCTTAATGTGTGATAGAGAGTAGGGATGGGTGAATCTATCCATTTTGGTTTCTTTCAGTTTCTCATTTTTCCACTCATAAGTGCAATTATCCACATTGCCGCAATGTTAAAAAAAAAAGTCCTCATGAAAATTCGCCAGTTAATTTGTCCTAATATACACACATTCACATGCAATTTTGCCTAATGTACATGTTTTTGCAAAGCAATTTCTTCTAACATAACTCAGTTTTAATATTTTCACTAATATATGCATTTTATCTTAGCATATGCATTTTTGTACATGTTAGCTGGCTGAAGAACTGCAAAATTCAGAGAACTGCAAATTTCAAAGGCTGGCTGTGCTTCAGTTCATGGATAGTTTGGTAAAGCAAGAATTAAGTTGGTTCGCCTTTAAATGAAAACTTAAATGAATTTCTTTCCCCATCCCCAATAAAGAGGCAGGTATTCCTTCAGATATCGGGGCCCCAAGTCATTTAGAGATCTGCATGTTCATGTAAATATCTTGAATGGGCTCATCAGTGTACCAGCAACAAAGGCAGGCTCCACAGGACCAGTCTTATATGGTCTCATCTGGCTTTGCCACTCAATGTGATGTTGAAGCAGGAAGGGCAAAATAAGGGAGGCTATTCTCAGTATAAAAATATTGAGGACTCCTCCCTCAAATCAGTAAGCACAGCGCCATACTAACAACTTAGACGGTGGCAGTCTCTGTTCCTCCCAGGCAAATATTATCTTCCTAAGCCTTGCTTTTCTCCGCCTGCGGTATAAAATGAGGGGGGTTTTCCCTGCATGTACCATCCCAAAGGAAAGGTTTGTGAGTGAATGCTGATCATTCCTCTTTAGTTTAAATTAATTAAACGACACTGCTATCTATTGTATGATATAAATGGGAATCATTTTACATCGTATATTGTATAGCGTGATTAGGAAGTATTGGAAAACAATGTAGTTGAGCTTGCAAGAACATGGTCTATAGAGTGAAGGGGAATGTCTTGCAACGGCTTGTTAGAAGCAAGGCACCGTAATCCATCTTGGCTTAATAACTAACATGACAAATATATAATCTGGAGTAATGTACAGCATTGAAAGTACAACTTGCATGTGACTTCGACTTCATGCAAACCATGTGTTAGTGGCCAACTTCCGTGCGCAGCGTTATCAAAAAAGAAATACTGAACCGGTGCCAAGGGTAACATTTATCAATTGTCATGTGAGCTGTGTAACTTTGTTAATGTGTTCGGTCTGTGCTAAATTAATTACACAATGTGATTTTTACATTATTATTATCCAGGCTGAGCCAAAACTACTAACTCATTTCAGTGAATGTTTTTGGCAGCACCAACAAACGCCTCTTTTTTTGTCAAGATTTCTCAGCACAATTGTTCACTTATTTATCAATTTTATTTAGTAGACTTGCATGCTGATTTTCAGGATAGTATCCTCACAAAGCAGCTAGAAAAGTACACAAACTGAAGAAACCATAAATGATAGGATCATCAAAAAGGCGAATATTCATAAATATTGTTTTAGGAGCTCCTATCATTAAAGTAAATAAGGCAGCTTGCGCAAGCCGTGAAGCTCCTGTTGTGCATGAATATTTGTTTTTAGTGAATGCAAGAAGGAAGCATCCTTATCATCGACTGATGCAAAAACTTGGACAACTCAAATTTGTCCAGCCTGAGCATCACCCTCAGGAATTCAGGGCGAATTCAGATGCAATGGCCAATATATATGGAGACAGCCGCGTTGTATACAGTTGGTAGGTGATACAGTGATGGGGATCCAGTCCAGTATTCTGATGTCCTTTAAGCTTCAAGCTCTCCTGAAAATGATCCGCAAGTCACAGAGACAACAGGCTTAGTTATTGTGGCTTGTATCCACCATGCCTTCAGGCTCCTGTTTGGATAATTCATGAAGCAATTCACAGCATTCTCATTTTTCATTATCTAACTGCAAAAGTGTGTTAACATTCTACACTTTTTATTTAATATGTTATTATATCCCCCCCCCCCAATTTAATTGTGTAACTTCTATTGCACAGTAAATTTATTTATCTGAAAGCTTTGTTTTCTTTTAAAAAATGATATGGTAATATTGCAATGGAAGCTACCTGGAAGTAAGTCCCACTCAGTGGGACTTGTGGGTTTTTCCTGAGGAGACACGTATAGGACACTTTTGCCTTTGCAAATCTCCACAAACTTGGTCATTGGAAACTTGGCCCTGGCTTGGCCTGGCCTCGTTCTTTCTGTTTATTCTGAGGGCAGAAGGATGGGGACAATCTCAGTATGCCACTGTGAATGAGTCAAGTTTGGTTAAACTGTTTTTGCATGAAACATTCCAAGAGCCACCAAGAGCTCTGAGTTTACACATATATATCCTCTGGTTTTTGACTCTGTGGACATTTTGGATCCACTAAAATCATTTGGATGGATACTCTTATAAGACAGAAGAATCGATACAATCATTCAGCCAACACAGAAACATTTCTGGCGAAACAATGTTGGGATCTAGAAGCATTCCAAAAGCTTTCTTGGCTATAAATAGTAGACTAGGCTTTGTGAAAAACTGATGTACCAGATTAGCAAATAAGAGTTTTACTATATACTTCATAATGTCAAAGCCCAGTGTTGAGGTTCTTTCAGAAGCAATGTAAGACTGTTTTTGGTATTGATTTCCTGGCTAGTGATAAGATGATATGGTATGGAATTTTAACATCTGTAAACTTTTATCTTGTAATTGGTGCATAATATATACAACCTTTTCACATGTGGTCAGCCACATGATGTTTGAATGAGGCAGACTATGCACTGAATGAATGAAATCAGTATTTATTAATGGTTTCTAACAATTTCCAGTGGGGTAGTCATGCTAGTCTGATGCAGCAACTAGTCGTGAGGCACCCTGAAAACTAACCAATTTAGAATGGCAAGAATATTTGTGAACCATAATCCATTTCAACAGATGCACGATGCATCTGATGAAGTGGACTCTGGTCTGCGAAAACTTATGGCATATTATTATGTCTACTAATATTCTGGGGTGTATGGGGCATTGGAGGAGGGGTAGTACCTCTAGTGAGGGGACATGTCATGTTCCTTCTGGAGTAGTTTGTCCACCTTTGGTCCCCATCCTGAACCCAGCTCTCACCTGTGGCTCACAGAAGCTGTCAGCATGTGACAGCAGCCACACCCTGGAAACAGCTTCGACTGGCCGGCTAAACCAGGTGAGGGTAACCAATGGGTCTCAAACCCTTGGAGAATTAGAGACTTCCCCCACATGCAAAGACAGGCTCCGGTGGATTGAGTGGATGGGATCAATAGTGGGTCTAATGATCAAGAAGGCACTTTCTGTATATGCTGAAGAGGGATGTGAGGGGCAGATGGGTCTCACCAACCTGGGAAGGTGTCCCATCTAGAATGAAGACTCTGATCCTAAACCTCTACTGCTTTGCGGGATATCTTTGGGAGAAGAAAAGTCTAATGGGTAAACCCTACACAAATCTAGAGTGGAGTCCCTAAGACGGTTGGATGGTGCCTTGTACGCCTTCCTTTGGCAGCTCCTGCAGCCCCGCTGGTGCCAAGTGTATTGCTCTTGTCTACATCAGCAAGGCCGAGAGGTGGGACTTGTCATTTGGGCAGCCCAGGAGCTCCATACACACTGCCCAGGTTTTCGCCTTGAGGAGGTCACTTTGGCGCTGCTAGCACAGTGGGTTTGACTTCACCCCCAGAGGCGCACTCTGTTGTTGTTCTCATCACACCACGTTCAATGACAGAAAGGTGTTGAGGTATCGAAAGATACGTTTAGAATGTCTATGCTGCTTAAAACATTCCATGGCAGCTCATAGAACAGCAGCTTATGAATGCACAGTTGGAGTTTACACAGCCTCACCCCAATCCAACTCAGAAGATCTGCATATGGAATCAAGCTTCCTCATGGACAACTGCTGCACATGTTTCCTGTTAGGTGTGCTGCAACAGAGAGGGGAAATGTCCCAAGCAGTTTTTGTCAAGAAGCGTAACATTTCCCCCTTGATAAAGAATTTCCTCAGAATGCATTGGGAACTGTATCCATCTGTGCAGCTGCCTCCCCTCCTTCAGTGCTTTTAAATTGAATTTGAGTTTTTATGTTTTCAGTTGGAATGCTCATTTTTATTTTTATTTTTAAAGAGAACTGGCTCCTCGTAGAATCAGAGGTATCCTGGACCTCCTAGAAAAATAGGCGTCATTGCAGCAAGTGGTTGGCCTTTGTTAGGGAGATTGCTTGCTAATAGCCCAGAATAGTTGGTGTGATGTTAACATATGAGAGTGCTGGTGGTGAAATAGTTAAAAAGGTTACCCAATCAGGACCCAGGGGGTGGAGTCAGAGGGACTATAAAACCAGCTCTGGGAGGGGCAAAGGGAGGAGTTCGTTGGGAGTTGGGTGGTTGGTTGGAGTGGGAGTGAATTGGGATAGAGTTTGTGGGTAGGTTGAGTTAGTGTTGTGAAATAAGCTGAGTCAGGAACAGTTAGGGGCTAGGAAGACAAGTAAATATCTGAGAGGTGGTTTAGTGAGTGAGAGCAGGTAGCGGAAGTTATAGGTCTGGATAGGCACTCCGTGATTGTAATTGACCGATACCGTTTATGAAACCACATGCTTGTTAAACTGCAATAAATAAACAAAAGTTTATGTTCCAATTTAACCCTGACTGGACTCAGTATTGTACCAGGTAGGGCCTGGGTGGTGGCAGCAAGAAATAAAGTGGTGGCACAGGGATCAATAGATGGTGAAACATCTGGGGACCCTATGTGATCACCAAAGTTGGTTACAATTTTCTCAGTGTCTGGTAACGGATGGGAATCTCATCTGCATGTTTTGAATGAGATACGCATCAGAACTTAGAGACGGTGACACCCCGGGCCTGCCCAAGACATTCTGCCATCTAAGGCAAAGGACAAGATGGTGCCTCATTCCACCTACAGAACCTGATGTGATTGGAAGGTTCAACATTGATGACAGGACGACATCATCTCCTGTACCTGAAGCAGCAGGTCAGATTACGGGTCCCAAGACAGGCTGTGTGGCAACAGAGGGGAATGGCAGGGGAGCTCAGAAGAGACCCAGGAGGCTGCTGCTGTCCTTTGCCCAAGTATCTGCAACCTAAGGCGAATGGCTCATTCTGCCAATTAGTAGGGGCATCCATAGCGACCCCTTCTGTAGCTAAGTGGGGAGAGACTGCTTAAAAGTGTCGAAATAAATAAATAAATAAATTGTCCAGTAGCACCTAAGAGACCAACTAAGTTTGTTCTGGGTATAAGCTTTTCTGTGCATGCAAACTTCCTCAGATACACGAAAGCTTATACCCAGAACAAATTTAGTTGGTCTCTAAGGTGCTACTGGACCATTTTTTAATTTTTTTTATTTATTTCGACCGCGCCAGACCAACATGGCTACCTACCTGAATGCTTAAAAATGTGTGAGAGACATAGGGAGAGTAAGGGCAGATACAGCAGCTTTTGCAGAATATTGGGTAGGGTTTTGGGCTGCCAACACAGGGACAGCTTTGTTGGTAGAGCATGAAACTCTTAATCTCATTAGTTGTGGGTTCGAGCCCCATGTTGGGTTGGACTAGATTCCTGCACTGAAGGGGATTGGACGAGATGATTCCTTTCATCTCTACAATTCTGTGATTCTGTGATTTGGGGCAGTTTTCCAGGGCCCCACTCAGCAAAATGAGCAGGAGTTTTCCCAAACATGGCAGGGCTGGATTGACACATTTTCAAGTAAGTGAAGTTACACAGGTTACCATTTAAAGAGGGGAGCCAGTAAGACTATGAAATCAGGAGTCTAAAATGACCTTGCGGCACCACTAGTATCTGTAAACAGAGCCCATATTTTTTTTAATGCAATAAAAACTGTCTTGAGTGTTCTCTAAAGGAAACCAAACCCGGGTCACTCTGCCTTTGGAAGTTTTCACTGCTGGGTGAAGTGAGGAGCACACAGCAAAATAAATATATATATAAACTGGTTTGGTACTATAGGAAATGTAGTTAAGCATAAAAATGTAAGCATCACATACAGCCCCCAGCCCTTATTTACTCAACCATATCCCCTTAGAAAGTTTATCGTATATGTTCTGCAAGTTAAATGCATTTTCAAAAGGTATGCTGAAATAATAATAAAAAAAGGATAAAAGGATAAACCACCCTTTGCATTTCCCCCCTCTTTCCGCCCAGGCATAACGTTGCATTGAAAATGAGCTACTAAAGGACTAATATTGAACCTTGTAAGCAAAAGCAGCAGATCCAGTCAATGTAAATACGGGCTTGTGCGACACGTTTCAAATGAATATGAGTTGATGAATCCTTTGCTGCTGACCTGTTCGAAAGAGCCCCAGTCGCAAATGAATGGACTGCTTCTCCAAGAGAGGTAGACACCAGTTGCAGCCTGGGGAAAGAGGAAGCACATAAAAGCAAATCTAGATTTGCCTTGCAATGACAGCTGCATATTAATCTAAAGAATTTCTCAAAAATCAAAAAGACATTTTTCAGCAAAATACACCCCTAGAGCCTCTATCATAAAGCAGGGGAATAAACTTGAAACGGGATTGATTTCATCTTAAAGGGAATATCTCTTTGAAACGCTACCAGCTGCAGTTGTCTTATTTGGTTTTCAATACTATAACAAAATTATGCCATATTGTGTCAAATAAGGAGATAATATAACAGCTTTAAACAAATTTTGTAATTATGGGATCAGTCAAAAAAAATGAATTATATTTGTATGCATTAGGTAAGTAATGTCACCGAATATTGAATAGATCCAAACACCAACTTTTCCCCCCCTTTCTCTTCCTGCTTTGAAGACCTGTCATTCTAAATATGGCCTTTTAAAAATAATAGAATGACAACCATAAAGGGAGAAAAAGGTACATGCAAATTTTAACTACTGAGAAGTTCAATGCAATCTTTTGCCAAAAGATCACAAACAAATCCCTTTTTGTTAATACAATGAAAGAGAAATACTGAACATGATTTGTACCAAAAAAATAATAATCCAAACAGCCCTTCCCCTTCTGTATTTTAACTTGCAATAAAACGGTATTGCTTGGTTTAGCTGCCAGGGCAGTGACTTGGAATGTACTCACTGCTCATTTTGTATAGCATCTTCATGGTGCTAGACTGCTATTAAGTTGTAAGAAGAGTAAAACATTCTGTTCACGTGTGATGCTTACTTTTCCTCCAATTACCTGGAGTTGAATTTTAGCATCTGGTGTTTAAAAAACCCTTTTATCTGGAAACTGCATATCGCCCAGACACAGGTGTTATGATATCTCCCTTCCAGGTGGGACAGAGGTGTGGAGGGAACAGGAACCATGGGGGATTTCTGCTTCCTTTACCCTTCAGAACACCACCCCGTCGCAAAAGATCTGATGAACCAGGAGCCAACCCTCTGAAAGAACACAGGACTAAATAATGTAGCTTGCCTTTTCGACTAAGAAGAACTCACCTTAGGCTATAGGCTTCTTCACATGCTATTTGCATGAGGAAGGTAAGTGTGCTGACAAGCAGGGGTCTGAATTTGATTTGAACGAATCCCCCCAAAAAGCAGGCAACTCTGGAGAGATGTGAGAATTGCCTCAGCTGAAGTAGGAGTTCTCTGAAGCATCCCGGACCAAAACGATTTGGAACGATTTGGACATTTGCAAAAACTGCAGACATTTGAAACATTTGTTCCCAAGCTTTCCACAAAAGATAAATATGAAGGGGAGGGAGCTCTTTTGTGACTGACAGGCCTAGCTTCTAATCACGTAGAATGGTTTTACAAGAGCTGTTCAAACACAGCGCTTTGGGGAAGGAATATTGAAGTAGAGTGTAGCAGACCCACCACTTAATACCACCAACTAATAATGGGGCGGATCCAGTCCCGCTAACTGCCCCCAATTAAATATAGTACACCCACCTCACAGTACACCAATTACACAAATTTCAACAATTTACGACAGATTATCTAGTGGGGGACTTGTGTGAGGGAAAACTTAATGATTTAGAGTGCCAGGCTTCTAGAATATTCAGGTTTCTAGAATAGATGGTAGAATGCTCAACTCCGTTTCTGTCACTTAGATGTTACAATCAAATAACTTTCAACACCATACTGCTTCCTTCACAGCTGAATACTTTGATTCATGAGCGAGGGGCACTTCTCCTCAGTTACCCACTCTCTTAACAATCCCACACCTGAGGTCTTCTAAATGGTATAACAGACTCACCCTTTGTTACTGGTTTGGGAGTCTTCTGTACCTAGAAGAACTCTCCCCTCCTGGCTATACTGAGGCCCAGGTAGCCTATATTCGCAGTTCCGTCACAGCCCTTCCAGAACACTCCTGTCTGTATATCTGTCAGGATGTTGTCAGCAGCTCCCAGCTGGTTGCTCAGGAAAGTATAAAGACAAGGAAAAGTTTCTTACTGTCCTTTTTTATTTCAGTCTTTACAGAGAGAGGCTACAGAACCCAGCTTCTTGGATAATGGCGTTGTCCCGAGTGAATCTCCACACACATCCCGTCTCTCCGACTTCCTCATTCGTCACTTCTACAGGTGCTGCTACATGGCCTCTGTCTTTGAGCTCTTTGCCCTCCTACTTTTAAGGCTTGCCGGGTTCTGGGAGATGGAGAGTCTGAAATACTTTCTAATGGCAACATGTCAGCCGGTGTTGTTCCGGCTGTCTCATGATTTCCCAGCTTCCCCCCTCATCTGCCTTTGAGCTGCTACCTCTCTCAAACCCCTGTTGCAAACCTATACTGTCTTCCTCTTCCTCCTCCATGAAAGGGTCAGGATGGGGAGCTGGTCTCCACCATTCCTCCTGTGCCCAGACAATACCTTCCCCAGACCCTCAACCCAGTCTCCCTATCCAAGCTGTGAGGCTTTGTCATCTCGCTTTGGATAGTCTCGTCAATGTGTATGCTTAGCTTTACTCAGAACCAATTCTCCCTCAGTCAAATCCAGTCCTACGCCTCAAATCCAGCCCTATCTCCAAAACCTAACCCTATCTAATCCCCTCCCTCTGAAACTGCTCCTTTTATTCTCCGCCCGACAAAAGTGCTGTTCTTCCCCTTGCTTGTTGACTCTGTTGCCCATAACCAAGAGGCTCCAGCATTCTGGTGGAGTTTCAGAGGGACTGCATCACCAGACTCCAGTCTGGCTCTGCTGTCCATCACACAGAGTATCGCAGCTTGTTCTTGCCTGTGCTGTACTGTCATCTTTGCTTGTTCTGGTTGTAGGTGGAGATTTCAGGCACAATATATATATAGTGGTACCTCGGGTTACGTACGCTTCAGGTTACAGACTCTGCTAACCCAGAAATAGTACCTCAGGTTAAGAACTTTGCTTCAGGATGAGAACAGAAATCGTGCTCCAGTGGCGCGGCAGCAGGAGGCCCCATTAGCTAAAGTAGTGCTTCAGGTTAAGAACCGTTTCAGGTTAAGAACAGACCTTCAGACCGAATTAAGTTCTTAACCCGAGGTACCACTGTATATATTTGTGCTGTGCTAGCAATTCTTGTCTCTTCAAACCTGGAAGTCCTTTGGTAGAGTTGAAAAATTTCCTATTTCCTAATTGTTATATATCTACATGGTCACATATGCACATACTGAGCCCAGAGTTTTATTAAGCTTCACATAGTATTCTCTATATTTCTCATTTTCCATTCTAAAGGAAAGGGGAAAATCTAGTTGATTTCAATGGGAATCGGAGTCAAACCAGTGCTGGCTTTATCTGAAAATTCCAGCTGTGGCTCAAGGGGCAATAAAGCCTTCTACTGATACTGAGCTGGAAAACCATTAATCCTCTTCCCCAAATTTCTTCCAACAAGCTCTTGAACAATATCAAGTCTGCATTTCAGTGCACCATTAAGTAACTGTGTGCATTTCAGAGGATTTACATAAACACACACACACACAGAGAGAGAGAGAGAGAGAGAGAGAGAGAGAGAGAGAGAGAGAGAAATTAAAAGGCAAAATGCTGAGATTTCAAACATAATGGTAATAACATCTTGGGTGCGGGGTGCTTTTCCTGTCCTGGTCATTAGTTTAAAATGATACTTTAGTGGTGTTATATGATCTTGAGTAGCCTTTCCTGGTGGACTATAGTTCCCATCAGTTCCAGGCAGCATGGACAATGGTCAGGGAGGATGGGAATTGTAGTCCAAAATATTGGGAAGGTACCAGGTTGGGGGAGACCTAAGGAGGTTGTGGACTCTTCTTCACTGGAAGTTTTTAAGCAGAGGTTGGATGGCCATCTGCCATGGATGCTTTAGCTGATATTCCTGCATTGCAGGGGGTTGGACTAGATGATCCATGGGTTCCCTTCCATCTCTACAATTCTATGATCGTGAGTATATACCCTAGGAGAGAGGTAGATTTGTCACATTATTTTACGCCTAATTCAAGGCAGCACTTCACTTTCTAAGGGAGTATTGACATAGATTTTATGCCTGACCAAATTTTATGCTCTCTAGATGGGCAGTAACTAGAGCAATCTCCCAAAAGATACTATCAATTGGACATTGTTATGGCTATTCTAGGTTGAACCCAATGCATTTTAAAGACACCAAATAACAACATAAATAAAAATGATTACACTATGTTACCCAGTCTCTGCCGGGATTAATCCTCGTCAAAAAATAACGCAAACAATAAGGTTCCGCAGTGTTTTTGGGAGATGCTTGGGTACCAACTTTAGCTAGTATCCAGAGGATGGGAGTCCAAGAGTTCGGAAGCAGCCACTGAGTAGGCATTGTATATGTAATGTTGCAATTTTTGCATGAAATATATTACTCGTTTTCTTAAGGCATTTCATACGACTCTGTGGGACCTGCTGTCTGCTCCATGTCTCCAGCATAATACCGTATTTTTTGCTCTATAAGACTCACTTTTTCCCTCCTAAAAAGTAAGGGGAAATGTGTGTGTGTGTCTTATGGAGCGAATGCAGGCTGCGCAGCTATCCCAGAAGCCAGAACAGCGAGAGGGATTGCTGCTTTCACTGCGCAGAGATCCCTCTTGCTGTTCTGGCTTCTGAGATTCAGAATATTTTTTTTCTTGTTTTCCTCCTCCAAAAACTAGATGCATCTTATAGAGCGAAAAATACGGTACTTCATCTTCACTTTCCTATCACTCCAAATGCTCTTTTCAGAGGCTTCAGTGCCGCGATTTCCTCCTCCAAGTTGCTTTGTGTTTAAGCAGCACAGCTGCCTTCAATGCTGCTAACAGTTTGAATTTCCCCCTTGCTTGGTTCCTCAGATTTCTACACTTGTTGTCTAGCCTGGCTTTTCTTTATTGCCTAAAGAGATAAAGGAACTGAACTCACAAGTTTTAAGACACGCTTTGCCAGACTCGAGGAAACACAGAAGTGAATTCCTCCCTCCCAGCTGTAATGCACTCTGTGTCCAGTTGAAAGAAAAGGGATAATGGGTTTTGCATAGAGTAAAATTACATAGCGCTAGAGAAAATGCAGTTGCAGGTATTATCTACCGCATGCATGCCAAATAAGCAGACTTAGTCTTGTTCGGAGTAAAAGCACTGCCAAACAAATTCAGCTATTTGGGCAGTAGAATAAATGGTCAAGCATCTCAGATATATAGTAAGAAGTGTTGGTTGGTTTATTCTTTTCTTTTTTTTAAGGAACATCAGCTTCAGGCAACAAAAGGCCAATATGAAGTCCACAATTTCACTTGTACGTAGCATATATGATAGCAAGAATCAATGGCACACAATGGAATAAGACAAAGCAAAAAATCTTTGTCAGAAGAGGAGAGAACTTCACAGATACTCTTAGCAGAGAATTACAAAGCATAAAACAGCCTCTGGTCTTTTTTACCCCACAGTTACTCAAATAGCATTAACCTCCACAGTTAGCTTTTTTCTGAAGTTATAATTACCTGGGAAAACCAAGTCCAGTATTTACTAGTCAAACTAATTACTGTCCAAAGGCAGATAATAAGGATCACCAAAATCATACAGGTTTCTGAAGCAGTTGGAGAAAGCGCTTTTTAAAAACCCTTAGGGCTGCTGGTTTTAATCCATGGTTTTGATGTGGCTTATGAGGGAAATGAACCAGGGGAAAAAACAAAGAGAGTGTGTGCAATATTTCTAGCTTGCCTTTTCAGGAAAAACCCTCCCAAGGCGGCTTTCATAAAAAGGACAATGCACAATTTCAATAAAAAGAATCAAAACAACAGTTAAAATTGGTAAAAGTTTTCAGTGCTGCTGTGGGTTTGCTATGCTGATTTTATTTTCTTTTTCTACTACTATGCTCTGTTAACTGTTATTTTTTAATTTGTGTATTTGTGGTCTAGAAACGCCATACATAAATATCTTAAGCAGTGACGTAGCACAGGTTGCTAGCACCCAGGGCTACACAGAGAGTGGGGGTGGGAGGGAGGGAAATGGACAGAGTACGCATACGCATTCAACTGTGAATGTCAGCTGTGTGTGTCACCCAGGAGATCGAAACTGAAATTGTCTGGAGCTGTTACTTCCTGGTTTGCACAGAGAAGCTGTTTTCAATGGAGTCCAGCGATGGACGCACACAGGTGTATTGAGTCAGCATTGGGTGTTGAAATTTTGCACCCCTGACAAATTTGCCCCCAGAGCAACCGCCCCATGCTACACTACTGATCTTAAGTGCCACCTGATTCCTTACATCCCTGCTCAATGAATGAGGTCTTTGGGGACTGTTCATGGTCCCCGATTGCTTAGACAAATAGTTCATACCCACCAAAAGCTATGTGTTCAGTACTGTGGGCCCAATTCTGTGGAATTCTCTCACAGCTGAGATCTGAGAGGCCCAACGCTTGTTGAATTTCAAATGCTTGGTGAAGACTATTTTATTTCAGCAGACATTTTAAGTGCATTTTTCTGATTTTAATGCTACGTTTTACTGTTTTTATCCCTGTGGTATCATTTTTGTAACCTTATTGTAGATAGGTTAATAACTAGGTGCAAAGCAGTATATAAATTGTTGAAATTTGCATTGCACAGGGTCGCTTCCAACTCTACAATTGTATTACTCTATTATTCTATGAAATAAATATGAATTTTGTTTATTCCCCTTCTAAAGACATCTAAGAGACTGGCCACCACCACATCTCATGACAGAAAAGTATATAAATCAATTACATCTTGTAGGCAGAAATACTTCATTTTGTTGGTTCTGTGGCCTGATTTTGACCAGCAAGCTCAGCAGTAAATTCCTGATTTCCCTTCCCTCCATCGGGCCATTCCTGTGGTTAATGTCAGTGCCTCCTTTTCTGTACCTGAATCCTACTACTTTGCAGGCTGCAGAAAGCCCACTTAAAGTAAAGTATTAAAGTATTATTGCATGCTAACTTGCTAGTGCATACAATCCTTTAGATCGGACACGCCTCCAGGTTCATGATATGTTAGAAAAAGAGATATGACCTTTAATTGATCTGTGTCTCTGTTTTACTACGCAGCCCCCAAATTTAAACAGAAGTATGCAGTGGTCAAACTGATGGCACCGAAAAGCTTTCTCTCTCCTCTAATTATCCCTGACATTTTAAGGAGTTAGAGACTAGAATTGCAAAGCACAACTATGGATCAGACCTGCCTCCCCAAACCCGGAGTTCTTTTCAGCTTTTGACATAGCAGAGGAGCAGTGGAGAAGTTCAGCAGCGCCCATAGTTCAAGGCGTTGCAAGCGTCTGTATTCAGGTTCACTGCTAATTTGTAACCAAAGTGGTTTTTTGCTGACCTGACATTTACTTGAATTTTATATCAAGTCAATATTCATGCGGCCCATGAGCCACCTGCGCAATCTAGGTCTTGAGTGAGTGAGTGAGTGAACAGAGGGTGGCAAAGAGTAACATTTTTTTCCATGCTTCTTTTGCATGTAATGTGTTGTGTCTGGTGCCCAAGTGTTTGAAGTCTAGGACGTTCTGGGATTTAGCCATCTAAGGCAGTGTTCCCCAACCTTGGGCCTCCAGCTGTTTTTGGACTACAATTCCCATCATCCTTGACCACTGGTCTTGCTAGCGAGGGATGATGGGAGTTGTAGTCCAAAAACAGCTGGAGGCCCAAGGTTGGGGAACACTGATCTAAGGGCCTTCTTCTGGAGATTTAGAACAGATGCGATAGCTCCGTCAGTAAAGCATGAGACTCTTAATCTCAGGGTTGTGAGTTGAGCCCCATGCTGGATGAAAGATTCCTGAATTTTAGGGAATAGGACGCAATGACCCTCGTAGTCCCAACTCTACAATTCTATGCTGCTGTAAGTGTTCCAGTGCAGAGTAGTCAAGACAGTAGAGCAGCCTTTCTCAAATTGTGGGTCCCCATATGTTGTTGAACTACAACTCCCATCACCCCCAGCTAGCAAGGCCAGAGCTCAGGGATGATGGGAGTTGTAGTCCAACAACATATGGGGACCCACAGGTTGAGAACCACTGCAGTAGAGGTTCTTCCCACCCATTCACTTCCTGGTTCTGTCATCTGTTACCTCCTGCACCTGATGTGTAACATAACTGCAGACCAGCTTGTCCTGTCAACTGAGGGCTAGAGGGCAGATGAAAAGGTGAGAGCTGTCGTGTGTGCCTTCGCACCCACTGCACTGTGATGTTTAAAGGTGTCCATTCAGTGTCTAGTGTGGGAAGTGAAACCCCTAAGTTCTCTCACCAGAAACCCAGATGCACAGGATTGGGCTGAAGGGGAGGACTCTTGACACATTTGTCAGCAGCACAGTTACTTCTATTAGTGCCCCCGTGTTTCTGCTCCATGGTTCAGTGGTTCTTTTAAAGGACTTTTACCTGGCCTTCCTTGGGGCAGGGAGGAAATGAGGAGATTTGGAAGCTTCATCGGTGAATGGATACTTGGAAGAGCTTAGGGGAGTGTTGGCCAAACTTGGGTCTCCAGCTGTTTTTGGACTACAATCCCCATCACCCCTGACCACTGGTCCTGCTAGCTAGGGATGATGGGAGTTGCAGTCCAAAAACAGCTGGACACCCAAGTTTGGCCAACACTGACTTAGGGCATTGGCAGAGGTGACCCTAGTTTGGTTGCTGGTCACAGGTGGCCTTAGTACCAACATTGTGTAGTAGCAGTGACCCTAGTTTGGATGCGGAAAAGAGGCATCCTTAGTTGTGGCATCGTGCAGAGTGGGGATGCTGAGCAGACCAGACCCTAGTTTCTGCTACGATATAGAAGCAATGCAGCTGCAAGCTGCTAGCTTGAAAACATTGCTACTGCAAGTGAAGAACAGGCTGTTGCTTTGAACGTTGTCCGTTGTTACAATTGTGGACAGACTGGGCATCTTCAGCGGAATTGTAAGAAGCCACGTCAACAGAAAGGAGTTAAGGGGAGCTCTGCAAAGCCTGAGGCGTCAGGCAAAAGTCATACCAAGTCCCAGATGAAACCTGCAAAAGCAGTGCTGTCAACAAAAGCAGAATTTTCAATGGAGAACGCTTTTGTTCTTGACACGGGTTGCACGCAACACATGACGTCGCGCCGAGGACTGTTTTCAACGTTTAAGAAGCAAAGCTTCACTGTGAAACAGGCCAATGGCCAGGAGCTGAAAGCAACCGGGTTTGGAACTGTGTATCTTGAAAGTCTGAACTTGACTATTAACAATATGTATTTGGTTCCTGATTTAAAGTTCAATCTGCTAAGTGTTTCGCAGATCACAAAGAAAGGACTGATTTTGTCCTATGATAGAGAAAGCTGCAAAATCTTCAAAGATGGAGAGCTGTATCTTTCTGCCAGAGAGAAAGATGGACTGTATTTGTTGACTTTTGATCAAAGTGATTGCATAAATTGTAATGCATCTGAGTCTAACATGATTTCTCTTGCAGATGTGAAGAAAAATGTCCAGAAGACGACGAAAGTAACCAAAGCTTTTCAGCGAGTGTATGCTGATGTGATTGGTCCTCTAGCACCATCTAGAGGCAGTGCAAGATATTATCTTGTGTGTGTGGATTATTTCTCTCATTATGTGTGGATATACATATTGCACAAACCACAAGAAGCCTTAGAAAGGTTTAAAGAGTTTTGTGACAAGGTTAAGAATGTTCATGATGCTAACATTGATTGTCTTTTCACAGATGAAAAGCCAGTTTTTCTTTTACAGGATTTTCAGGATTTCCTGGATAAACGAGGCATAAGGCACAAGACTGCTGTTTCTGCAGGAGCATGGAACAAAAGTGTCTGTGTGCAAGTGAACAAAGAATTGCAAAATGGGAGGAAGGCACAATTGCTGAGTTCACATTTGCCACATGAGTATTGGGCTGAATCTTTATCGTGTTTTTGTTACACTTGGTTGAGAAAGGTTTCAAAAGGTTTGGGAAGTTCTCCTTTTGAAAAGCTATTTCATAGAAAACCTTCTGTTGCCCATTTTAAGGTTTTGGGGTCTCATGTGATATCTGATGCTCCAGGTGGAGTAAAGAATGCTAGAGGCATTTTTGTGGGTTATGAAAAGGTTCTCTACAGAGTAATTTTGTCTGAATCTGGTCAGGTGATTCTCACAAAATTTCTAGAGAGTGCTCCTGAACAGGAGAGAGGAATTGTTCACACATTTCCCACTGAGGACAATTCAGATGATGATGATAATTTTACTGATTACAGTAGTACTAAGCGTAACAGTGATAGCTCGAAGAGCTCAGTTGACACTGTCATTGAGAGGAAATCTCGCACAATGGCTAGACCTTCACAGGTGAAGGATGAACCACTGTTTACTATCGGAACTGGTTCTCCAAAGAATCCTGAGACTGAACCAGTGAGCAGAGAGGATCAGCACCTCATACGCAGGTCCGAGAGAGTTACAAAGGGTGTACCACCCAAGAGGTATTCAAAAGAGTTTGCTAACTCAGCTGTTGCATGTGTTACTATTGTTGACAACTCAAGACAGGTTAAAGGTGTGTCTAAGTCAGAGACAAAGACACAACAGGGAGTTGCTAAGCGTAACACTACATTCCCTAGCCAAGGTAATGCAGATGCACTCATTCCTTGGAAGTCAGACAACCAGAGAGGTACACTGGGGAAACCAGTGGTGGGTAGTTCCAAGGGTGGAACTGAAACAACAGGGGAGTGTTATATGTATAACAACTGTTTGTTTTCTTCTCTGGATCAAGCTTTACTCGCAGCGCACATTGATTCATATGGGGGAGTATGTTATGATATAGAAGCAATGCAGCTGCGAGCTGCTAGCTTGAAAACATCACATGATGTTGGGACTGTCCGTGGGAAACAGAGGGACAGTCACTTCACAGTGCGAAGCACCGGAATTAGCTCAGAGTGTAATATGAGCTGTCCAGGAAGTACAGGATGTTTTACTCTCTCGACTGCTGGAGTTTGAAGAGAGCAGTCGTGTTTTTTGTAACGCTGCAAAGACAGACATAAAGGCATGTAAATACGTTTCTGTCTATCTCTTTCCCCTGCCGGGGGGGCAACAAAGAGGGGGGGTGTTCTTCTCACGCTGAGAAGGATCGCCTATCACGACCTCTGCCTGGATCTTGCTGAGGAATGCAGACAGGGAGGTCAACAGGAGATCAAGCCAGGTAACTGGAGAGTTGCCAGTTACTACTGATATAGGCTTGAATCCCGACAGTTTCGTGGTGATTCAGCTTTTCTCCTTCCATGTTGCCATGATTAATAAAAAGAGCACTGTCGTGGTAAGGTTTGGTACCATTCTGAGAACCAACACAATGCACATGACCAGAGTCCATTAGTGAGAGTGAGGCAGCCACCTCAGATATTAATCTCTGCAAAGAAGTGCTGGTCTCCCTGGCCTTTAGGTGCAGATAGGGATTGGCAGCAAAACTCTGAGGAACGTCTCCCCTTCTGACGAATCAAGATGGAAGAAGCCTGCCAAATTCCCACCACTGGGGATCAGGGGATAAAGGCGGAATTACAGCAATCAGTCCAATTCTGCTGCACTGGGTGCCGAGCTTACAGGGCACTTCAGTGCGTCACAAATATGACGTAGTGAATTGAGCAGAACAGAAGGCGAGAGGCAGGAGGGGTGCTGAATTTTGGTCTCACACGGGATGCCACTGAAATTTGAAACACCAAAGTCTGCAGAGGATCTGGAAAGGATATTTCCCCCCTCTCCAGCCAGGCAGTGTGGTGGGGCTTCATAGGAGCAGCAGCAGGGCGTTTTGCCTCCGGGACCAAAATGCCTTCGGCTGCCCCTGTTTTTGATGATTTTTGTTTGTTTCTTTAGAATACTTACATTATACTTTATAGTCCAAGGAGGCTCTCATAAGATCTCAGAAAAGACTACTACTGCTACTGCTACCACTAACAATAATAATAATAATTTATTACTTATACCCCACCCATCTGGCCGGGCCTCTCCAGCCACTCTGGGCGGCTTCCAACAAAATATTAAAATACAGTAGTCCATCAAACATTCAAAGCTTCCCTAAACAGGGCTGCCTACAGATGTCTTCTAAAAGTCTGGTAATTGTTGTTCTCTTTGACATCTGGTGGGAGGGCGTTCCACAGGGCGGGTGCCACTACCGAGAAGGCCCTCTGCCTGGTTCCCTGTAACTTGGCTTCTCATAGCGAGGGAACCGCCAGAAGGCCCTCGGCACTAGACCTTAGTGTCCGGGTAGAACAATGGGGGTGGAGACTGAAATAAAATCACACTCAAACCTAGTACATGAACAGAAAAGGCGTGGTGTCCAGTTGGAACCAGGATCATGCAGGCATCATTTCTTGCTGCTGCTCTTCTTTTCCTCCAATTTCATCCCAGACACCTCCCACCTTAACCTTCTGAAGCATGGCAATGGGGCCTAGCAGTTGGATCTTGCTCAGACTGCCATCTAATGAACACAGACTAAGTTCAGATTCTTATTTCAACTTCTTATTTCTAAGAGCTCCACACTTCTGAATATATCAGGGAGGTGTGGTGAGGTAAGCCTTATATAAGAAGGCCTGGTGGATTTAAAGGTTCTGACCTTACATAGTCAGTTGAAATCCTGCATAAAAGAAATACATTTCACAGTTTGTTCTGCCTGCTGAGTTTGTGGTACCTCCTACTTCCCAGCAAGGCAGAGTGCTTTTTGAGGGGGTCGGGGTGTTTAAAAATGTTGTTATGTATATATACACACCATTTCTTGGTTCAAGTGCAAAGAATAACATTCTAATCAGCTGGTTTCCTCTCACTTAAACCTAATTAGTTTGACATAAGCATCCTGAATAAGCAAGTATTGAGCACTTAGTAATCATTAGGAAAAAGACAAATCACACACAGAGCTTTGCAAACAAAAGATTAAGAGGGAGAACATTTATAATTTTTTACAGATGACACACTCGATGGAATGCACGTATGATCTCCCTCAGGAAGCCTCAGACAACCCTGGAATAGAGTAAAAAAATAAAATAAAAGGAAGGCACTATTAAAAATTTCATTTTAATGAGCTCCTGATATATATTTTACTCTGTTTATAAACAAGTTTAATGGGGTGCCATGCTGTTAGCAATACTGATTAAATTTAGATAAGTTACCATCTCATTGGAAGAAATTCTAAAGCAAGGAGGAAGGGTGGTCCTTCACAAATATGCACTGCGCACAGCACATTAACATTTATATTATATTGGGTATACATTTCACCAAAACGGTGTACTGCAGATTTCTTGATTCTCCAATACGGCTTTCTTTTGTCATTCTAAAAATAACATGGAGAAATGATGAGAGCTTCTCTGCTTTTCCTTGCCACAGAATTAATGACCAGTGGGAAATGGGGGAAACAGAAGAAGCAGACTGGTTTCACTAGTCAGCTTTTTCTCCAGGGATGCCACCTTTCCAAGATGCTCATTTGCACTATGGCCTCCCTCTGCGCATAGGTGGCCTGGGCAGCTGTCAAAGGAACCAGACCATCATGGCCTCCCATAATCTTTGGTCATTCCCAGATAGCGATGGCCAATTGATCAGTTTCGCTCAGTTTCTCATTCTTCTAGTCGTAAGGTCAGCTCTCTGCTTTTCCAGATTTATTTGTTTGTTTGTTTCTGTTGGAAGTCCAATGGCTAGAGAAGCCCAGTCAGATGAGTCCCCAAAAAGTATGTATGTGGTATGTATGTATTTAAATACATAAATAAAAGTCCTCATGCAGATTCATCAGTATAATGGCATGACTTTTTCCTAATATACACATACTTCTGTGCCATTCTGCCTAATACAGTACAGTGGTACCTCGGATTAAGTACTTAATTCGTTCTGGAGGTCTGTTCTTAACCTGAAACTGTTCTTAACCTGAAGCACCACTTTAGCTAATGGGGCCTCCTGCTGCCGCCGCGCCAACGGAGACCGATTTCTGTTCTTAACCTGAAGCACTATTTCTGGGTTAGCGGAGTGTGTAACCTGAAGCGTATGTAACCTGAAGCGTATGTAACCCAAGGTACCACTGTACATTTTTGCAATACATGTTTTCCCTAATATTTTAATATTTGTATTTTCCCTATGCTTGTATGTTATTTTCACTAACATATGCATTTGTGTGCATCTTTTACCACGCTACAGGCATTTTGGATTCTTTTATTTAAAAATGTTGACATATAATAAGTAAAAACCAAACTGGTCTGTGTGTTTTGTGAGTTTCCCAACAGACAAGCCTAACACCTGACAGCAAAACCAGCCCTGTGGAAGTCCTTGTTCTGTCCCCAACCTCTTCTTACTATTAGGCAGCGTGAGGTGGCATTTTGAAAACCCACCCACCTCCCATCTCTCCAGCTTGAAGAAGTGTAAATGGCTTTTCCCCCATCATTGCTAATAAGCTGATGACTAGCTCACTCTAGTCCACCATGTGTTTGCCTTTAAAGTGTCTTCATGACCTCTTACTGGGTTTGTGACAGCAGACTAAGATGGCTAACATAGGAACCTGTTACTCCCAAAAGGTGTTCATGAGAATCACGGAAGCCATGAGAATGAAAACCATGCATAACCTTGCAGGATTAGTTTCCTAAAATGGCAGTCACATTCAACATCAGCTTGGATATGATAATAAATTCAAGATCACTTTGCATTGTCATTGTCATGTGTCTACTGTATAAAGTCTCTGTATCCACCTCTGGCACTGTAGAGCTACAATGGGGATTTTTGGGTGAGTCAAGTCTACAATGTTGTGCGATGGGTGTGTAAGCCTTCCGAGGTCTAGGACTGATTCACACTGTTGGTGTTATCTCCTTTGCAGCCAGAGCTGTTTGAAAATCAAGGTGGGAATTGTCATTTAGCTGTGCTTTTCTTAAAATAAAAAAACACAAAAATTACATCTCAAACATATTCCCCTAAGCTATTGAATTTTTGAAGATTGAAGACTTTCCCTTAATAGGAATATAAATTAGGATATTTCACTTAAAGGTCTCTCTGGAGCTTTTTTTAAAAAAACACCCACTAGAAGGAGTATTATTCTAAGTGAAAACTTAAATTATGGTCCAAGTAACAGACTACAGTGGTGAAATGTCCCATGGATGGAATACATCTCTGACTGCTCATTATCATGTAGAATATTAACTTGCTTCAAAGAAGAAAACCAGCATTTGCTCTCATAGGCAAATGAGCCCCTCAACTTGCTACTGCTGCCGAGACGTACATGAGCAAAACATATCAGTGCCGGGAAAGAAATCCCCACCATCATCACTGCATTAGCTGCAGCTTGTTAACCAATTAACGTTTTGTGAGGATGCCAAGAGCAGCATTTGTTTTCCAAATGCTTCCATCCATTTTGCCCCGGCTGTCAGTCTTCATCATGAATGCACCTGCTTTAAGCGAACAGAGCCAAATCAGCATTAATAGGCGTTTGTATAGAGGGCAGAGATCATATTTATTAAATCAGTGTTATCCACTTGTCCATCACCCGGTTGCCAATTTACCCCATGTTGATTGATTTCACACTTCATAAAATTAGCCCCAAGGTGCCATTAGAGAATTTTTGTTGCTGTTGCCCCGCAGAGTGTGCTTTAGATCTATCTGTCTGTCTATCTAAGCGTGTCATCTATGGCCTGGATGTTTCCGCCTAAGTGTGCGAACAAGAAACCAGTCCAAGCCTACAACAAAAAGTAAGGGCTTAGAGGAAGTCTTTCAGCCAGAAGCTGGCCTTCTGGGTCATAGCTGTTTCTCTTAAAAAGGCCATGTGACAGATATTTGGTTCATAATGCATACATGACACCTCTGACCTCAGAGACAACTCTGACATAAGAGAGAGAGAAACCTAATGTTGGAGCCTTCCTCTCCGATGATGATGCCCTGGACCAACTGATGTCAGAGATCCAAAACTGGTAGGGTCCAAAAGGGAGTATTTTCTTGGTTCAAAGCTCTCCTGGTCCCCAATTGGGGGCAGATTTAGACATGCTTCTCAGTGAATCTAAACCTCTCCCTCTCATTATTTTGAATGGAAGGGAAGATGAACAGCAAATTAAAAATTAAAGGCTTGAAATGGACAGAGGAACACAAAGCAAATCCTGTCCCCTCACTTTGACGCCCTTGGCAGCATCGGGAAGGATGAACCTTAAAATTTAATTAGTGTCTGAAAAATGCAGCTATATTAAAGTTTGGACAATATGCAATTTGTTTAAATCTAATCACATTGTTAGTCAGTTTGAAGGCATATATTAGAAATAGACATTAAGCTGTTGATGCTTTGGTGGTGAAAGATCATGGGCAGTTTAAAAATCACTGTTAGCCACCATCCTGCTGTTGCTAGTCTGCTAGAAGTGCCATTTATTATTATTATTATTATTATTATTATTACCCTATATAATAGCCATCTTGATTCCACTGTGTTGATGAGAACAATGGTAATTGTGATCAATATTATTGAAGAAGGACTTTGGTACTAGAATCATTAATGAAGTCCTGGCAATTTATTTTAATGCTGCAAAGGAAAGCTCTTCCATGTGGTCTGGTGGCAGCTGCTGTCACCTAGGCACACTTTCCCAAGAAAACAGGGTTCCTGCATCTGTAATTAGAACTCGGCCCTTTGTTGTTAGCAATAGCCACACCAAAGCATGAGATGCGCGGAGAAAACTATGGCACAAGCTAACACTCGTTTGCAGAAGCTGGGATGTACCGTTACCTTGTCTTCCAACCTGCAGCTGGTCAGTTGAATAGTTTTGCAGCTTGTTGTATAAATAGAATGTTTGTTCTACATAATGGATTTCGGTGTGATATGGTAAATATCGACTCCCGGGTGGGCTGAAATGCATAATTCATTGTGCAGCGCATTCCGACCACTCTGCCGCTTGCATGATTAACACGGGAGGAATACATTTCACTTTTTCCAGGGACGTAGAGACTAGCATAGAAAGTTACGGAGATGAATGCCTAATGCTCAGATGTGCTGCAGAAAATTACCCGGCTCCGTTGCAGGATATCTTCGGCACCCAGCCACCTCTGTCACTTCCAAACATTATCATTAAGGCAATGCGGTGATTTTAAGGATTCAGAGATTGAATGTGCCTCGGTCAGTCCACCCCAAAACTGTTATCTTGGCCACATTGCACATATTGCTCTCTGTGGTATACATGAATAAGTCAAGGTAATAGGTTATGGTTTGCATTTAATAAGAAAAAGAGCCACATAATTCATTAAATAATAGTGGGGAACGTAGATTTCCAATAAAAGGGAACTTTTCAAATGCGTTGGGGGAGGAGTCACTCAAACAATAAGGTGGTCTATGATGGAAAGGCAGTGTGTTTCTAAGACAGTCACTGCCTGGTTGATTTTACATTACCAACTTCTATTGGTTTAATGCCAATTTAACTTTCCATAATCTTTATTGCTTTAGGCTCCCTTGTATCCTAGGAGCTCCTTCAGTCCTCCAACTGCTCCTGGGTGAGGTTTTCAGCCCAGCCGAACTGACAACTTTCTCCTTCCTCACAGAAATTGGACTGCAAAACTCTTTAGTCCCTCAGCAACCTAACATTCTGTATCATTACTCTAATTCAACCAATAAGTGCCAGAGCCTTTGCCCCCATGAGCACAATGCAAACTTATCTCAGCCCCATATAACTTTAAGCCCAATTTATTAAAATATTTTATTTTTTTTTGCAGAAGACTCAATCAATGCATAGAGGTGGTGGTGGGGTGTTAGCTGGTGCAATTCTGACCCTCGCTCGCATGCAGTGATTGCACACTGAATTGTAATCTGCATAGGGATTATATGAAACAATATAACCTTTCAACAGACAGATTTCATGAAACTATAAGTTGCGTCATTTAGAAAGAGCCATTTATCTCTAACTTATGCTCAGCAGAGAAAGGCAGACACTGAGCGCTTCAAACTTCAGGATTTTGAAAACAGCATTGATCCTCGTTTATCTGTGTGAGGTCTACATCAAAAGCCCAACATAGTCTTGACTTTGTACCTTTTGAAATATTTGATGTGTGTCATAATTAATCAAGCTCTTGCTTAACATCCTATAGATTTCTTCAGAATTGTCCCTGTTCTTGTTTGCAGAAGCTCCTAATTCACAAAGTCAGAGACTCTCCCTGCTGCCAAGTTGCACTAGTTGAGGGGAAACTGTCAGGTCCTTGTGATTACTGGATAGTTCAAGAGAGGCCCAAATAGACTAGCTGTAATTGCTTGTTCCTCGAGCTTCTGTAAATGAGAGAACAGATGGTGTCAAGCAATTGCTAACATTTTCAGTACAAATAATTTCCTTTTTGCAGGAAACACCAAAAGAATTACCAGTGTTCACTCTCTCTTTTCTCTCTCTCTCTCTCTCCAATCACTAGCCCATTATAAGGGCTGGTGTTGTAGGGAAATAACTGGGAATACCAGTTAATCCTGAAGTCCCATATATGTGGGGAAATGCAAAAGAATAATGGCTGCCTCACTCTCTATACAAAAAACAAAAACAAACCTCAGCAGAGTTTAAAACAGAAATATACCCAGTGTTTACAAAGCACGGGAAAGGGTTAGACCCTTAAGGTTAGACCCTTAAATGCCCCAGTATTAAGCGCTTACAATTGTGCTCTCCCAATAGACCACAACCTTAAGTAAGTTTAAATGCTTTACTTACATGAATAAGTGGTCTCACTCATGCATCATCAATGCCACATCAGAAACAACACAGGTAAGGTATGTTGGGTTACAAAATGCAGAAGTTAGTCTCAAACACAAGATCTGAGTCCCGAGCCCCCGCTTTAGATGTCTGCTCAGTTACATGGTTCAATGAGGAGAGAGAAAGGAACAGGTAACAACTCTTATTTCTTCCCTCCTCCCTAGCCCCCGGAGGTGAGGGATCATGACTAATCTGTCTTCTCTAGCAATTTAGAACTCTGTGATCCTTAACCCCTTTCTCATTGCCAATTATGCACAGTTATGTTTGGCTGCATATATCTCCCACAGGTAGGTGTGTGTGTATGTGTGTGTGTGTGTGTGTGTGTGTGTGAGAGAGAGAGAGAGAGAGAGAGAGAACTGTTATATTGTGCGTACTAAGTGGCTTGGTGTTTTTGCAACCTATGATGCACTGAATTGCAGGGAGAGTAGTTTTTAAGTGGAGTACAGTGGTACCTCTGGTTGCAAACGGGATTCATTCCAGAGGCCCATTCGCAACATGAAAAGAGCGCAACCCACAGTGGCACGTCTGTGCACGTGCGGGCTGTGATTTGCCGCTTCTGTGCATGACGTCATTTTGCACTTCTGTGCGTGCGCAAGTGGCGAAACACGGAAGTAACCCTTTCTGGTACTTCCGGGTTGCCACGGGACGTAACCTGAAAGAACGTAACATGAAGCGGACGTAACATGAGGTATGACTGTATATGTTTTTAGCTTTTTTAAGAGCTTTGCTCTGTCATATTATTTCCTATAGACATGTTAAATCACATCTCTGAGATGTGTTTGCTCACATGATTGCTTTGATAGTGACTTTCCCCTGTATGGTGCTTTGTAGTGTGTGTGTGTGTGTGTGTGTGTGTGTGTGTGTGTTTCTATGCTGTGGCCCCAACCCGAAACGCCATGTGGAAAACTGTTTTTGAAACTGAAGCTGTGGGAAGGATGAGCTTTTTGAAGGAAAGCAAGTTTTCAAAAGATCAGAACTAAACCGGGCAGATGCCTCTTCCATGAGCCTAACTGGCTCTCTGACCCATTTTACTTATGGTATTTGGAATATAGGAAGCTGCCTTACAGCAAGTCAGTCCATTGGTCCATCTAGCTCAGTAATGTTGGCACTGACTGGCAGCAGCTCACCAGGAGGTCCTTCCCAGCCCTACCTACAGACACTAGAAATTGAAACCATTTGGATGCATAGCATGTGCTCTCTGGTACTCAGCTGTAGCCCTTTGGAATTGACCTGTTTTCCTCTTAGGCCAAGACTAGATTTAAGTCAAGTTTTTCTGCTACTTTACTGGGTATTTGCTTCTCTTCCATATTCTCTTTTTCGCTTTTTCACTCATGTAATGGCAGCATAACAAAAAGCCATCTTGGTAAATGAAAGAAATGTCATTCAGCAATGCAGTTTAAGGCCTCAATAAGTCAGATGTTAAACACCTAAGGGGTATCATCTCCTTTTAATGTGAGCACGGTCCCCATTAACATTAATGGGGGTTATTCTGGAGCTTCAAAAGGAAATGGTGCACCTAAAATTGCAAATGATCCCTTACAAACTCCACTGATAAATTATTCATGCATATCATTAAAGCCAAGCCACGCCTCCACAGGCCGCGGCAAAACCAGCCTCAGCATTCCTTCTTTAAAACAAGAGGGAAGCTATGTTCTAGCAGGCAAAATGAATTTTATGTAAATATTGATTGATTGATTAATGAATTAAATTTCTATCCTGGCCTACTTTCCCCAAAGAGTCCAGGTTAACAAACAACACAAAAGCAAAACCATACTTTTAAAAAAATTAAAATAAAATAAAACCTTGGAAAACACAGAAAACATTTGAAAATGCTTACCTGAGCTCTGATGGGCTTAACTTTTGATACTCAGAATACTTAGAAGTAAGACTCACTGATTTAACAGAGCATTCCAAGCTCCCAGGTTTGCGAGGTAGAGAGGTGGCTTACTCTATAGGGATTGAACTCCTCTGGAACAGAGTGGGTGTATGGCTTGGGACTCCTAGATCCAACATTGCCACAAGAGGCTCGGGTAGTTTCGGTCGCTACGACTTTCAATTTCAGCTTTGGCCAGTTCAGCAGCTCCAACCCAATTTGGGCACAGATGACTTGGCCACCGTACTATGGTGTGCTCCAGATTAGGCTATCACAACACGCTGTAGCATGTAATGCTGCTCTTGGAAACCACTTGGAAGCCGCAGCTGGTGCACAACACAGCAGCCAAGTTGTCAGTGGAGATGGCTGTGAGAACAAACCATTTGTCCATGATTAAATAAGCATTTGGGATGCAGGTAGCGCTGTGGTCTAAACCACTGAGCCTCTTGGGCTTGCCGATCAGAAGGTCGGTGGTTTGAATCCCTGCAACGGGGTGAGCTCCCATTGCTCGGTCCCAGCTCCTGCCCACCCAGCAGTTCAAAAGCACGTCAAAGTGCAAGTAGATAAATAGGTACTGCTCTGGTGGGAAGGTAAACAGCGTTTCCGTGTGCTGCTCTGGTTCGCCAGAAGCGGCTTAGTCATGCTGGCCACATGACTCAGAAACTGTGTGTGGACAAACGCCAGCTCCCTTGGCCTATAGAGCGAGATGAGCACGCAACCCCAGAGTCATCCGCGACTGGACCTAATGGTCAGGGGTACCTTTGCCTTTACCTAAAAAAGCATTTGATATGTCCCCTATGTTTCACTCCTTCGTGGATCACTGCCTTGTCGTGGCGAAGGGGCTTGAATAACTCAGAGAAGCTATGAGCTATGCCGTGCAGGGCCACCCAAGATGGACAGGTCATAGTGGAGAGTTTTGATCCAGCTGGAGCAGGAACCGGCAAGCCACTCCAGTATCCCTGCCAAGAAAACTCCATGGACAAAAACAACTGGCATATAGAAGTTATGACGCTGGAAGATGAGCCCCTCAGGTTGGAAGGCGTCCAACATGTAGCTACTAACATGAGTTTGACCAAACTGTGGAAGGCAGTGAAAGACAGGAGTTCCTGGCGTGCTCTGGTCCATGGGGTTACAATGAGTCGGACACGACTAAACAACTAAACAACAAAAATGTTTCACATCTAACTGATTTTCAGGTTGCCTAATCATCAATATTTGTCAAAATTGCAACTTCTCTCCAGAAGGCAACCATAGCCAGTGGCATAGTGTGGGGGGTGGACACAGGGGCAGTCACCCCAAGTGCAAAATGGTTAGGGATGCAAAATTTCAACACCTGGTGCTGCCTCAATACAGCTGCCAGCTTCCTTCGCTGTGCTCTGTTGAAAACATCTTCTCCATGAGAACCAAGAAGTAACTTCTCCAGACAACAGAATGATACTTCTTATCTCTACAGCTGCGATCTCCTGGGTCACATAGACACCATTAGGCAGTTGAACGTGCATGCGTACTCCATCCATTTCCCTCCTTCCTATCCTCCTTCCACACGGCCCTAGGCGCCGACAACCCACGCTATGCCACTGCCAATAGCAACTTATCATGTTCTTCACCAACAGTAACTTTTCCTCACAGGAGAGTTGCTCCAACCCCTTGTTAATTTTGAATGCCTTCTTCTGAACCTTTTCCAGCTCTATATGCTTTCTGAGGTGTAATGACCAAAACGGTACACAGTATTCCAAGTGTGGCTGCATGATAGATTCATATATATGGCCTAGGACCCTCGTACCTATGGGACCGCGTCTCCTGGTATGCCCCACAGAGCACCTTAAGGTCTGCAAATAATAACACCCTGAAGATTCCAGGCCCCAGGGAGATTAGACTGGCCTCGACCAGAGCCAGGGCCTTTTTGGCCGTGGCCCTGGCCTGGTGGAACACTCTCTCACAAGAGACCAGGGCCCTGCACGATTTGACATCTTTCCACAGGGCCTGCAAGATGGAACTATTCCGTCAGGCCTTTGGTCAGGGTTCAGTCTGATTCTTTTCTTTCTGTATAAGAACAAGCATTAAAGAGACCGCTCACAGGTCCTTTATAAGACCAGTGGTAACAGTTGGCCCTGGAGAATATTAACCACTCTCAATTTTACCCGTGGACTGCCATCTGTCCAGATTTTAATTAGCTCTGAACTAATTTTAAGATGTATTTTAATTAATTGATTGCCTGTTTTTATGTTTTTATGTTCTTTGTATACTGTATTAGTTTATGATGTTAGCCACCCTGAGCCTGGCTCTGACTGGAGAGGGCAGGGTATAAATTTATTTATTTATTTATTTATTTATTTATTATTATTATTATTATTATATAAAAGTATGATATTGGAAGTTTTATTTTTGAAGTTTTCCCTCTGCACATGACAGGTAGAGGTTTGCATTCATCCCAAACCCTATTTATCAATACTGTTATGTCACCAATTCGAAGCCTTGCCTCACTGACACTTCAGTGCTGTAGGGGGGAGGAGTGTTAAAAAAACAAAAACCCTCAACTTTTATGTCTTTTTTAATGAGTCTAAATTAACTAGAATGAAGCACATTCCCTTTCTCATTGCTTTCCAAGGCTAGGAAACCCATTTGAGCTTAGGGACAATATTTTAATTATTGTGCAGATTAAGTTTAATAAACAACCAACAACGACATGTTTAAAACCCATGATACTAAAAATATGTTATCCCCCTAATAGAAGACTATTAATTAGGAAATGTTGACCTAATGAGCTGTGTTCATTTGGTGGATGATAAACATTGCTTTTAATCAGAGCTTTTACAAGCCGGCAATTGTTAACTTCAGGTTGTTAATTATTCACACTTTTAAATGTTAAGGTGGATAGAATATTTCATGAATGCTCTCTTTTTAATAAAAAGTGACACTGGGTTTTTATGAGCTTGGAATCGCACTTACTAATTTACAGTCATTTTGCACTTCTTTGCCAGTCGTTTATAATTAACTCTCTCTTTAAAAATAATAAATGACCTCTAGCTCGCTATTGTCTGTCATAATTAGCATACTGTCTTTTAAAGAGGAAAGTCTGTTTTCTCTTCATTAACAGTAATACTACCTAGGCAGACAATCAGTAAGTCCATGATCTGGAAACCGCGGTGGACGCCAAATTACCCTCTCTACCAGGACAAAATCAATTAACACCACAAGGGATGTCATTATTGTCACATTATGTCACCTGATATCCTCCAGGGTAAATAAATGATTTGTGGAATTTTTAATGAAACAAAAACACACGAGAACTTTGGCTGAATTATGCATTCTTTAGTGTGCTATGATATGCCAGAGATTCTGAATGCTGGAGAACTCTGTCCTCTTGCTATTGTGGATATCTCGACAATCCCACTTGTCCAGTCTATGCCACCCTGGAGCAGTAGAGGCTCCGCCATTAGGACAAGTGGGCCACTGCCCCACCACCCTCGGCTAGCCCTCACCTGCCTGCCTTCTTGCTTGTAACCACTCTTTGAGGGGGGGTTACTGTCAGGAGCTCGTCCTACACTTGAGTAGGACCCTGGCAGAGACACATGCCCGACTGGCATGTTCTCTCCCTCCTGGCCATTCGTTTGGGAGCTTCAAAAGCTTTCTTTAGCCCGAACATCACAGCGACTGATGCCAACAGACACCGGCACACTTAGGGATCCGCAGAGTGTTCACAGTTTGCATAACAGACCTCAGCAACTCAGCATTTTGGCTAATCTACTTTATTTACATATAAACACACATGGAGCACTGCAATATGGCTCCCCCTCTCTCTAGCATCAGGGTGCAAAAAGTGAGAACAAAGGACAATAGTCCCACTTCACGGAACACAGTAACACAAAACATCCTGTCTCTGTCACTTTCCACTCTGTGGAATGAAAACATACACCATCATGTGATAAACAACAATCCTATGACTGCAATCACAGAGCGGGAATCTTAACAGTTACTGCCTGTCAGCTTATTTCCCCTCCATCTTGCTGTTGTAGAACTCAGCGGAGAGTAGGGGGGGGGCAATGTTGGCTTGTTTGTCCTTGGCCCTGGCTTGGCTCCACCAGTCCTGGGCTTTGGCCCCACCCCCCAGGTTGGCCTCCCTCCCAGGTCCCAGGGGCACCAACCACCTGTGAATTTATTAATTTCAGTCACAGACCAGTTCCAGCTCACATACAATATCACGGAAGTCATAAGACACGATAGTGATACATTTGAATTTGCAGTTGGGTATAACAGGGACAATACAGATATAGCAGCAGTTAAAAATATGTAAGTTAAATCTTAATCACTAAAATATAACCTAAAATTGTCATTCAAAGCCTTAGCAACCACCTGTGCAATGAAGATTGGACGCATTCCCTTGACTCCAGAAACCCCCTCCCCTTAAATTAGCATTTCTGCAAGTGAGTTAAAACAGATTTCCTTGGTATAAATTAAATGATTGGAGAGCCCCAGTCAGTGTAGACTATACCGATTTTGATGGACCAATGGTCCGGCTTGGATTTAGGCATCTTCCTATGTTCTTCTACTAGATGACTTCTTCTTCTTCTTCTTCTTCTTCTTCTTCTTCTTCTTCTTCTTCTTCTTCTTATTTATATGCCGCCCATCTGACTGGGTTGCCCCAGCCACTATGCTTAACCCTACATGTTAACTGGGTGCACTTGAAAACAAAAAAGGCATGAAATACATCCACTATCACAGTTTTCCTTTCTTTACCCATGTTCTGGTCCAAATTCCAGCACATTGTTACATGAAGTGTTTTCATTTCAATTGGTTTTCAATAAGATATTAAGCCAGAGTTTGAACACTGAGAAGAAACACTCCTTCTTCTTAAGGGATATATTTAAAGACAAAAGGACACCATCTTCTTTCATAGGGGACATCTTCAATATCCAGTCATGTCTTGATGTGTGAGGTAGGACCACAGCGAATCTGTCATGGGGTTGACCTCCCATTTTGAATCCCAGTGGCTAAATACCAGGAGAAATATGTCCCAAATTTCATACATAATGTGTGACATTAATCAGGGGAAGGCATATCATTAATTTTATTTGATCCCATTGCCTCCTCCCCTCCCCCACCCCCTGCATTCGCTTAATCAGTGTGGCTTAGTGGTTGTTATACAATTTATTTTTAAACAACTACAGGACATTTTTTGCGGGGGGAGGTTGTTGGTTATATATTTTTGTTTCCCAGCTGCATTTAATAACATTCACATCTCTTTTAAAGAAAAGTATACACAACTTCTATATTTTTGGCCTACATCAGGGGGTATTTAATTAAGTCTATTCTGTCTAACATGATCTGATGTCATTGTACAAGGATATGTTCTTTGTTAGCAGCACTCTTAGTTTCAGACTCCTCTGTGTATTTGAAACCATGGTAACAGAACAGTAAGCTAAAGCCAATGAGATAATGAGATATTCTCATTGTAATTGTGTTTCATGAGGGCACACAGTCCCATGGGTGGTATCTGACTGCCTTACAACTGCTAACAGAATTTAAGAAACAGGCATATATTAACATGGTACAATTTTTCACAACAGTAAACACTTCTGACATGGCATTTTTTTTTTTTTTAGTTGTTTCCAGCATGTTCAAGTCCATAATATGCCTTTATGTCGCAGGAAGCCGTTCTATTAATGAATATCAATATTTTAAAATCCTCAGAACTTCAAGGAACTTAAGGTCTGCAATGCATTAATGAGACTGAGAGATGCTGTTTTGCATTATAATTATGGTCTGGGTTCTAGCTGGTGCCCAGCAGAAGCTGTGGAGGCAAAAAGCCGGGGAGGAGGGTAAATGAATTTAAACCACCACAACTCTTGAACATGAGAAAATGCTTAAGTCAGAATTCAGATTTACAAAGAAAGAGCTCAAGCAGCTCCTTGTATCTTTATCCCACGGTTTTGTGTTCTAATTATAAACTTTGACAAGGCTTTTAATTGTACAACTTTGGGGGGGGAACTGGTCATAAATAAGGCATGCGACTGTTACGTGGTTTCCCCACTGTCTGTTCAGAAAAATGAAAAAAAGAACGATGGGATTAGGTTTGAAATATTTGAAGTTTATCAACCATCCCCTGTCCACCCCCACCCCTTTTGAAGTAAAGAAAGAAGGTTGCCACATTTTATTCCCAAGTGTGGCTAAAGACACTTTAATCCTGCTTATGCTACTGGCCCTGTATGACTTTTTTGTCCTTTAATCAATAATTTAAAATTATTTTAAATATATATTCAGAGATGATAAGAAAACAGCAGGATGAATTAAGCAGGGCTCCGGCTAATATTCTTCAACAAAGGGGTTGGATTGTAATGTCACCGGAGCCACTCATGGCCCCATGTTTGTCCTTACAGAAGTAAAAGAGGCTTAAGACCCTGAATTACAAGTACTCTGAAATATTTATGTGAATGTTACTAGCGAGTCTAACGTGAATTATAAGCCTTTTGGGCAAAGGGGCTCCTTTTCCTCTTCTAATTACAGTATTGCACTACGAGAACCCAAAGGAAGCCCATGCAAAAGTTGGTGCCTAAAATGTATTGGCGGGTGGAAAACTAACTTACCTCTTAGCTCATGTGGTTTTACATAAGAGGGACCCCGGCTCTGGGTTGGATGTCTTTGTCCTACACTGGGAATGAAGATTTGACACATGGATACGGTTAAAGGTTGTGTCTGTTGACGTATAACAAGGGAAATCTCTGTCAAAGCAAAGTGTGAGCAGACATAACCTAGGCTAGCAGGCAGAAAATCCCGTGCCTCTTGTAGCGGGGAAAACTGCCCCAGAGAAACTTCCTTACAGAAGCTACGATGATGGATGGTGAAACCATCTTTCCACAAGTGGAAGTTATAGGTGTATGACCTGGCGGGTGCCAGCTACCCCTGCTGTTCAGCAAGTGGCATGTGCCAGTTCCCAAGAGCACCACACCAAGTAGCTAGACTAGTGACTGGGAGCGGCCGCCGAGACCATATAACACCAGTCCTGAAAGATCTTCATTGGCTCCTAGTGCATTTCCAAGCAGAATTCAAAGTGTTGGTGCTGACCTTTAAAGCCCTAAACGGCCTTGGTCCTGTATACCTGAAGGAGCGTCTCCACCCCCATCATCCAGCCCAGACACTGAGGTCCAGCGCCAAGGGCCTTCTGGCGGTTCTCCCGCTGCGAGAAGTGAGGTTACAGGGAACCAGGCAGAGGGCCTTCTCGGTAGTGCCGCCTGCCCTGTGGAATGCCCTCCCAGCGGATGTCAAGGCAATAAACAACAATTTTACTTTTAAAAGACAACTGAAGGTGACCCTGTTTAGGGAAGTTTTTAATGTCTGATGCTGTATTGTTTTTAATATTCAGTTGGAAGCTGCCCAGAGTGGCTGGGCACAAGGAGAAGGGGACGACAGAGGATGAGATGGTTGGACAGTGTCCTCGAAGCTATGAACATGAGTTTGACCAAACTGCGGGAAGCAGTGGAAGACAGGAGTGCCTGGCGTGCTCTGGTCCATGGGGTCACGAAGAGTCAGACACAACTAAACAACAACAATATTATTATTATTATTATTATTATTATTATTATTATTTTCAATTGACAACAGGGTGTGTGTGTGCAGTGTCTTCAACCCAGCATACCTCAGGGTGCTGGCCCTTGTCTAAACCTGCCTGCACTTAATACCAAATAAACCAACCAGACAGATTTAGCTCTATCCCACCATCAAATTCAGAGCAAAGTAAGTGGGAAAAAAGGAACTCCAAATTCAGGGTGATTCCCCCCTCCCCCCAAAAAAATCCCACTCAGCAGCTGTCTAAACCCATTCTGCACCAGCCTCAATACCAGTGTCTCCTCCTGAATGGAACAACAACTTCAATGCAATTTTCAGGATGAAACCGGTGGGAGGGGAAAGAGTTAAAGCCCCTCTCTTTGCACCCCATGAACAGGACCCAGATCAGTCCTCCACCCCTACAGCTCCTATTTAACCCTTAAAACCCATATATGTTAAATGCAATTCTGCTTTTCATGTACCATCTCCTTCGGCCCCCACTTTCAACTTTATCCTCCCTTATGGCCCTGTCACACTCCCATGCTGTGAGCTTCATCATTCCAGCTACTTCCCTCCATCTGCAAAGTCCATCTTCCTGAAAACACAATAATAATTTAGGGGATTTCCACCAATACGAAAACCAATTCCTCATTTCAATGACGCTTCAGCGGAAGTGCTTAGTAAATTACATGTTAGATTAATAAGGAGACAGAATCACACTTTGTTTATTATCCTGCCTGTTATAACTGTGTTCAGAAATAATTATTAAGCTTAGCATTCATTAACTGGATTGTTCCCAAAGAATGATTAATCAGTTAGTTTAATTTACTTAACTGAGAGCAAAAGGATTTCTGAATACTCAATGCAGAACCTTTCCTCCCACCCCCTTTCCTGTAGCTTCGTAGTGTGGATGTAGGAGGGCCTTACAAATTGTGAAATTCTCTTTGGTGCTATTGCTATTGCTATTGCTATTGCTATTGCTATTGCTATTGCTATTGCTGCTGCTACTTATTTTGTGTATTTATTTTAAGTATTTATATACCACTTTTCATGAGAAAAGATCACAAAGTAGTTTACGAAGAAAAAGCAAAAAATAATACGTGAAACAATAAAAATTGAATGCATCATAGAAAACATCAAAACCTATAAAGAATACAATACAGAAAACATCAAACTCTATTTCATAGAACACTCACTCAATGCACTTATAATCAGTAGCCATGTCCACTAACACATCTGAGCTCATGTGGTGTAGTGGTTAGTGTTATGTTGTGGGTGAACATATCAGACGACACAGCGATTCTTCAAACAGCTCTTGTTTATTCACAGGCCAGAACAGAACTGAACTGAAGGGTTCAGCCAGCCTGCTTACATAAAGCTCCACTAGAACGCAACAGTAACCACTTTCTGTAACTATCCAATCACTGAATGTCACTTTCAATCCCTTATTTGCATATGTGGACCTGAGTGAAAACTATCTACAGTATCCCCTGGCTGGCCCAGGGTGAGAACTTCAGTACATAACAGTTACTGAATTGGACTAAGACCCTGGGAGCTCAGGGTTCAAGTCCCACTTGACCATGAAGCTCACTGGGTCACTTTGGGCCAGTCACAGTCTCCCAGACTAACCTATTTAACAGGTTGGTTGCAAAGATAAAATGAAAGGGGCACCACTTTGAGCTCCTTGGAGGAAAGTTGGGATATAAATGTAATGCTATTAATCTCTCAGTATATCTATGTCTATATAGATATATAGATATATATATATTTAAGGGGGAACATACATTTTCAGAGAAAACATGGATTTAAATGCATAATAAACTACATGTTTATATTTAAATGCAAATGTTGTTGCTATTTTTAATTGCAGGTTAATGTCAACTCAAAAGAATGCAATTATGGGTTTTAAAAAGACACAAAATGGAAAGAGAGAGATTTGTCTGTCCATAATCCTGCAACCTTTGGCTGAATGTGCCAAAGGAGCCTTAGCTGGCCAGTGTCTAGGGCAGCCCAAGTTCCTTTGGGGTAGGACAAATGTTTTCTGACACGGTAAAGAATGCTGGATTTAGACACACACTAAACACTGCATGCTATATTGCTTCTTAGACCTCCAAGCAGTGGTGGAGCTATATTTTGTGGGCCCTGAAGCTTGAACTGTTACATGGGGGCCCTTTCTCAGCCAGCAACGAGGTCTGAGTAACCACTGTTATTTTCTTCAGTGGGGTTGTTCCACAACAGATCTCTATCTATCTATCTATTTATTTTAAATAACTACTACATCTCATATTTTGATTAAAATTGCTGCATTGGACTATCTCATAGTTACCACGACAGTCCACCTTTATGACATCTGTGTTACCGACTCTCAAGCTTTGGGATTGTTGAGCTATGCGCAACAAAAAATTAATCAGATGGGGTGTTCTAGACTCAAAATTCTTATGCCATTCTAGGTTAGCTTAAATCACTTCTGAGCCCCCCTCTCGGATGAGGGGCCCTGAAGTTTATGCTTCATTCGCTCCATAGTAGACCCCCTACCCTGCCTCCAGCACAGTCAGCCTCACAGCCAGGGTATATGGAAGTATCCATAAATCAGCTTCCACCAGCACCTTGCTGGGGCTGATGGGAGTTGTAGTCCAAACTTTATGGAGGTGAATGGGTCGGTGAATGCTGCCATGAAGGCACAAACTCGCTTTTAAACCAATTGCATCATTATAAGCAGTAATAAAGAAAGGGGGGGGGGAGAAAAGCAATGTAGCAATGCTGGCAACATATATTTGCTTGTTTTTAAAGTGCTATCTTGCTTCCCCTTTGAAGATTTAGCTCAGCGAGAAGATTTAAATGAAGGCAGAGTTTTTCATAGGAGGCTCCAATCAATCTTTAATTCTCGGCCCTTTCTTCTAGTTCAGGCTATTTATAAATAACTAAACAGCCACGACCATTTCAAAACAAAAGCTTGTTTTCTCTCTTACAGTCTTGAGCTATCTGTCTTGTTAAGATTCCCCCCCTCCCTTCTCCCTTAAGCGTGTTATTACAGCTCAGGATCATAGTTCAATGCTTGTAACATAAATCTGTTATCGTAGCTTGCATATAATTAGTTCTAAATGTCTGTGGTTTTATTTTTCAACATCAGGGTGTACATTAGGCATCAGAAACACTTAAGAGCTTGGCTATCGCTGCACTTTATGATTCTGCTGTTCATTGAGCCAAAGAAACAAATATTTAATGAGACAGTGACATTAAAATATGGCTCAGCAGAATATTTTTTTAAAACGTGTTTAGCAATTTGCATTGCATGATGCAATAATGAGGCTTACATGTTAACTGTCACGTAACTCATCTCATTTGCAAGGAGTTTATAGCAGAGTGTCATGCTACTAAGACTGTGGTGTACATAAAAAAAAGCTTACTTAGGTTCAAAATATACATTAAAATGTGTAACGGTGTTAAAAGGAACTCTGTGTAGTGAGTACTTTTTAAAAAACAATAAAACATTTTTTAAAATAGTGAGAAAGCTTCCAAAACTATTCTTCCTGTATGCCACAACAGCAGGAAGATTACTCCTCGCACAGAGATGGAAACAACAGGATATTCCGACAACTGAAGAATGGCAACAGAAAGTATTGGAGTATGCGGAAATAGCAAGGCTAACTGGAAGAATCCGACAGCAGGACGATGTGAAATTCCAAAAAAGAATGGTCCAAATTTATGGTATACAGTGGTACCTCGGGTTACATACGCTTCAGGTTACAGATGCTTCAGGTTACAGACTCCGCTAACCCAGAAATAGTACCTCGGGTTAAGAACTTTGCTTCAGGATGAGAACAGAAATCTCGCGGCGGCAGCAGGAGGCCCCATTAGCCCATTAGGTTAAGAACAGTTTCAGGTTAAGAACGGACCTCCGGAACGAATTAAGTTCTTAACCTGAGGTACCACTGTACTTAGAGAAAACTGTACATAAATAAAGACACTCACAGGACTGAAATAAAACTCATAATGTTTATTGTAAACATTTGGTTAGACCATAAGATGTAATATAATAAGGACTGTATGTTTAAAGTATAATACAAAAATTTATTAAGGAATTATAGACATTTATAGAATTTATATACAGTAAACACGCTTAAGAGCAATGTGGAGAAGCCAGAAGAGGGGTAGAGGGAAGTTAATTCAGATAAGATATAGATTTAAAGGAGAATAATGTTGTTAAGTTGTATTGTGCTTAAGATATTTGGAAAAAAATAATTAAAATTATTGGTGGGTGGGGAAAGAAAGCTTCCAAAACTATCGTTGCTTTTGGACACTCCAATTGACTTTTTCTGTTGTTAAGAAGGTAACAGGTTGGGCAATACAAAAGGAGGGGCTTAACCCTTTCCATGCTGACACAAGAGCATTGCCCCTCCACCAATGGGGTTCAGGAGGCAGAGTTAACTCACACAAACACACACAGAGGGTCTTCATCGGAGGGGAGATGCAAATTCAAGTGGGGATTAGGAGCAGGAAAACAGGCAGTAAAGGTCTCTGTGTGTGTGTGTGTGTGTGTGTGTGTGTGTGTGTGTGTGAACTAGGGCTTGTTGGGTGAGAACGCTGAGGCCAGTGCCTCCCCCCCAACGCAGCATCGCCCGGGATTCATCACTCCGGTCTCCCGTCATGCTGAAGAAGAAGAAGAAGAGTTTGGATTTTATATCCCGCTTTATCACTACCCGAAGGAGTTTCAAAGCAGCCAACATTCTCCTTTCCCTTCCTCCCCCACAATAAACACTCTGTGAGGTGAGTGGGGCTGAGAGACTTCAGAGAAGTGTGACTGGCCCAAGGTCACCCAGCAGCTGCATGTGGAGGAGCAGGGAAGCGAACCTGGTTCACCAGATTATGGGTCTACCACTCTTAACCACTACACCACACTGGCCCTCTCTCATAGGAGCACATGAGATACGTGGGACTCACAGACATGCATTTTCCTAACTTGTAAGTGTGCATTTGACAATAAATAGTGAATTCCTCACGCTGGACATGCCTTGCCTGACAGCAGCGTGGCAGTGTGTTTTGAAGCCCACTGCTTCCTTAATATTGGGTAGTGTGCCTCTGAATCCCGGTTTCTGGGGAGACTCAAGTGCGGAGAGCTTTGTGGCACCCAGATCCTGCTTGTGGAGCCTCCAAATATTTTGGATTACAACTCCAATCAACTCCAGCCCATTCCAGCTCTGCTGATGGGGACTGATTGGAGCTGTACCATCTGTAGGGAACCAGGTTGGGAAAGTCTTCACTAAACAGCTACCCTAAAAAAGACCTTCACCTTTATGATTCTTAAAAGGCCTCCCACCTCCAGCTGAACTGGCGTTTGTACTAATGAAGGTAAGAACCTTTTAAACTATTTTTAGCTATTTTTATTGACCATTTCAATAGATCTTGTAAACAGCTTAGAGGTCTCAGTACAAACAAGTGGTAGATAAATTTTTGCCCAGATCTGTCTCCAGTCTCCAGTGAAACATAATGTTCTCTTAACGATGTTTCAACCAGTTCCCTGGACCGAAAGTAAATTCCGTAAATATACATACACATAGCTCTCTGACCATTGTTTTGAATGTGAGATTAATCAGGTGATAGCCAACTGCTTGGCATTTCAGGAATTAAATTAACGCAGGTTTCAGAAGAATCTAGGGTGGGGATCCTTGTTCCTGTGGAGTTCTAACATTTTAGAACATGCAAGAAAAGAGCTCGTAAAGTCCCTGTGGCCTTCGCCTGCCAATGAAATAGTGCAAAAACGTATTTGCTTCTTAAATCCTTCATTGTTCCTTGCCATTATTATTACAGATTAAAAGATGAAAGAGCGCTGAAGAGCAAACTCTATTAAGTACCTGGGGTTTTATTGAAAAGTGCTTCAGGTAATAGCATTGTGGACATTCCTCAAGGAGGTTTATGCCACCATTATTCTTTGGAATTAGTTTCATGCTCTTGTGGAAATTTTAAGCTTGGGTCTGAACGACCGTGCTCATTTTTGTTTATTGACACTGTTGTGCTTCCATCTGGCGAGGCTGCTTTAGCAAGAGCTTCATAAGCTGCATTTTGTGGTTTCAGGTTGTCAGTGAGGTCATTCACCGATGACTCAGATACACTGGCCTGGAGGTATTTATGTGATCACCACCGTCAGCAGGAGAAAGCTGCCCTTCAGAACAAGGCGAATAATATATCCCCACCCTGGATGGCTTCAGGCTCAGAAATGGGGGCTGACCTGAAACCGCCTGTCCTGGGGGAGAAATAAAGAGAACAAAACACATGCTACGTCGATGGATTCCTACTCATCTGCTGTTAAGAAATTCACTTGAGACGCTGGCGATAAAAAGGTTCTGCTGCTGGTGTGTCCGGGCAGAAAAGAAAGGAACTGTAACATGTACAAATACTTAGCTTCAGCACTGCAAACACAAAGGCACATCAGAAGGGCATGTCATGTAGAAAAGTGCCGTTAACTGGAGGAACTGCATCTACTATTCCAAACTATCAATGGATGTTTGTCTGAATGCATATTTACAACATCTGGCCTCCATGTGGTTTACATTTGGATAGCAATCCAACAACCATTTTGCCTGAAGTTTGGGGGTGGGGTGGGTCCCCCCCCCACAAGCTGTCCATAGCAATTGCCCTTAATCAAATATCATCTTTTCAGATGTTTACAGATGCACTGAGAGAGAAGATTATTTTAGAAATCACTCAAAAGAATGCCATCCAAGAAAGAAATATGAACCAAATGCTATTGCAAGTATTGCTTTTGGTTGTTGTTGTTGGGGAGGCGGGTGGGGGGAGTCAAGTTAAAATGAAAAGATCCTTCTGACTGCAGATTTAACAGAAACAAAAAACCCCTTCCACAATTTTACAGTGTCCATACAGGAAACCAAAGTTTTGCTGTGCCTTTTTTTAATTTAAACAATATACACAAATCAAGTGTATTTATTAAATCAATGTTTAGCCGTTTTTACGAGGAAGCGCAATTTAAAGAACCGACATAAAAGATTTTCATCATAATGATACACATCTCTTTGGGGAAAAGTTATTTCAGGGATCCACGATAATTGCTTCTCAAATAAAACTGAAGCTAAATGAAGAAGAAAAGAGAGAAGCTTGTGCTGAAGAGCAAGACCATTTGACTACAGTGCAGACCGCCAGTTATTGACACTGAAAGTTGATGCAGTTCTCAACAACACCACAGTTTCTCAGTTTTATGTACTTTTTAATTTCCTCTGTGGAAAATCTGTTCTTCATAAAAGGGCTGCAAAAGAAAATGTGGAAAAAGTTGATTCATACCATATTTACATTCTTGCTAGTACCTGGAAATGTACCAATTGCCACACGGAGCCAAAAAGGAAGTTTCACAAGTGAAGGATGGCTTAGCTAAGGAGTGGGTCATGTGAAGTGTTGGATTGTGGGAAGTGGAAGAGTTATAGTTTACTGTACCTTGTTTCCTAGACTGTGGGGGGCTGCCATTTTTTTAAAAAAAAACTCTCAGTGCTCCTCATCACTACATAGTGAGTAACTCTACGCACAAGAAGCTGTCACAAAGCAAGCTAGCATAAGCTAAGCCAGCGTAACAACAACAACAACAACAACAATAACAACAACAACAACAGTACAAATATGCCAGAGTCAAACCCCATTCAGGAGCAAGGCTACTGCTGGCTGTGTCTGCCCAAGCCTGCCAAAGAGAGAACAAGCCTTTAAAATAGGGTTTGACTTACACAATCCTCTTTGCCAGATCATGAGACAGAGCTGAACAGATTTAGGATCCAGCCTGAGTACACCTTACTGGTCCCGCCTCCGCCATGCCCCCAGAACAGCCCTTTGGGAGGATGTTTGCAGGCCTTGGCCCAGCCAACTTGTTATGTACTGAAGTTCTCACCCTGGGCCAGCAGGGGGATACTGTAGATAGTTATGCAAATGAAGGATCGAAAGTGATGTTCAGTGATTGGATAGATTGTATGCAAATGAAGGATCGAAAGTGATGTTCAGTGATTGGATAGTTTTAGAAAGTTGTTACAGTAACAAGGTACTGGAGCTCTATATAAGCACGCTGACTGAGCCCTTCAGTTCAGTTCTGTTGTGGCCTCTGAATAAAGAAGAGCTGTTTGAAAAATCGCTGTGTCGTCTGATATGTTCACCCACAACTTAACGCAACTGAGCCTGGCTGAGCCAGGGTGAACAAGTAACGCTGGCATATCTTCATATGAGCCGGGGTTGGAAACTTAACACTGGCTGAGACGAGAACCGCCTGGCTCCACCAGAGAGCGGCTGCATCCCATAATAATAATGTAATAATAATTTATTATTTGTACCCCACCCATCTGGCTGGGTTTCCCCAGCCACTCTGGGTGGCTTCCAACAAAGATTAAAAATACATTAAAATATCACACATTAAAAACTTCCCTGAACAGGGCTGCCTTCAGTTGTCTTCTAAATGTCAGGTAGTTGTTTATCTCTTTGACATCTGATGGGAGGGACATCCTAAGCTGCTCATCCCACCAGATCTTGCCATAGCATTTCGGCCACTGGGTTGTTCTGTTCCCATTGATGAATGCTGCCAGGCTGATGCTTATTGCAGAGCCACTGAAGCTTGATAGTGTTTATTTACTTCATATACCACCTTTCATCCAAAGATCTCAGGGCAGTTCACAACATATAAAACATAGTGTGTCCTGACCTCCTCGGCTGGCTTACTGCCTTCAGTAAAGACTGGGCTACCACTGCTCGTTTTTGAAGCCGCATTCACACAACTTGAGCCACAATCCATAACAGTTCTGTAGTTTATGGACAAATGTCGTTGTCTGAAGTGTTTTTCCCCTTAGGTAAAGGTAAAGGGACCCCTGACCATTAGGTCCAGTCGTGGCTGACTCTGGGGTTGCACGCTCATTTCACTCTATAGGCCAAGATAGGCCAAGGGAGCCGGTGTACAGCTTCCGGGTCATGTGGCCAGCATGACTAAGCCGCTTCTGGCAAACCAGAGCAGCGCACGGAAATGCTGTTTACCTTCCTGCCAGAGCAGTACCTATTTATCTACTTGCATTTTGACGTGCTTTCGAACTGCTAGGTTGGCAGGAGCAGGGACCGAGCAACGGGAGCTCACTCCATCGCGGGGATTCGAACCACCGACCTTCTGATTGGCAAGTCCTAGGCTCTGTGGTTTAACCCACAGCGCCATCTGTGTCTCTTGTTTTTCCCCTTAAACAAATGCAAATAGAAGTGAGGATGTAGAGTAAGCATTCATCTGAGCCTGATAGCAAGATGGCTTTTGTTTACTAGTAGGGAGAATGTCGGACTCTTTGCTGCCTCTTCTAACACACTTAGTCTCACAACCTGACCAGGGAAGTGAAGGGGAGGAAAACCAAGTCGTACACACTTGAATAAGCCCCAAAGCTAGTTCCACCTCAACACCCACAAGTGACAAAAATGGCTAGGCTGAACAGTTCAGCCTGTAGAAAGAGACAGAGAGAAGGGAACAAGGGATGAGGAGCAATTGGCACCCTAGATGCCTTTGGACCACAGCTCCCATCATTCCTGACCACTGGCCATGCTGACTGGGGATGATGGGAGTTGCAGTACAACATCTGGAGGGCCACAGGTTCCCCACCCCTGTGATAGGCTCTCTACAGAATACAGCTGTGGGATAATCTCACCCCACACTTCTTTTTTCCGCAAGAAAACAGAGAGAGACTGAAGAGGGTGAGATAGCTGTAGAGGAGCAGGAAATATGATGTTTGGAAGGAAATGCAGGTATTGGTGAGTATAGATAAAATATAGATAATGGAAGGTGGATTCTGCTCTGTTTTTCATGTATTGCTTACAAACGAAAACACATCCCCATAAAAGGTATCTTACGCAATGTAATTATATTATCCACATATTGTACTACATCAACTGAATTTCTATTATAACAATAAGGGGAAATGCATTAAGGACAAAAGAATGCAATTCAGCAGCATTTATTTAGGTGCATAAATTATGCACTCTGTGTTTGTTTAATTATGCAACTTTGTGTATCTTCTGTTAAGTTAATCCATTCCTAAATTATTCCTTCTGTATGGGAGGCTGACGTTGCACATTAGGAAAGCAGGACTGCTGAGGGCTTTTCTACTTTCCGTAATGCTGGTCTGAACACAGGAGTGGGGGGGAAGCCTCTTCTCAGGCCTTGCGTCAGAAACTGTACAAAGCTGGATGATGTTTCAGAGGTGAAAGTGAGAGCAATGGACAAACGTGGAGTTCTGGATTGAATGCCTCATTTCAGCTAAGGTGGCTTCCAACAGAAAATGTAAGAGTCCGATTAGATCAGACCAAAGGCCCACCTAGTCTAGCATTTTACATGTGCGTTTTTTCTTGTTTTCCTCTCCCCTCTTCATTGCTTTTTCCTTTTCTGTCATCTCTTGGATTATATATACGCCAGCAGGTGACTAGTTTTTTAATGCTCTTATCCAGGCCACTTTGAAAGCCCCTCTGGGGTGGAAATGCTTTAAATAAATAAACGAAATCACGTTGGAATCCTGTGTGAAGTTCTTGTGCATACTGGGGAAGTGGAGATACAGAAAAGCGCAACCAAAATGACCAAGGGGTTTGAGCAACTCTTGTACAGGGAGATGTTAGAACAGGGGTCAGCAACCTTTTTCAGCCATGGGCTGGTCCAGCGTCCCTCAGACCATGTGGTGGGACCAGACTATTTGGGGGGGGGGGTGAACGAATTCCTATGCCCCACAAATAACCCAGAGATGCATTTTAAATAAAAGGGCACATTCTACTCATGTAAAAACAAGCTGATTCCTGGACTGTCTGCGGGCCGGATCATAGCTGTCAACGTTTTCCCTTTTTTAAGGGAAATTCCCTTATTCTGAATAGGATTCTTCACAAGAAAAGGGAAAAGTTGACAGCTATGGGCCGGATTGAGAAGGTGATTGGGCCGCATCCAGCCCCCGGGCCTTAGGTTGCCTACCCCTGGGTTAGAACATGTGGTGCAATAGTCTATTAAACATTAAAAGCTTCCCTAAACAGGGCTGCCTTCAGATGTCTTCTAAATAATAATACTACATGCAATGATGTATCAACACACTGGATATTAAGAGAGTTTCTCTTACATTGCTAACTGTGCAGTCTATACACTTCTGCTCAGATAAATGCCCCAGTGCGTTTAGTGGAACTTACCTCGGGTAAGTGTATATGTAGGGTTGCAGCCTAGTTTCCTTTCAACAAATGACATTAGAATATTATGAATATAGGAGTCCTTAATTTGATAATGGTGGTGATGATTTGCATTTGTGAATCAGGTTCCCTCCACTGAAATGAACAGGGGAACTATTTCCTCCTGTCTTCTTTTTAATTGAAAGGATGTATAACACCATGTACACTTAACAGGTTCCACTATCAGTGTCATCATCATCATAATCTCCAGTGACACATCAGAGCTCCCAAATCCATAAACAATTACTGGATTGGGGAAACAGCCGACAATGTTTGTTTGTTGCATCCCATTGTTCCTTTAGACAGCTGGTAAGATGGGGATCCCTGTGGTTTTCCACCCAGAGATCACTGCTCAGAGTGATCTCTCACATACAAGCACTCATTAAACCTACACCTGTTCAGATTCAACAATGCTATGCCATCAGCTGCCCTCAAACCAGTGCCCGAACAACATAACAATACCAACCTAGCAGGTGTGTGAATGAAGAAAATAGTTTGATTTTCCACTGAGGCATGTAACTTTCAGTTAAAAACTCATTGACCTAAGGAAACTATAACAAATTATATTGTCATCTTAGCTTCTATATTAGATAGCATCCACAGCTGTGTAAGACTATTTTTAGATAAAGGTGTGAGGTTATATGTAGAAGAGAAAAAGCAATGGGCTGTTTGTTCTTTTCAGCTGTACTAGAAGCCGGACATTGCAATGTCAATATCAATACCGTCTGCAGACACGTTCCTTGAGCAAGATCAGTTCTCTATGCTGACATCTTGCTGTTATTATTTTGATGGAAATTAGCAGAACAATTCTGATATTTCAAGCATCACTCACTTGGCTGGCAGCATGGTGGCTCTAATCACTGCCCGTGAAACCTGCGTTTGGTCACTAATGCATTAGAGCATTGCTAATGACATGGAGGTATGACAAGATAAGCACGGCTTCATAATGAATGACTACACCAAAGGAAAGTGGCAAAAGTAATTATAGAATCACATGGGCTGCTGGCCTGGAATTGTCAGAGACATCAAATTTCATGTACCACTAAAACAACACTGAGATAACCTTATGTTCTGGAGAAGCAGCAGTCATAGCTCATATGTAATTCAGCTGACATTTGCTTCTGCTAATGCTAAACAATGGAACAGCCAAGAAATAACGTTAATTTCCCTTTTGTTAATTAGACAAATTAATTAAATCAGCCTTCAGTGCTGTGAATATATTTTTATATTCAACAATAGGGTGTTGTGAAGATACCGTTAAACGGTTCAAAGAAGGCTTATTAACCCCAGACTTTATTCTGTTTTTATAAAAGCACCAACTTCAAGTGCATTTAGGCAGAAAGAAGCTTTTCAAATCAGATAGCAGAGCTACAAAAATGCAGGGCATTATCATAATCTGGCAAGTGTTTAGTTTAACACTGTTGTGTCAAGAAACCGGTAAAAAAAAGAACGAGCAAAGAGTCTGATAAAAATGTACTTAAGGGATGACAGTCTTTATTACCATTTAATTTTATCTCTTCATACATTTTTTGCAGGGCGGGGAAGGCCCTCCTGTCTGAAAATAAATAAGATTACTTTAATTCTATCTACTGTGAAAATATCAAACATTGTCTTCCTTTACCTACGGGGAGAACAGAATATTCTATTATATTTGCATTAAAAGAGCATTATCACTTTCATTCAGCTCAGTATTGCATAAGTGTTGGGAAGATCCCTGCATTGCTAGATATATATTTAATTTCAGCTTATTAGTAGGCCATGATAAAGTAACACTAATCCACACTTCAGTAAGCCATGTTTCTATGTTTAAGCCCCAACTCACAACAATGTGTGTTCTTGTAAGAAGTGCTGGTTCACACACACATATAAATTTCTCAGTAACTGATGTCTGGTAGCTGAATGAGAACTGGCTTAGTTGAAAAGTGTTGTCATTTGGGGCAACGTAAGGTAATATAAAAATTCCATCTGTGATTTTAGATCTACAATGGTTTGGTGACATGTGCAAGTAAGTCATCATAAGACTGTAAGAATAAGAAATACCTTGTAATATGGAACGCGGGTGGCGCTGTGGGTTAAACCACAGAGCCTAGGACTTGCCAATCAGAAAATCGGCAGTTCGAATTCATGTGACGGGGTGAGCTCCCATTGCTTGGCCCCTGCTCCTGCCAACCTAGCAGTTCGAAAGCACGTCAAAGTGCAAGTAGATAAATAGGTATGGCTCCAGCGGGAAGGTAAACGGCATTTCCATGCGCTGCTCTGGTTTGCCAGAAGTGGCTTAGTCATGCTGGCCACATGACCCGGAAGCTGTACGCCGGCTCCCTCTGCCAATAAAGTGAGATGAGCACCACAACCTCAGAGTTGTCTGCAACTGGACCTAATGGTCAGGGGTCCCTTTACCTTTACTATCCAGCTAACATGTCCCATCAATGCAAGGATTTAAACTTGTGCGATGAAACTCTCCTCCCCCATGTGCACCCCATGCCCTCCTCAGTTCTGTTCCAGAGATCTGGGGAAATCACTGGAACATATTTAGGGGACATACAGAAGGGAGGAAGTTTTGAAGTGCAAAAACTAAATTGGATGAAATGCCTTGGGCCAGATTCAACAAATCCCACTAGTGGAAGCTTACACTAGTGGGGTTGGAAGAACCCTCAAAACAGCACACAGCAGGAGGAGAGGGAATTGTTCTCTCTGGTAATCTGAAATGCTTGCACTAATGGAATGATTGCCATAGCGCTATACTGAATTCCTGAACGCTGAGGAAAGTGAAGAATGTGTAAAGTATTTGTCAGATGTTTTAGATCCACTAAACTTTATTTGACTGCAGCTAGGTACACACCAGCCCACTTGTAGCACAAAATGTAGGGGTTTACCCCGAATCCAGAATCATTCTTGTTTATTCTTTACATACTGCTTTCATTCTAGATTTGTGATACAGTGGTACCTCTGGTTACGTACTTAATTCGTTCCGGAGGTCCGTTCTTAACCTGAAACTGTTCTTAACCTGAAGCACCACTTTAGCTAATGGGGCATCCTGCTGCTGCCACACCGCCGGAGCACGATTTCTGTTCTCATCCTGAAGCAAAGTTCTTAACCCAAGGTACTATTTCTGGGTGAGCAGAGTCTGTAACCTGAAGCATATGTAACCCGAGGTACCACTGTAGATCCTGCTGTCTGCAAGGGTGGGCGTGCTTACCTGATACGTATTGAATACCCTCGCAATGATTCTGTTATCCATGTCTTTTCCTCTCTGCCTATGCCTCAGGTGAATGTAGAAGGAACTAGCGATTCTGACATAATTAGGCAAGTATGGATATACTCGCCATCGTGGATATACTTGCCACTTACATCTGTTTTCAAATGAGTACCCACTGAGTGGTAATGCAGAAGCCACTGAGTGGTAATGCAGAAGCAATCTACAATAAGTCTTTATTTTTGGAATTAAACCAGTTTATCAAGAAACGCTTTTCAGGAGCAAAATATATGTGGTAGATCTACATTGTGTGTGGCTACATGGGGGGACGACGACAATAACTTGTCTCCATTGATTCCGGAATATGTTGTCTACACACAGGTTCGATAGGCCCTGAAATCCCTCCAGTTTTATTTCCAGAACAATAACCACAACCATGCCTGAAATATAATGGCAATATGCAAACAAGGTGAAGAAAATCTACCAAAGACTGTATTGCTGCACTCTTCCCTTTAACTTTTTTGCCACCCAACGATAATCTGTATAAGTATTCTTGGTCGATTTGAACAACAGGAGTTCTTGGGCCTTGTACCCTTGAATGCAATCTAAACCCTCAAGAGTAAATTATCAATTCAGGGGTAACTGGGCTGCAACCATTAAGAGAGGTCTCTGCAGTAATGTACCTCCAGGCAAAGGTGATTTGGGATGCAGAAGCCAACTTATTTGCAGCTTTGCTGCAATAGGACTGCATCCCATTGCCCCATATCCTCCTTTCATACATTCCCTATATTTATGAGGTGCTAATGGATGTCAGAGACAGGAAAGAATGAGGAAGTACTGGCAGCAGCATCCCTAACCAGCGGGTTTCTCTTGACCTCATTAAATGTTTGGGCTTGATTCAAAGGATGAGCAATAGTTTCAAAAAGTACTCAGTCTACATAATCTGTTTCATCTAGCTCCATTGGCACTTCATCATCCGCAAGACTCTTTCCTGGTCAGTTTAGTGGGATTTATTATGAACAAAATGTGCTGTAAAGTATATAATATGAAAATAAATCCCACCCACCTCCTACTTAACTGTCACTTCTTCCTTCTATAATCACAGAGTTTATAGGAATTAGATATAAAATGTCATAAAGCGATGTATATCATTTGCTTGTCCTTAGAAAACTAGACTTCAGAATGCTCGACATGAATTTCCCAGGATGCTCTGTTGTCCACGAAGCAGATTCTGTATGTTATGTCTGCTCACTTATTTCAGGTAGTGAACGTTTAACATCTATTGCAGAGGGCCCATACATTGGTAAAATGTGTTCTTTCATGCTCACTATCAAAGGTTCAATCAATGTCCAACATGTCAAGGGAAACGATACTCAACCACATGCACAAATTGTTTGGCCCAATGTCATGCAGCTTCATATGTAACATAGGCTTACATTCAACAAACATTGAAAGATGAAATTAAAAATTTGGGCCCATGAGATTTCTCAATGTCCGTATAGGACACCGTCATCATTAAAAAGGAATACACACACACACACACACACACACACACACACACATATATAGTCCAGTAGCATCTTAGAGATGACGAAAAAGGAGTTAAACAAAGGAGTTTTAAAAAGGAGTTAAACAAAGTAGACGGCAGTGATAAGACAACATAATCTAACCCCTGAAGCCACTGAAAAATTTACAGATAATGTCCTTTCCAAACCATAACAAATCTATATGAGGTAGGAATGCAGTAGGACATACAATAAGAAAGGGCAAGAGGTTTTTTCTCCCTTTCCAGCATTTATTTCTTCAAAACGTAAGAAAACCACAAAGAGGCCTATCTAGTCCACACAGTGGCCAACCAGATGTCTATGGGAATCCCACAATAAGGACATGAATCTTGCCTCTGTGGCAGCTATGACATTTGTGACTCTTTTTGCCTCAGTGTATCCATATCTGCCCAAGGTCAAGAAAGGATTTGCATAAGGTTTCGGTAATTTCATGAAGTACATAAGAAGAGCCCTGGTGGATCAGACCAAAGGCCCGTCTAGTCCGGCATCCTGTTCTCACAGCGGCCAAACCGTGCCTGTGGGAAGCCAGGAAGCAGGCCGTGAATGCGTGATGTATAGCCAGAAACAACGTATGCCCTACATCTCAAACACCTTCTCCCCCTGTCACTGGAACAGGGGAGAGAGAAAATGTATGATATGTGGAGCACAATAGCTCCATTAAAGTGAATGGGAACGGTGCAAGGCTACACTGCAGCCCGTTTCTTTTTAAATAACACTTGTGCAGGATGCGTTCCAAAAGCATCATACCAATACTTATTACTTCAGTTTTAATACATTGCTCCTCTTTGCACATCTGGATTTTAATTCTCCTTTTTTAAAAAAAAAACACCACTTGTCCAGACAGAGAAGCAGGTGTAGGGAAATTGAATTAATTTACTACAACATTTGGTATTTAGAAACTCCTTTCCTCCAATGTTTTGAAGTGGGATTTTTGACCTCACTTAAATTTAATCCACACAACACTCTTGCAGGGAAGATAAATATTATCACAATCATTTCAAAGCTTGGCTAAGGGAGATGCAGTCATACAAGTAGAGGCGCTGAGCTTCTGCAGACCCACTTCCATCTTTACTGTGAAATTTGAGTTTTCTGAATGACACCAAATGTATTATTTCCTACTGGCTTATATAAATAGTAGAGTGTTTCAAATGTGTTGAATATTTTCATTACACATAATACACATCCCTGATGTTAGTTATATATATATATATAATTCCTCTCTCCGCCCAAGAGCAGGAGAAACTTAGGAAATAAATCTTTACTTTTTAAAAAAAGTTCTTTCAGTTGTAATTGTTGGCATTACCGAAAATATCTTCCGATAAAAGCTTTCCTTCTCTAGGCTGATCTTTAGGGAATACAAGCTTGCAAATAAGCAATCCATAAGCTCAACAAAGATAAAACCAACTCAAAGCCATAATTGTTATAGCAATTAGTATTATGCACAAATGGGACAGTTTTGCTTCAGTATATAGCATTTAAACTTTAATGCAGCACAGACGTTTGTCAGTGGAGCCAAATTAATATGGATGCATGCATGGAGGGAACTGACACAAATTAACACAATGGTCTGGTTTCAATGTTTACAGTATAATGGAAAAGCCACAGTAGAACTAGCAAAAAGATGCTGCCCTGTGTAGGACCAAGTATTAGTACGCCGATGTAACCTTTTGAAAATTTTACTCTGTCTTTATGTATTTTCAGTCAAGTTTCTTTACTCAAGGTCTCTTGAGGAACCTAGAGAAAAGGACTGGTGCAATGGCAAACAAAACGTAACGCTCATATATCAAGCAATATCCTGCCTTGATCATACGTGTATATATGGATTCTACAGAAATGTCATCATAAATAAATAAAATATTAGATTATCGTCTTTATAAAGTTTTCTGCCTCAGACTGTTGCCACAGAATCTCTTTTGCTGGACTCGCTGTCGGTTCCAAAAGTTCTCTGTGGCAGCAATTCCAAAGCTGTCTTCTCAAAATGGCTGCCAACAGCTCCATAAAGGAAATGGAAACTTCCAGGCCCTTTAAAAAAATAAATTAAAATTACATAGCCAGACAAGAAACTTAGAACTTTGAGGAACTCCACAACTCTTTTCAAACTGGTAACAGAAATCTCAATACTGACCTTCTCTGAGAGCAGGGGCAGCCAACAAGGTGCCCTCCACATACTGCTAGACTACAGCTTCTATCTGCCCCATGTAAGTTGGTGAATGGCCAGGAATGATGGGAATTGTAGTCCAAAAGCATCTGGAGGGCACCACGTTGGGTACCTTTGTGGTAGGAGTTTGTGGCGTTACAGAAAGGAGGTAGCCAGGCATCCCTCTTGCCTTACCACCAGCTCCTAAATGCAGTGAGGATCAAATCATCTTTCTTTCTAACTATAGATTCCCTGCCCAAAATGATGGTCGTGCAACACTTTAGCTCTCCACTGAGCATGTGCAGAAATATCCTCCCTCCATAATTCTCAAAGGGTATGCGTTGGTAACACTAAGACACATTAGTCCACTAGCTCCTAGCTCATCTCTTAGGTTTATAAACAACAATATGTGGACAAAAAATGGCCCTACCTAGAGCAAGTGAGACCTCACCTTAACCTGGCATTGTCACCTGCATAAGATAAGATGTGGCAGCAGGGAACATGGTTCTGAGGGCCTGAGGGGTAAGGGAAGAGAAAGCCTGCCTGCACATCAATGTGCTACTGCAGGAACCAATGTGCTTCTACTGGCACATAATGCCTTTTACCTCCTCTGAACTTGAGTAGGAACCTCACTTATACCAAAATAACTGTCAAATTTTTGTTTACAAGGGCTACTGAGTATCATTTTCAGTGTGCTTTAGTTTCCTTTAAATCCATGTTTATTTTACCAGTTATTTTATTGCAATACATTTGATTTACCCATGCTCTGCTACTGTTTGTTTTCTAAACTTTACAGTTTGTCCTGTCTTATTCCCTCAGGAGCCTTCTCACTCTTGTCGGAAACGAGAAACACACTCTTCATTCCGTTTGCCTTTCTTTTGCGTGCGCACACACACTGTTTCCGTTCTATCCTTTTGGAAATAAAGCATTTTAGGTTTGTATTTTCTATCAGTTGGTAGTCATCTGCAGTTTTATCGTTTTGAGGAAATGACATGAAGCAAAACCAAAATATTCTTTCTAAAATGCTGAGAAATTATTGTGAAGGTTTTTTTTTTTTAACGCAAACATGGAAGCATGGCCTTAAGGCTGGAAAAGAAGAGAAACTAAGAAAACACAAAATTCACCCATTCTTGTTTCCCACCTTTCTCTTTTTAAAACCTATTTCTTCTACCGTGACTTCCAAGAAAGCCAGCCTCATTTATTTTTCACAATGTAAGATACCACAACCTCCCTCTCTTCATTCCTGCTTCTCCTTTATCAAATCCTGCCCCCTCTCTTCAACTACATCCTGTCCAAATTACTTAGGTTTCACGAGTTAGTGCTAAATAAATATTAATTAGAAGCAGTAGTTGTTCCATTAGGGCAGGAGCTGAATTTTGCATAAAAGACTCTGAGTAGTTGGTTGTGATAGGGGGGAAAAACCTGAATAATTTGTATGATCCTTGAATTCTGTATATTTAAGCTTCTATAGAGTCCTCCTATGATCAAAATTTATAGCTACTCATTTAAGCACAGTAAGAAAATAGCTTTATTAGGACCAAGCAAAATGTCATATAATAATGACCAAATTTTCTGGAGCAATGGATCAGTCTATTTCTGGTCTGTGTCAATTATTTATGTGTTCATTCATAAATTCATTTCATTCCAATAATCTGTAATCCCCTCCCCCAACAAATTCTGCACAAAAATCCATATTTTATCTTAAGGCATGCCTTTCTATGATCTAGTTTGCACCTGGCTCATGGTTTATCTCTCTCCACACACCCCCCCAAACTGTGACCAAGATGCATTCTTGGTTTATCAGTCATGGTAGGAGGAGGAGGAGACAACCTTCAGACTTGGGTTTGGATGTAAAGCTGAGCCAGACCATAGGTTAGCCCAGTCAACAGCAGGAGGACTGAAGGAGGACTGACACAACCACTCCAAGAACCCACACATTGGCTCATTCACATAAAGCAATGGTTTGGCTTAGTGGTATGTACACACCGAGTGCAATGTGTAATCTTGAAATATGAATTTTAACATATTTTGGTATAGTGAGTTCTCTTATTTTGGAGGGGGGTTGAACTGATAAGTGTGTGGAAAGGTGCAAAATGTGGAGGGTAATTAATCTCCAATAGTTGTATTAGTTGAGGAGGTGTGATTTAGCTCAGTTAGATTAGAAATGCAGATTTTTTTGAGGGGGGGACGACTCTCCTCCATTCCTAGGAAGTGTTTGCGTTCTCCAAAACTCTTTTTTTCAGGTGTTTCCTTCGTGCCCAGATTTTTGCTTGTTTTGAGGTGTGCCCAGACTGAAAAAGTGCTCCAGAGGAATCAAAAACGCATATGTTACTTTGCAACATTTGACTTAGTCCTATTAAAGGCTTTGGATTCTTATGGTCAGATACTTTTCAGTCACCATCTCCAGACAGCTTCTCATCCCTTTACTGTTTGCAGCATAGGTCTTTTGCGGCATCGTTATTTTAAACAGTCATGGCTTCCCCAAAGGATGCTGGGAAGAGTGATTTGATTTGTTCAGGGTGCTGAGAGTTGTTAGGAGAGGCCTATTCCCCTCACAGAGCTACAGTTCCCAGAGTGGTTTAACAGTCAATCCCTTTTCCCAGGGAACTCTGGGAAATGTAGGCCTGTGAGGAGAATACTGATCTCCTCAGCACCCTTAACAAACTATGAAACCACTGTATGATTCTGCTATAAATACATAGTGCAGATGATGTCTCTGTTTCCCACCTCCACCTCCTCTTTCTCCTCCAGTCACTTCCTTTTGGTCAGAATATCTCTCACACAAGACATAGAATAAAGGTAAAGGTAAAGGTACCCCTGCCTGTACGGGCCAGTCGTGTCCGACTCTGGGGTTGTGCGCCCATCTCACTTAAGAGGCCAGGAGCCAGCGCTGTCCGCGAACACTTCCGGGTCACGTGGCCAGCGTGACAAAGCTGCATCTGGCAAGCCAGCACCAGCGCAGCGCACGGAAACGCCGTTTCCTTCCCGCTATAAAGCGGTACCTATTTATCTACTTGCACTTGGGGGTGCTTTCGAACTGCTAGGTGGGCAGGAGCTGGGACCAAACAACGGGAGCTCACCCTGCTGCGGGGATTCGAACCGCCGACCATGCGATCGGCAAGTCCTAGGCACTGAGGTTTTACCCACAGCGCCACCCGCGTCCCTAGACATAGAATACTTTCGTTCAAATGCATCCAAAAGATTAAAAATGCTAGCCTCACCTCAAAACATGGCACTTGAACTTTGCTGAGAGTTAGCTTGCTTTTTGGTCTGGCACTTTTACCACAAATCCTGTATCTCCCTCCCCTCATATTCTGAATATTGTGGTTTCAAATCCCAAGATTACTTTCTCTTCTCTAAATGAAATGCCATCCCCTCCCATATCACATCCATTTATAAAAAAAAATGGGGGGGGGCCCTCCTGAGTCCTCAAGCCAACCTGTTAACATCCTCTCCTTCACACTCGTTCAACCAGACAGCAATTCTTTCCATGAAAATACAGCTGTGGAATTGTATAACTAGTAAATTAAAAGTTTGCTGTAGCTAGTCCAGCTGGCTGGCTTTATGTTAACAATACATCACTGAGGTTTCATCCCTCTGTTGATGTTTTGTCCAGCAGCCAAATACTGGTAAGAGAGGCTAGAAAGTAAGTGTGTTGCATGGCGCAATGACCCCAAACTTAATTTAATATTTAATCCTTTTTTCAGAAATAATTTCAAAACTATCATCTAGCTGAAGAAGTGTTAGTGAGAGCATATCAACAGACAGGATGAAAAACATTTTTAAGTATTGTGTTGTAGAGGCATACTGAGACTCTAGCAGATGTCTGAAAGTGAAGGAATATTTATTTGCCTTGCAGTTCTAAAAGTGAAAGGGATAAAGCAGGCTATAATCTTACAACAGAAATATAGGACTTGAAAATACCCTGAAAGTCACAGATAAGAGGTGGTCTTTGGCATGAGTGATAGCCATGAAGGACCAGTGTGTATGTACACACACACACGCACACAGTGCTTTTTTCTAAAAAAAATGGTTAGGGGTACTCTCATTTTTGAGTCAAGAAAATCACAATTTTATAGTTCAAATCAGGGAAAATAAATACAGTAAATGGACAAAGTACAAAGATTCACAAAATGTTTACGGGTATGCGTATCCCCAGGAAAAAAAAAATTTCCATGGAGACCCCCCAAAATACGTTATGAAAACCTCTGTTCACATACATACACCACAACATATAATGGTATACATCTGTAAAACATGTTCTTATTAAGTGTTCTGTAAGTTAGTACAAACCTTTGGAACTGGTCTTTGGTTTTCTGTGGAATTCCTAAACAAAATAAAGCTCCACCATTCTCCTGCAAATGTATATTTGTGCTTTATTCCTCTTGGCAGTCTTAATTTGTGAGCCAATTTTCTCATAAAGACAATACACAACACTCTATAGTACCAAGCGATCAAATTTGCACCTTTTAAGTCCTCCCAAAATGTGGCTATAACCATATGTACTGCCACTAAGTCCTGATCACATTTAAATACATATTTAGTAACACAAGCTCTGGAAACTTTGTGATAAGTAATTTTACTTAGTTCATTAAAACGCTTGTTCCCAAAAATTTGCTACCTTTGGGCATGATCACCACATGTGCCTATAGATGCCTCTCTCCCCACAACCTCACCAGCACATAAGTGAAGTATATTTGAAAATTTAACTGGAGATAAGCAGCATTTCTGCATTGTCTTCAGCATGGTTTCCTTGATGCTGGCTGAGATGGTTTTATAGGGAAACATATCTCACAGATTACTCCAGGATTCATCCTCTATTCCGTTTTCCATGTCTAGAACACTTGTTATCATGGCTTCAGGTTGTATAAGCACCCTTGTGGATTGCTGTTTAATATGTACCAGTCTTATAAAGTTACCAGTTTGATTCTAAGACAGCCACCCGACATTTTTCTCTTTCAATTGAGCCCTTCCTAAATCCCACCGAAGGGGCTATCGTAATAAAATTATCGAAATATAGATAGAAACAAACATTTTTTAAAAACAACAACAACACAAATGTTCATAATAAAATGACATGTGCCTGGGTAGGGTCGCCCAAAGAAAAAGATTTTTAGCAGGTGGAGAAAACAGTATGGCAAAATTATAGCGATGGTGGCTGTTAGTTGAAATATTGTGTAGGGTTAGGTTGGAAAAGGAGAGAAAGAAATCCAGTTGCATCCAACCAGGGGAGAGAGAGAGAGAAAGAAAGAGAGAAAGAGAGAGAGAGAAAGAGTTTTTTTTTTTTTTGCCTCTTCCTCCTTTTCTCTACTATCAACACCCAGTAGAGTAATTTCTCATTTAACAGTCTCCAAGCGTGCGAGCAAAACAGGTCTTCTTGAAATCAACTGAAACGCTTCTCCCCCCTCTTTCCTTTTTGTATCACAGTAGCTGAAACCTTGTTTCACCACTTCTGCATTTCATTTTTAAAAAGTAAAAATAAAATAGCAGCCTATGTTCAGGGATCAGGTCTTTCAAAAGGCCTGAACTACAGCAGTCTACAATCTTTGCCCCCGACTGTTCTGTCAAACGGAGACATTGGTTGATCCAGGGCAGAGGGAAAGGCCGCTACTTCTGTTTCAAAGCTGGAAGAAGCAGATAGGGAACACGCCGTAGTGAACATTAGGAAGATAAGGCAGAGAAAATGCTGGCCTGTATTTAAAAGCATAAATGAAGTTCACCACAGGTTGTGTCGGGGTAATTTCCTCAAAAGCTCTTTTAAAGCTTCTCTGTGTTCCGCTGTTGCTCCTGTTAATGCCTACAGTTGTGTAATGATGGGATGCATACGACCTTCTATGTTTCAAAGAGCAGCTTTAAAAGCTACTGTGTCTTCAAATTCCTCTCAGCTCAGTGAGTTTCAGCCATCTAGCTCTGCAGTTCCATACACTGAATCTGGTCTTCTCTGTTTCACACACTCACACTCCAGCTGCCCTATTTGATGTGAAGTAGTGCTTCAAACTACAGCTAACTCAAAATTATTCTTCCACAAAATTTTGGTCTCTCTCCCCTGGGAAGCCTTTCATTATTAATTTAGTTCCAAAATCTCTGCATATCTGAGCACTCTCCTTGCCTCTGAACCATTTTTGTATGTTCCAGATTCGTGAATGGAGGTAGATGTGCAGAGAGGAGCCTTCATTCACTTTCTTAGAAATGTGAATAATTGAGTGGCTTATGAATGCCTTAAACAAACAAACAAAAGCTTACCGAGCAGTCCTAACTATAGAAAGCTGGAACAATTTACACCACCGTAAGTTACCCCTACCCAAATTCCTTTCAAAAGGGCTTGGTTGCTAGGTCACATGACCAAGTTGACAGAGATTTGGAATAGCTGTAAATTTCTTCTTGCCCTGTCTTGTCACGCCATGCTCCCACAACACCCCTTTGGGGGTGAAATATACTCAGAGTCGAGAGTGGATTTCATGCTCTTTATTCAGCTCATAGTGGTGAGGAGGGAATGGAAGTCCCCTCAAAGTATCTGCTTTACAGTGGCGTAGCGTGGGGGGTGCAGGGGGGGCCGGCCGCACTGGGCGCAACATCTGGGGGGGGGCGCGTGCTCGCACTTGCAGCTCTCTGCCCCTACTAAAATCCACGGGTTAGGGGGCGCAAATTACTTGCCTTGCCCCGGGTGCTGACAACCCACGCTACGCCACTGCTGCTTTATATACATTATTTACATAATGGGCTGCACGTGATTGGCTAATTCCGGAATTCTCCTGTAGGCCAATCAGGTTGTGGATTCACTTCTATCTGGAGATGGATTGGGTGGCTCCTGCCGACCAATCATACTGCTGCATTGTTCTAGGACCAATCAGACTGTTGCATTCTGAATCCTATTGTTCTAGGACCAATCAGACTGCTGCAGTTTGGATCCTATTCAACTCAGTACATAACAGGGGGAATTTAAGATACTGTAAGTTCCATTGGCTGAACCAGGGTGAGGGACTTATGCAGCATATCTCCAGCTCAGCCAGGTCAAGGGGTTTAAACTTTGACATAGTCTGGACTGAGACCCAGCTCAGCTGGGAAAGACCAAAATCTGCCAAAACTGAACTCTTTCATCCTGGTGGATCTTGGGTTTGGATCGCACTGTAAATTAGTCAATCTTCACCACCTCAATGGGTTCTACATTCACTTCCTTGAGCCTTTCTGCTTTATTATTCAGCAGTCATCAGTGTTCATTGACCAGTGTCAGAGAACAGACACCTATTTGAAGGCATCCTCTGTTTGACAGCTGTCTACATCCAGCATTAAGATTAAGGACCATAACAAGGGAGAGCAGCAGGGGACTTGAAATCACCTATCAAGAGTTAGAATTTGAACTGCAGATTGAGCAGGCATACCTGGTCATGGTCTTCCTCACTATGGTGAGATGCATTGCATTTCTATTTAATTATAACATTTTTTAAAATGCACCTATATAAATAAATGAGGGCATGCACACGTTATGCAAATCTGCTCCTGTTTTCATCCTCCTTTTTTCGTGATGCTCCTCTTTTTTGGTAAAGTGTGGGAAGTTGCCACCCGGGTGCTTTGCAAGCCTGTCCCACAGTAGTCAAAGTTTTATGCAGAAGCTCTGTCAAATTAGCCAAGGCTGCACTCTACTGAATGGAGTACCTTTCTGAAGGACTATTGCATTTTACCTTGACTTAAGCAGAAGCAGGAAGGGACTGCCAAGGAAGAGAGCTCACATGGAAATGCAGGAATTCCTCTGCGCAGATGAAAATGATGAGGTGATAGGAGGAAACTAAAAGAGGACATTGAGAACACAGCTGTTGGTGGGATTCATTATCCGACTATTTGTGGAACAGGAAGTTCAAGGCCATTAATCTCAGTAAACATTTAGGATGGCTGGTTAATTGAATTTACAACAACACACGTAAACCCTAATTAAGACTCTAGTTCAGGACTGGGTGAACACCAGGAAATGTGGTATTTATTATTTACCGTATAATTCCACTTCCTAAAAATCAGAGCTTTCAAAGCTTCCCAGCT